CCCTTTTAATTTGCGGACGAGGGGCATTCTTGCGTGGTGTAAGCGGTGGTTGCGTAAAATTAAAGTCGTTCCGTTGCTTGCATTGGCCCAAGTTAGGCTAGGAGTACGCTACTATGTTTCAATTTTTCAAGTAGGTCGGAAGGGTTGGGCCGATAACATGCGTGTGGTTAACTCAATTTACGTTTGGAGTAGTACCAATGCCGTGAGGTTGCTTGTTGTTGTCGCTTCGAAAGACGTATTGATGCTGCCTTGATTGCTTCTTATTTTGGCATTGATGGCTGCGACTGTGATCTTGAACTTGCAGTTGCTGGAACCACTTTTTGCGGGCTATCTGGGGTAGTTAGAATTGCTCGACAGTATCTGTCAGTCGCCCTATCGCTTGATACTGGTTCAGTGACGATAGCACAACTTGCGCTGTCCCGTCTTGGCGTTCTCAGTCTGCAACTGTAAATACAATAAAATCTTGCTTCTGCGAATGGTCGACCTGTTTGCACTGTCGCTCGTTCGTTGTCTTTATCCCCTGCACTTCGTCTTCCAGTTTACTCATTCGCACTCTCAGCTGCTTGTTTTTGAGTAATAACCAGTTGAGCATGGGTCCGTCGTGTAATTTCACTAATGCACTTGGTCGAGCGCGAGGACTAGATCGGAGGTCTGTAGTCAAGCTGTTTGCTGAAGGTGAGGAAGCAAAACACCCGCATCAAACGTGGGCGGGACGCAATCGAGGAACACTCGTTGCAGATCGAGCTCCTCCATGGAAACCAAGAAACTAATTTCCAGATCATGCTCGCATACCAGCAAGTCATGCAAATCCGCGCGGATGTAGACAAGTGGTGCCAAGAACAAGCCTAGGCGGAGTTAAAGTCGAGGCTGGACAGGGCGACTTCTAAGGTTCGGGTTCCCAGTAAAACACAGAGCTCCCCACGTTGACTAATCTGGAAGATGGGCGTGTATGTTCGTGCAGAGCTCGAACAGCAGTGTGTAACGTTCGCGTCGGTTAGGGTTGAACACGAAAAATGGTTCCATGCCCAATTGGATTCACATCACTCCGAGAAAATGGAGCAACAAATGCAGATTGCGCTCCAGGCGAAGAAGCAAAAGGCAACGGATAAGCTGCAATTCACGGCTACCTGCAAACGCACGTGAACATGGCTAGTGACGTTCAGTTTTCTTCTTCAGTCAAATCAGCTTAGTCAACCAAATTCGTTCGGCAGTTTTGACCCCGATCACGACCACAAGACCAAGGGTAGGCATGCCAACTTCAAAACATCTTCATTGAGAGATTCCAGATGCTCACGGAAAGCCTTCATGCCCTTCGCCGTTTCAAACGAACCCATGAAACCATCCACATCAACGGGTTCATCACCGGCATCGTCGTCTTCCACATGTTCCTGCACACCAACGATCACCTCTCCATCGTCACTGACTCTTGAGACCGGTGGTACTTTGGAACCAGCACGGGCTGCGTTTGCCACAATGCAGTCAATATCTGCAATTGCTGACCAGGTTGGGCAGTGCGCGAGTGCTACCAAGAGCAGGTAAGCCCGTGCCGGTAAAATCTGGGATGGGGATCTACACAAAAGCTCCGTCCGATCTACCCCAAGCTCATCGTGTATTGTAACCAGTATATCTAAGATAGATGCCGTGAGCTTGAACATCTTCTCGCACGCCCTTGGGTGGTTTGTGTGAAGCACGCATCGAACACAGCACAAAGAGCAGTATCTTGAATACTCTGTCGCGACTTCTCTCCCTGTTCCCCGCAAATTACGGTTCGTGCATCCATTTTTCGTTATCTATAAGTACCCATCCGAGCCACCAAACTCGTATTGAATGCAAGCGGTAATTATGTATACCCTTCCCCTGTTGCCCATCCCCGCCCGGGGGTTGTGCTGGTCGTCACAACGCGATGTGGATATGTGATGGGGTCAAGTGGTCCAAGACTCCACAGCCGGTGCAGCGTAACCTTTGTGACCGATTTAGGCACAGCCTCACCATTTAACGATGCCACTTGTATTGCCTTTCGGGACGCTTGAAGCCCGTTACGTAGTCGATTATGCCACTCCGTGGCGACATTCTCGATAGCCTCAATCAGGGTCACGTTGTCATTGGATAATACGCCGTCGTTTGGCAGTATCATTGCATTTTTAAGTGGAGGGTCTCTCGATTGCTGGATCGGCAGTACGTCTCCAGCACCATTCTCCTCCGAATGCCCTGGTGCGACCCGCTGGCGAAGGTCCCCATCGATGAACTACTGCCCGCTAATGCTGTCAATCACTTCTGAGGGGCTGCGGCATACAGCCTCCAGAAGGGACGCGATTACGCCCAAGTTGGCAAAAACCCTGTCGTTTCGGTAGGTTTTCGATCGCAGCGGCCTCTCGATACGCGTCCAGTATCATAATTGAGTCTAACCTCGCGTCGATAATCCTTATGAAGCAAAGCAGAATATTGTCGTCACCCGCCCATGTCACGTAGACCCCAGGCTCGAACTTCTTTGGGATATCGATGAGCATTTTCAGGATACGTAAAGATCACTACGGCAATTCTGTCCCTACAGCCCCTCACCTTCTTTCATAACCACGAGCCCGCGCTTTCCGACAACGCGTCAAGTCCGCTCACGCAAGTCCTGTTACGCACGAAACAAGCATGGATGTCGATACCGATAGCGTCTCCACTTTGTCCTCCATGGGGCCATCCATCTTTGCCGTTGGTAGCGTCAGCTCCGTGGACCAGAAACGCAAGCGCAAGAACGCATATGGTGTCTTCAAGTACGTCGAAGAGCTCAGTACCGGTGTCTATAAATGCATGATATGCAGTGGTGACGAGCAGATCTGGAGCCCTCGTAACACGGATTCCGGATGCAACCGGTTTACATACGTACCGTATATAACAGAAAAAGCATTCGATGTTGGCTCGAAAATATTGATCTCGAAATTTCTAGATTTCTCATTCGTATCTACAAAAACGCCGACTTTGTCATGCATTTTTTATGACATGCATGTCTCAGTTTTAATCGTTTGAACCCCTTGGACGCGGAGGGGTGACATGGACGGCATTAAAAAACGCTTAAACCGTCCCGGACGGCATAAGAAATCGTATGAGACTTAGTATGACATAGTGAACGCGAGTATAAATTTGGCTTTTCTTCACACAGTTTGTTGCTAAGCTCCCTGGTAATTATTTCGCTAGAAGGGACTGGTGTGATCTGCGGATAAAAATCCTCCAATGAGCTGCTCACAGTGCCTTCTATGCAATACTGATATTTAGAGAAACATTACGCCTGAACGGGTACACATTCCGCTCTATCTTACATGTAATATATATGAATTGTCGCCTTGATGGTTGCTACAAGTGATAAGCCCTCTAGGACCCCACTACATTACAATCAGCGCGCTCCAACGCTACCAAACAATGCAAAAGAAGAAGAGCAACTACAGAGTAAGTTGATGTTGTCTTCGCACACCGACATTGAATCAGAGATTGCACCACACTTCGATCAGTCGAACAGTATAAATTATGTGTGTGAGCAAGATAGGAGCAACATGAGAACAGACATATTGCAATGTAATGTAGGAGAGGAACTATATTCACTTGCTAGTTTCCTGCACTATAGTGTGACTCGCATTGCTACGGTTGTGGAGGATGTGACTTGGTTTCGAAGCCAGAAGGCATCCTGTCCTGATCCTGTCGGCATAAAGTCAAACTTGTAAGCGGACCAAGTCAGCATTCAAGTAGAAATCAACTTTCACCCATACCTTCAACGCAAAATCGGTGTCCTCTCATCTTGAATGTAAAACTTGAAGCCCACAACATTCCTTACTTCAGCGGCGGTCGACACCTCAATATGAGCAGCAGGCTCCTCTTCAGCTCGTCTCCAGTGCCGTCCGTTCTTGGGCAGCACTCAAACATTTATCACGTTGCCACCGGAGGCGATGCTGCTCTTGACCTGTCGTTCATGTAGACATGTCGTCGTCCCAACAGCCAGCGCCATGTATATCTTCGTAAAACATTTCAATAAGCAGAAACCAATCTCAATCCGTATAAGCCATTCCGTCAGCATAAAGCGCATATAGTATACTTTCCACGTCAGCAAGCCATGGACATTCACGGTAACCGACGCCTGTTGGAGATACTCGAGTCCCCATCCTACCACGACCGCCTACTGAAGGCAACAAAGGTTAGTCCAATTGCAGCAATCATCCCAACGATGCAACGCATACCTCTAGCGTCCCAACGCCCATGACGATACCTCGCGGCACAGTCGCGCTAGGCAAAGATGACGCATAGAGTTCTGTTAGCAATTAGTAAAAACGCAAGTGGTTAGCATGTATTCGAACCAGCAGAAGTTGTGCCCACACGTACCAAGCAGCACGAAAGGAGGGAGTGCTTGCGCCGCGGTGCTTACAATCAGACTTCAAGTAGCTCGTGCTTCAAAGCGATAGTCGCAATAGTTAGTTTGGGATCTATACCAAGATACTTAGCGCACGTACCGAGCCTCTCGTCCGTCTGGGGCTTGCACGGAAGCAGCCCCACCGCGCCGATGTCATCCCAAAATGCCACTTTGTCTCTTGCTGCGCCAAATGAAGAAAAGAAGAGAGGGGAACCGATATTTGATTTTTCTGAAAAATGGTTTCGTGCTTGTGCGTGGTAGTTAAACTACCCTGATAGTCATATGTTCTTGATGCCCAATCAAATGGCCACGTTTAGATACGTGGACCAATGATATCCAGGCTAGATATGGGAAGGGACGATAATCACTTTTTGTGGATTTAGAGGTATAGTGAAATCAAGTGTTTCTTATGCTGTTCAGAACAGGTGACTTTCCAACCCTCCGCGTCCAAGGGGTTAAGTACATTATGCTTTTCAATAAATATTTTTATCTGATTATTGTCACGTTGATATCTTCAAAGTGCATTCAACTGTGCCATAGACAATGTTCTAAAATGCCGTCTTGTGTTATCCATAATCCCGCCAAAATGGTACATTTTTGCGAAAGAAAGCCGAAAATGCCGACTTCTCTCATGTGCTTCTACGCGCAAAAGCTGAAGTTAGCGGCGGTCACGTCGATGCACAAGCTGGAGCTGGCGGTGGCGGCGATCTGGGCCGCGACCGCAGTCGCAGACACAGTGGTAATGCTCGGCTTTGGGGCATCGGTTGCTGTCCCCGTGACCATGTTGATGTTGGCGTGGTGGGGAGGTTCGTCGTGGCGATGGTAGAGAGCCTCATGGGGCGGCCGGAACCTTCGGAGCCAAAGCCGATGTCGCGATAGTCGTGACGCTCATGGTGGCGTGCTGATAGGGGTGACCGGAGCCGTCGGAGCAGATACAGGAGCCGTGGTCATCGAAGCCCTCGCCGCCGCAGCGCTCCTCGCAGACGCCGTAGCAGCGCAGCCCGAGGGGCCACGCGCGCGCAGGAGCCGGACGTCCAGAGCACGGAGTTCAGGTTGCAAGACGGCGTGTAGTTCGGGCTGCAGACGCGCAACCCCAGGCTCACGTGCCCTCTGAAAATCGCCATGGACATATGGCGCGAGATGTTGATCTTCACGGAGGAACAGGTCGTGGTCATGCGCCACCCAGGCGATTGTACGATGGAGTCGGCAGTGATCGGAGTACGAAAAGGCCTGTTCCAGTTTCGAATGAGCCCGTCGCACCGCATGACCATGCACTCATGTGTCTAGCTTGGAAGAGAAACTCTGTTTTCTCGGCTGCGGCGGAGCTAGCCGCACAAATCTACTCAGACACGGCACACTCCTAAAACAACCCAGTTCAAATGTCGGGATACAAAGTGTTAGACATCGACGGGAAAGCTTTGCTGGACCTAATCCCTCGTTTGAGCTGTCCGAGCAAACAAGAATAGGCGTCAAATCGGAATGCGTACCCGGCAGTGTTCTTTGGCGTCTCACTTCCTGCCCCTAAAGCAAAAGAGGAAGTAGGTCTCGGGTCTCTTGGTAGCGGCCGGGACGCGCGCGATGGTCGATCGATGAACTGCTACGAGGAGCTGTCATTCAAACGAGTGGAATACAGAGAGTTTTACCAGCAGCGTATGTACGGCACAAATATCGTCCCGCAGCATCTACGTGGCAGGACCACGGTGATAGTTCGAAGTGCGCGCTTCCAACGAAAATCTACTGGCTATCACTTCAATGAAGATCCAGACTCGGTCGAGTTTGGGGTCATGCTGACCAAAAGGTACACGATCAGCAAGCCGGTCCCGCACTGTAAATCCCCGCACGAGAGCTGGGAGAAGCGCGTGTGAAACCAGCCTGCAACCGTGTATTTGCGATATTACAATCACGAGGACACAGAGCAGGCTTCACTTTCGTTCCGTGACGACCAAGGATTTCCTTTGAAGCTTCGTCTGCGCTCCACCTACAGTGCCCGCACCCGCGGTGCAGTCCAAGAACGCGGTACCCGCGGCGCAGGCGAAGAACGCAGCGTAGTCCAAGAACACAGTGCCGGCGGTGCAGTCGATGAACACAGTGCCCGCGGCGCAGTCCAAGAACGGGGTGCCTGCAGTGCAGCACCAGCGCCCGATGCCCGCAGTGCAGCCACAGCACCCAGAACCCGCGGTGCAGGTGATAAACCTGGAATATAGTGGAGTGACGATTCATGGAATGCATGTCAAAGCCGATATTTACGTGGATGGAAAGAAGATCGATCTAGGCACTTAAGGTACTTCTAAGGGTGCAGAAATAACTTATGATAAAGCGACGCTACAATTGTTTTAGCGACACCGGTGACGCAATCGCACTCAACTTCCCTGAAAAGCGCGACGAGTATCTAGAAAAAAATTGACGATGCAAAAGAGTTGTATTCTGTTGACGTGGCACCTGCCCCCCCCCCCCTGACTTATAGGTGCTACCTCGTTCAGTGGAAGGGGAAACCGCTCAAGCTGAGCTGGATATGGGCTGAAAACCAGGATTCGGACATTCATGTGGAGATGGCTCCATTTGTGAACATGTAAAAAAATTCAGGGAACCAATGCCGTTTATGAAGTATTACAATAAACATTTAAGGGGTGCTACAGCTTCTGCCTCTGGGTTGGGTTTCCTCAACTTTTTCGGGCCGCACTTCACCTGGGTGAACCGCACCTCGTTGACCTACAAATTTGAAGAGCCATACGCAGGCGCCATAACGTACGGGGTAAAGTATGGAGATACAGACGCATTTTACCGCTTCTTGGAGCAGGAGAGTATTCTACTCAACTAAGGCACACTGCGACAAAAGCGCCTTACGTTGTATTACAGCCTAACAGACGGCTAACACCTCGAAATCCTCGGATCCCGCGTAGTGGTCAAGACCATCCTGCTCCGGTTCGTCCTCGGCAAGCTGATATGCTCGTATCAAGTCAATAAGTCGAAACTAAAATATACAAAGATTAAACCACAATTGGCCATTGGTTTTGCCCAATGTACTTCCATGCCAAACGGATATGATCCGGCTTAAATTCGGTCACCGTGGGCCTGATTCGAGTCTATTCAAAACGGATGGATGGATCCGTTTACATTCGCTAACAAAGTAGTAACAACAATTTGCAGTTGTATTTGTCTGAACACTTTCAGAATGCATATCGTACTGGTACTTTTTACACGAAAGCCATTGGCCACTCCTTTGCTGAAATGCGGTGTAACTTGACCAATGAACGCGCCGAAGCAAGGGATGGTTACTTTCGGTCTCCTTGCTGGAATTGGACAAAACTTGGTTGAGCTACAAAATATTGCGCATGTAGAGGGCGGTAAGTATTTTAAAGACGAGAGTGTATTCTGCATGTTCCCTTCTTTATCAAAACGCTTCCACCCTACAGCGACTCACCCGCAGCAAGTGTGGATAGATTGGGGTCACCAAATTGAAGCGCCATCGTCGCTGAGCCAGAATCAAAAACTAGGGCGACAGCCAGATCCTGTCGAGCAACCCCAACTGCCTCAGACTATTTCGCGTGGGCTAAAATTTCAGTGGCGAGTGATTCCAGCAGCCACAAGTACAAAACGCAGAGTCACATCTGTCTATGACAGCGTAATAAGCCATTGATGCAGCATCACGATGTCGTTTTGAGTGATAACGACAAACGGAGTCACAGCTTTGACATCCGTTGGGTTGAGCAACTGGGTATAGCTGTTGATACCACTACGCCGTTATGGTTACGATCTTTACCGGTAATAATTGAAATCCTGATTCCCCACTAAACTGTTTCAAAGCGTGAATTCAGTTAGCCGATGCATGTCATCATTTCAACTTCATCTTCGACTAACTTCAAATAATAATAAAGAAACGATAGTCTAGGTTGGAGACTATCGTTTCTTCCACGACATGCAGTTAGGCGACTTCAACTTCGCGAAAGCTCGCATGCACCCTTGACCACGACTTACATCGCGCCAGATCGGCCATCGCCTGGCAATTGAGGTGGTATCACGGGCGTCTTCCTCCTACGCTCGTAAGTAGCACCGTGTCGCTCGGTTCTGTATTATCGACAACCGGGTCGGTGGCTTGCAATCTTTTATCGATTGCGTGGGGGAAGCTTCACCTTGCGCAGGTCCGCGATATTCTCGGACCCACTCACAAAGTCCAATATTATCTCCTTGGTTGCGTTGATGTATTGCAGGTTCCCCGCACGGATGCCAAGGCATTTCGCAACATCCGACAAAGTTCCCTGTCTACCAGTGCTAAATGGCATCAAACGTTTTGCTGATAGACAGAGTTCGCGCTTTGCGATCATTCGATGTCCTTCAACGCGGTAGTCTGGTCGCCGCTAGGACTGACGCTTCATCGGTCTTGCTGACGAACTCCGGAATTCGATCCGTGCGTCACTTGGTCTTGAACACGGTGCCTCGATCTCAACCTTCTTGGCAACATTGCATTGCTCTACTCCGTCATTCAGGCGATCCAGCACTTTAGTCTGTCCAATGAGACTTAGCTATTTGGAGCACTGAGAGCTGTCGTAGAACGGTGCCTAGTGTTATCTAGGGCAACGCTATCCGCGCTGCTAGCATACTCGAGGATATCCGTTTTCGTTGTCTGCAGCTGCTTCGCCTGTCCAAGGGAAATCCCAAATTTCTAGCCAATGTCTTCCAGTGGTGCACCATTTCCCATCAGCCCGATAGTGTCAACCTTTTGTCGAACGGTGAGACCCGTCGCCTTTTTGCGAGTCGTCGTGTCTGCAGAAGTCCCCTATGATTTCCGCTTAGCTCGAGAGGTTAGCGATAGCCTCAGCTCTGGCTAGCCACACCTCTGCCGTCACTTTCATGCAAGAGCTACCTCCAACTTTGGTGGGAAACAAAGTTTTCCTTGTGATTCAGTTTACAACAGCTAGTTGGCGGAACGTTTTCTTATAGACGTCGCGGACTGGTGGAATAGGCGAGTTCAGTATACTAAATCAATACACCGCGCAAAGTGTGATGTAGATCGGAAAACATCCCTTATAAAAAAGAACTATAAGACTGTGCCTGCTGGCTGAGCACCCACAATATTGTAGTCTGCAATCGGTAGTTAGAATCGAGTGTATATAAAGCAGCTCTAGATCTCAAATGCGTAGAAATCGAAATCTACTGGGTTGCTTAATGCCAGGTGATTGATCTAGTTGGGTGTTTTTACACCAAAATATTGTTAGTATCAACTACCGAATTTAAAATATGCATTTAGCAAAACTTATCATTTCTACCCAACAATCATTGCTACCGTATCTCACAGAAAGGATGTTTACCTGTTGGGTAGTGGTTGCAAGCTCAGCCAATTGTATTAAAATCAAAATGTGGATTCACCTTATCGCAACGCTTGTACCTGCTGGCTCTCAACAACAAAACGAAAGAGAAAAAAAAACGAAGCAAGTAATAGCTTTCAAAAACAATATATTTTGAAGCCGCTGAGAGCTTTTCAACAGTATTTGAATGCTAAGGAAAAGGTCAAAAGTATTATGTCAGTTAGGTACGGTAACCGCGGTTGGCTAGAAGTAAACTATCCCAGTAAACTAAAAATATTCATTACTACTACATATATAATAATGTGCAAGAGTAAAACAATTTTGTAAAAACTTAACTAATCCGTAATTTGATTTTTTTGTTTTGTAAAAAACGAAAAATAGGATTACGTTAGTAGTAAACTCTCCCCGTATACTAAAAATAGTCATTACTTATTCGTATTTCTATTTTTTTTAACAAAACAAATCAAATTACGAATAGTTAAGTTTTTCACGAAATTGGTTTACTCTTACACAGTATTATGCTACATACATATGTAGTAAAAATGAATAGTTTTAGTTTACTGGAAGAGTTTACTACTAGCCAACCGCAAAAACTTTTGTACTACGTAGTGAAAAACTTAGCTAATTCTATTTTGTACGCCAAAGGTCTTGAGTTTGCGAGGGAAAATGTGTATTACGTCAACAGTCGTTGGTGGGAATTAGACAACTTTGAATGAAACGAAAGTCATACTTTAGGGAATGTAATGTTACTCTCTGGTACCTCCAATATTCATGACAACTTTGCTTGCAAATTAGGCCAACTATGGCCGGGCAAAGGTGTAGTATTTGTCAAAACGTTTTCAGAATGCATTCGTGTCTTCCTTTAAGTTTCGTGAAATTGAACTGTGGCGAGTATACGCCACCAGGTCAAGCACCTGGGGCCTAGCGTTCTCGGGACACCTCCTGCACTATAACCCTTTTAAGCAGCGGAATAAATTGCCCCAACCTTTCCATGTTACTACACGTTAAATGGATTATTGCATACAGCACTACGCATCGAGGCGTAGTAGTTTCAATCGCGAGCTTACACTTTCATGGACTTGGCTCCAGTGGGGGTCATGTCGTCTCCGTGGATGATCCGCTCGAGATCCTCGTGGTTGACGTGCGCAGCTTCTTCCAGATCGTGGTCGTGCTTGACATCGAACTCCTTTCCACGTGCCTCAGGTCCGATGAGCGTCAGCAAGAACACGTAGACGTACACAACACCCAAGAAGATGCAGATCACCTTGCCGTACTGGTACCGGGCCACTCCGTTCTCACCGTCCGGCAGCGGGAAGTGTTCGCCGAGGGAAGACTCGATCGTCGATGAGGCGGACGAAACCAGATTACCGAGCTGATAGGCCGTACCCACCACAAACGCACTGTAGGACGGAGGGGACAGCTCCATTAGGTGGATCGGGATGACACCCCAAGCGCCCTGGACGCAGAACTGCTCGAAGAAGGCGGCGATCATGATCTTCTCGTCGCTGACGTAGCAGTACGGGTAGAGGAGAGCAGCTCCGACGACGGCCATGACGAGGATCGACAGGCGACGACCGAAGACTTGCGAGTAGTAGCCGACCACGGTACCGCCACAAATGGCACCCAAGTTGGCCACGACCTGGGTCACGGTCACCTGGTTGGAGTTGAACTCAAACTGGTTCTCAAGCATCGTGGGGTACAGGTCCTGCGAGCCGTGAGACTGCAACACAAAACAAGGTCATGGTTAGCGTCAATCAACTGTGCTCAACGAGCGGGTGCAATAGCGTGAAGCGTACCATGAAGTTGAAGCCGGCCATGAGCAGCACCATGTAGCACAGCAGCAGCCAGTGGCGCTTGAGCGCGATCTTTCCCTCCGCGATGAACGTCTTGGTCATGTCGCGGCTGGCCTCACGCACGCGCTGGCGTTCCTGGAACACCTTGGTCTCGGGCAGGTACAGTCGGAAGATGATGATGAACACGGGCGGGCAGGCTCCGAACCAGAACAGCGGACGCCATCCATGGCTTGAGTGTTGACGAGCGCGCGCGCGAACACGACCGCCAAGAGGTAGCCGAAGGCATAGCCCTGCTGCATCATACCCGAAACAATACCGCGCGCGGCAGGAGGACAGTCCTCGAGCGCCGTTGCCGCGACGTTGCCGTACAAACCGCCCATGGCGATGCCGAAGAGCGCGCGCACGATGAGGAACTGCGTGTAGTTTTGGCAGAATCCGGTCGCCAGTTCAAGGACCATAAATAGTAGGTTGTTCACGATAAATGGCACCTTGCGTCCATAGCAATCGGAAGCAATGCCGAAGATGATGGAGCCGACCTGGAAGGAGAAACACACAAAGTTAAATGATGCCCATTTTAAGGAGGAACAACACCAACCCATTTAAAACCAACAATGCGACTAATTGCGGTTAAGTCGTCACGCACGTACCGATCGGAGCATGAGCACGAGCGTGATGCCCCACGTGATCTGCGTCTTGGTCTTGCCGAAGGTCTCGGCCAGGTCGGAGACCGTCATGGACACGGTGAAGAACGGTCGAAGGCGTCCCAGGACCAGGCGATGAAGGACACGAGGAACTGCAGCCACTGCATGCGGTTGAGCTGCGCCAGCACCGTGAACGGGTTGTCCACCTTGGTCATGGGCGGCTTGAGCGTCGTGAAGCGCGTGCGGCAGTACTCCCCGAACGAGCGCATCTCGTCGTTGTTGACCGGCTCCGAGGCGGGGTCTGACGACGCCTTGGGGGTCAGCGCCACCTGGTAGTCGGTCACCGATGGCATGGCTGTGGTGGAGGTCGATACGACACGGGAGAGCGAGCGAGCGAGCTAGCTACCGGCTGGCTGACTGGGGATTGGTCCACTTTAGCCCTCGAGCGCAAAAGTTGAAATGAGCTGAGGCCTCGCAGCGACTAAAGGGGAGCTTGCTCGACGCTGGCTGAAGGACATGAGGGGATGCGCGTCCGCGAGATCCGGCGCGGCGCAGCTTGCACTTGGCCTCCATCTTCGAGGGCGTTCCGTTTGATAGGAGCTAGCCGGTGGACTCGGCTCAAGGTCGTCGGCAATGGACAGGGCGAGCACGTTGAAGCAAGGCATTTAACGCGGGGGTGAGCCGGTGCGGCAGCGGCAGCTTCAACAACGGCAACATGTCGAGAGTAGCGGAAGCATCATCATGTCAGCTTGCTTGATATTTCACGTGTTGACTGGCGTACAGTATGGGCTGGAGTTCTACTAGCAATATTTGTGATAGGCGGAGAAGAAGTTCAAACACATCTTCAACCACGCTTAGTGTAAGCCAAGCCGTCACTTCGCCCTTCGAATTGCACAGACTTCATGATCCTGTCTCGACGAATTTTAATCTGCTCTTTGAGACGCAAGTCATGGGCCTTGCGTCTCGAGTGGCACCGCGTGCACTTTTGGAGGAGTGGTCTGGCATCTGAGTCATGCGGACTGAACGATCGTTTTGATGGGGCTCCCCGTTGAAGTTTGGGAGCTTTGGCTCGACAAGCCGATGCTCGTCGATCCCTGATTATGAATGGGTTGCTCGTGATGTATGTACACTTGTTCAAAAGTCTCGGGGGCTGAGGGCGGTTAACTTGCAGAGTTTGCTGCACCAGCACTGGCAAGCTTCCGCCACAGCGCTCGCTACTTCAGCCGACGCGGGAAGGAGACATGGGCCTGGCTCAAGCCCAAGTGATGAGTCCCGGGCTCATCTCCAGATTCTGAAGCACTGCTTCAGCTTCAAGCAGGGCCTTCCCTATGATTTTTTATCTCCGTGCAGTCGGAGGCTTTGAGTGTGCCACCGCCACTACAAGCGACGCCTACGAGCGAGTGCGGGTGAGAAGCTGATTATAAGTTTATCGAGAGCCTCGTACACCTCAGCCTCTCCTACATATTCCTCTGATACTACACAGTCGACTCGGGGCCCCCTCCCGCCAAAACTCGGCTTCCACCGAGGGAGGCGAATCCCGCGTCAATAACAATTGCGCATCCGCCCGAGGGCGTCGTGTTGTCATGAGCCGTGCTCTTCCAAAATCACGTTGTTGTTGAGTGGCGTGGCCGGGTAGCTCTTGGCCGATTCGCTCGACGAGCTGCAAGGGGAGCTGTTGCACTCGCCCTCGCTGTGCGTGACGCGGTCGCAGCGAACCTCGTGGTCCGACAAGTGCGACAACGAGTGTCCGCGTGGCTTCGTGCTGCTCCAGTCGCTATCAAGCTTGGGCAAGTGGAGTTCCGATTTGGCCGGGGCGCGCACGGACAACGAAGACTCGCTCGTGAGGGACATGTTGTCGGCAAGCCGCGCTGCCACGTCCGCATGCCTTTCCTCGTCCGTTCGGGAGGCGGTTGCAGTTGAAGCCCGCGTGCTGGGCACAGAAGGCAGTGCTGCACTCGGATGCAAACCTGGCTTGAAGCCGCAACGCTTGCGCATGCGCATCTCCATCTCCTTCTCGATGCCGACGAAGTAGCGGTTCATCGCGTTCATGAAGCGCCGGCGGTACGAAATGGGGCTAATGACCGTCGGGTTGCGGAAGGTCAAGCTCGCCTTCGATGTCGACTCCATCTTCTTCAAAAAGTCGAATTGATGCAGGTAGTCGATAAGCCCCACAACCACTTGTCGCTTTTCCTCATCGAAGCGAAGCAACTAAACGAAAGAAAGAAAGCTAGAGTCAGTACACTGGGCGATATCACCGGTAGCACAAGCAGCACTCACCAGTGAGTAGTCGATCACACCTGCACGATACAAGAAACCAGTATCGTTCTGAATAGCTGCTTCGATTACGTCCAAGTCTGGGCGTGAGACCGGTACAGGCATACGCTCCGAGAAGTTGCCATCGAGCAATACCGGCAAATTCATGGAGACTTGCACATTCGATACGCTGTTGAAGGCATCGTGGTGGTCCTCGTCGCCGCTGCTGGAAGTGTTGTACCGCCGTCGCAGAATGCCCTTCAGGTCGTACATTTGGCCCGGGGGGTACCCGTACGAAAAATTCTCCATGATCACAACGTATTCCGTGTGCTTCAGCAGGCGCCGACTGTGGTTGAGCTTGAACAGTCCCACAATTTTCGTGATGACTGTCGGCGTCGGTAGCTCCACCACTCGCGAAATAAACTTGAAGTATTTCGGAGCCATGTGAACAAACATGTTGAACTCGGTCACTGATATGCCCTTCAGCACGTAGCGCTTATCATGAGTCATCGAAAAGAACGCGCCCGATTTACCTCCAGTCGTATCCCACCGCTTGCTCTCGATAATAGAGTTCAGGAACTCCACATTGCCCGGGACTGTAAGTGCGCGCAACGCGTGGAATTGTGCAGCGAAGTATGCCACGCAGCGGAACTCGTGGTTCGTGGAGCCAACTGCATAGGAAAACTTCATCGACGTGTGTTGCAGATCCGTCGAGCGCAGCTTATTTAAATAAATCGCCTTCTTCTTGTCAACCACCGTCATCGAGGTCGCAGCTGTCGAGGCGCTAGAGCTGGGTGAAACATCCCCTCCCGCTGCCGGGGCAATTTCAGGGACTTCTTCGGTCTTGGGTGGTGACGGCGCAGATACTTCACTGATACCTGCGTTTTCCGATGCGTGGAGCTCTTCTGCAATGTTCACCTTTTTCTCGAAATGCGCCTCCAGCTGATCAATATACGCAGTAGAGCAAAGAGTATATCCGATCAACGACCCGATGTCTTTGTCGTGGACTTTCACCACGTAGCCGTTGATACCGTCGGGGAGGTCGAAGTGGCCCTCACGCAGTCCTGTCGGAATATTCGTGTACGGCTTTATCCGAATACCTTCGGATGCGTGCAAGCTGTGGCCATAGTGACTGACAGGAGTGCTGCTTGAGCGGTTCGACTCCGGTACGGATAAACTTCGCTTGTCGTGCCTTGCCACAATCAGAGAGTTTCTCTTCATCTCCAGGGAAGATCCCGACGTGTACGATAATTCCAGTTTCCCCACGGTGGAGTTTGACGTGCTTGTAGAGAGAGCACTGTCTTCGCTTAGACTGGGTTGCTGTTGCTCCTTCTCCATAGGCGGACCTTCCGTAAACCAGTCGAGGGGGATTCGACGCTTAGTGGGGGAATCGGCAACAATTTTCTTGATGGTCGCGTGTTCCTGAGACGGTGCCAACAAAATCACATTTTCCTGCAGTCGACGCACCAGCAAATACAGCTCCTTCAGCAGCATGTTGCACCCGAGGACGCTGGTGCGATCCGAACCCAAAGTTGCCTCCGCGCCTACGCGAAACGCCTGAATCGATGCAGACGCCTCCGTTCGAAGCCGTTCGATTTCTTTCTTGGGCACGGAGGGCACTGTCGACGGTAGAAACTCCTGCGCAGTGCACAGATTTTCCTCCAAGATGTCGATATTCTCCGATATATACGCCGAGGCCAATTCGATCTTCGAGTCCAGCACCTCAGTGAACTGTTTCACGTAGTCTCGACGACAGGCTTCGTCCGTTTTGCGCTTGGACTGCATCGTGGACGAAATGAACTTGTACGGTCTCCACGCTCCGCGGCCCTGCTTGTTCTTGGCTCCATTGATTTCGCCGTTCATCTCGTTGACCATGGAGGCGCTCACGAGCGAGCCGTCCTCCTCCGTCGACGAGCGCATTCGCCGGAAACTGCGGCTCCTGGTGCTCGATCCACTTTCTGACTCGTCCGCTGCAAAAAACGAGGCCCGACTGCGCACGATCAGCTCGCTGAGAGCCGAGATCCACGACGCGCGCGACGTGCCATCCACCGCATTCAACCTCAGCGTCCGCTCTCCGTTACAGATCGAGAACTGGAACTGTCGAGGCTTGGACGATTCCTCCACGAGCAGCGTCGTATGCCTGTCAATGAGCTCCTCGCACACCTGCACCATGGACGCTCGGTCTCTCAAGCACACGAGGCTGCTGGAGTCCCATCGGAGCAAAAAGTATCGCAGCTTCCAGCTGCGCGACAGCGTGCCGCGCACCCCGAGCCATCCCTCCTTCTGGATATCGTCGTCGGTAAAGTCCACGCGCACGAAGTTCGAGGGCTTCTTCGCGGATCCGAGCTGGAAGTACGCCTTGAGCGCGTCTCGATAGACGCGGTAGTATCTGTTGGGTCCCGGGCTCTCGGACAGCCTGGACTCGCGCACGTTGTGGTCGTCGTTGTAGCTGGGCGAGCCGGCCCTCGTCTCCTCCTCTGCTGCGTGCGCGGTCGAGAGCGGCGTGCGCACGCGCGTGCGGATCCAGCGACGGCGCCGCAGGAAGTGGTAGTAGCCGCGCTTGACCTTGCTCGTGCCCTCGGCCAGGCGGCAGTTGATGCGCTCGATGGACGAGCCGTAGGTCCACCCTTCCTCGTCGCACTGCGTGTACTCGCTGTCGGGCATCCACGCGTGGCTCCACATCCACTCGGGCGAGCGCAGCACGCCCACCTCGAGCTCGGGCGCCTCCGCGACGCCATTGAGGCGGTCGTCGCGCCCGGTCACGCGCAGTACCGCGCGCGTCAGCGCGTGGTACGTGTTGCCGCTGCGGTCGCAGAAGCGCTCGAGCGTCCAGCCGTGGAAGGGCTGCAGCACCTGCACCTCGAAGGCCTCCTCGACCACGGACTCCATTCGGCGGCGGGCGGGCCCAAGTGTGACTGACGTGTGCCGAGTCTCCACTAATTAGTCCACTGAGTGTGTGTGTGTCTGCTGCTGCTTGTTGGAGGCTAATGGCACTCAGCCAAAAAGCCATAGTGAGTGAAAGAGAGCGCGCAGCGGCGGGCCCTAGCCCTGTCGTCGGAAATACGGGACGCAGTTATGGCCAATGGAGCGGCGCGTGGCGGAGCCTTTCGGCCAATGGCGAGCGACGCGTTGACACCCGTGCAGACAGGCGCCCGCAGGTGAAGTTTTTGACACATCGCAGGCAAATAAGTTGCCGCGAACGAACGGCGCGCCATGCGCGTGTTGGAGCGTGGTGGGGGCGCGGCCGAGATTCGCATGTCGGCGGGCGAAGGAGTTCGTGCTTGCTTGCTTGCAGGCATCACCTTGGGCTTCGATGATGAAAGGAGGTTTCGCGGTAACGCTGAACTGTTGCACCCCGGCACATATTCACATAGACCAGTCCCACCCGGCACCAACTGCATCCGACTCGGAGCGCTCCAGTTTGCCAGGCAAGCTTGAGCAATTTGTGCAGCGTTTGGATCGCAGCAGGGATCTGCCGATGCTTTGCTTTCGCGTTTGATGCTCGCTCGCTGCAGCGATCGATCACCAGTGCTTGAGCCGTTGCCAAGCACGGCAAAATATCCAGCCAAAGTGTCCCAATCAGTGCCTCGCCCGTCCGACGGAAGGCGCCATGCCCGCGCGATTATTACCGTGCGCGGGGCTGTCGGATAGCGTATCATAATCAGCGACTTGCAGGCCCCTGAGTTGCAGTCCGCCTTACCAGCACGCCAGCAACAGCAACGCCAGCCTCGCTGTTTGCTGCTCGAAGAGGTCGCCAGAGGCGCGCCACGCCATGCGTGTCCCAGTCGTGGCATCGGCCACGAATCGTGGCCCACGATATCCATTCTGGCGCTCGACTACCATAGCGGGGGGGGGGGGGTTTGCAGCAGCTCAAACGTTGAGCCAAGCAAGCTCTCCTGCAGTCAACGAATGAAAAAGATCGTGGAATTTGCCTTCAACTGCGCCAAGCAAGACAAGATTTGCTTATCAGATCCGCTCGCTGCCTTTTGTCAAGTGAGAGGAGCGGCGGAAAATGCATTTGTATTCAGTTGCAGTGTCTCGCGCGAGGAGACGCGCTTATCTGGAAGGGTCCAACTCGATCTACTGCGTAGCAGCTGGTTAGTGCACGTTAACCTCGCGCCGAATGACGTCCACGACTTCGTCGTCCTCAGCCTCGTGCTCGTCGGCGGTGTCCACGTTGCTGGAGCTGCCCTCCGGCCCGAAGCCGCCCTTGCGGGGGCTGCTGTTGTCGCCGTACTGGCACAAGTTTGTCAGCAGCGGGATCAGGTACTTGTTGTCGAACTGCAGCGCGCGCATGTGTCGGTGCGGCTTCACCGTCTTGTCTAGCGCCGCCTCCTCTTCGGGCTATCCATCCGGGTCGAACAGCAGAATCAACCGCACAAAGAGGCAGAACGGTTCAGTCGCCGACGAACGAGCAAACAAACGAGCAGAACATACATATCGCAGGGCGGACTTACGGTCAATCGTGGAATGCCGCACTTGTCGAGCACCGCGACGGTGCCGCCGCCCATTACGATGATCGAGAGCAGCACCACGATAAGCGTGGTGGCCACAACTTCGGGGCGCTTCTCGCCGGGGAAGGACTTGGACAGGGCGAACGCCACGGCACCGCGCATTCCGCCGTACCAGATCACGTGCTGCTGGTTCATGGTGATCTTGGCGGCGTTCTTGCGCAGGTTCAAAAAGTAGGAAAGCGGGTATACAGCGCACCCTCGGGACAGCAGGCAGAAGAAGGCCATCCAGAAGATGAGCCAGAACCTGTAGTACTCCGTCAGTCCAAACGCGGACAGTCCTAGGTCTGTCATAAGACGTTGTGTTCACGACAAAGTTGTCAGTCTACACAATAGGCGTGATCCACGGCAAAACTTCATACACTTGACGTACTCAGGAACACCGACGTTTCAGCCATGTGCGAGAGCGTATTGAAGACCCCAGAGCACCTGTAGATTCAAACATGGCCTACTCTGTTAGACACACCACTTGACAATGTATGCAAAATGAACTTGCAGACGTACACGTCGCGAGCTTCCGGGGTCAGGTTGGCCGAGGCGTAGTGCTTCATTGACACACCGGCGAAAATGACCGACACGACGCCCGACATGCCGAGTACCTGCGAGACCACGAACGGCAGGTAGGCGAACATGACGTACACGCCCACTTCGTGCAGCAAATTGCTGCGTAGGTTGCCATACTTGAACAGCAACGCCGGGATCATGCCGAAAATGACCCCGATCATCGTAGAGCCCGTGAGCACCAAGCCGAACTCGAAGATGGCGAACAGCATGGGCTTGAACTCGTACGAGTGTCCAATGAAGCGAGAGAACGTCTCGAAGAGGCAGATGGCCACGGCGTCATTCAGCGAGCTCTCTCCAAACACGAGGTAGAACAGCGTTGGGTCGACGTGAAGCTCCTGGAACACCGCCAGGATGGAGACAGCGTCCGTAGCAGAGATCAGAGAGCCGAAGGTAAGGCTCTCCGCCATGGACAGCCGCATGACCCAGCCCAAGCGGCCGACGGTGTAGATGCCGAGGCCCGCGACGACACTCATCGTGAGCGTGCCCAGGATGGAGTAGACCAGGATCGGCGTGATGTTTTCAAAGAAGTAGCGGCGCTTCATGGTGTAGCCCGAGTTGAAGATGATCGGGGGCAGCATGCCCACGAAGAAGAAGTTTGGGTCGAAGTCCATGAGCTTGACGGCGATGGAGCTGGACTTCATGAGCATGCAGAAGATGCTGGCCAGGAGGCCCACGCCGATGGTCACGCCGGCCTCCGGCAGGAAGTGGCAGTGCAGCTTGTGCGTCACGTGGTTGCACAGGATGATGGCGACCATGAGCAGGAGCAGGAAGGTGGCGAACTGGAACGCGAGCGAGTACTCCTCGCTGATCTCTTCCTCGATGAGGTGCTCCTCGAACGAGGCCGTCATGGCTGCGAGAGTTCTTGCTCCTGGAACTGAAAGCCGATTGCAGACTGCCGGCGCCGGCGTCGGCGTCGGCGTGGAGCTCAGGCTCAAAGGGCGTCCGCTGCAGTAACCGACAGCAGGATCCCGTCGGCAACGGGCAGCGAGAATGCATTCCGCCGCCTATTCTCGGCGGCCATGGGGGATAGCGAAGCCAGCCTGGCCCAGTTGGCGCGTCATCAGCAGGAACAGCTTCGGCACGGCCTCATTGCGTAGCAGACCAAGGACGCGCACAACACGTCGACGCCAAAAATTAGCGCGCCCAGCAGCGGAGATTTGAGCGTCGAGAGGGCGGAGATATGCGCCGGCATCCGGCCGAACTGCAGTGCGGTAAAGCGGAAATGTAGCCAAGCACCTTTTCTGCCAGAATTGAAGCGACCGGCATATGGCGCCGCTTGGCGGCGAGCGATCCGCAGGTCATGGACGTCGAGCTCCGCAGTCGAGCTGCTGCTGGGCCTGGTGGACATGGTCTCGTTACAGCGGACGGCAGAGACCCATGCTCGCTGACAGCCTTGTCAATGAAGGGAGCGTCGAGCGATGCGCTTCCTGAACCAGTCTCTATGCCGGCCATTAGCATCAGCAGTAGCAGCCGAGCGGAGCAACCTTGCTGGCTGCCTTGAAGCCGGGTACAGCACGCGCATGTGCTGCCAGTGCTGCTTGGGACTCGATGTCATCGCTGCGCCTTGTCCGCTGATATCCGTTCCGCCGTTCCGCTGCTCGCGGCGAGGGGCGGACGATAGATCGGAAGCTATGCGCTCGGGGCTCCATCAACTGGCCTCACAGGCTGGGTCAGCGAATGCAGCAATGCCTCCCAGGGCACCACTGCCCTGCAGCCTCCGTCCAAGCAAGGGCTTGCTCATCATGATGACCGGCGCCAGTCGCGGGTTTCGGAAAAACCGAAGCAGCACCGTCGGGGTCCGTTTTTGCAGCGTGTACCACATATCTGGTACGCGGAAATCTCCTCTCCCGCCTGAGTTTAGCTCACAAGGAAAGAACGTCGCCGACCGGCCGGCTCGCTCGCTCGCAGAGTCCAGAGCTCGCGGCACCAGCAGCACCAGGCTGCCACCCGCACGCAGCCTCTAGCCCCGCCCCGCCCCAGCCCAGCCAGCACCCGGCACTTCGGAAATCGCCTGCGTCCTGCAGCTGGCCGCTTACGCAAGCCCCCGACTGACTGCGCCGTTCCATCGGGTGGTTACGCAGTCACTCGCTCGATCCTCCAGTCCCCACCATGCTGTTCGGCTCGCAGTACGACGAGGACGGCGCCACGGACCAGAGCGGCAGCCCCACGACGCCGCCGCAGTCCGCGCGCAAGAAGAGGAGCGGCGCCTCCGCCGCCTCCTCCTCGGCGCGCAAGGGCGGCAAGGCCCCCAGCAGTCACCGGGAGCGCGTGCGCCCCAGCATGGCCGGCGCCGCCTCCGCCGTCATCGCCGCGGGCGGCCAGAGCAGCCCCACGCAGTCGTTCGACTCGACCAACTCGTCGTCCTCCTCCATGTCGTACCTGCTGGCCAACCAGCGCACGGGCAGCAACTTCAACTACGCGGGCTTCGACAACGGCAACGCTAATAACGGCATGACGGCCGTGAGCGCGCCCACGCTGCTGCCCAAGATGCGCCGGCGCAGCTCCAAGAAGAAGGGCGAGCGCGGCCAGAAGAAGCACAAGCGGCCCGTGGACCGCCAGTGCATGTACCCGAGCGTCTGGAAGCAGCTGCAGTTCCGCAAGAAGATCGTGCAGCTCGCCACCAACCTGAGCGACAAGCCCATCTGCGTCACGGGCGTGGACGGCTTCCTGGCCTCGTGGATCGTGTGCGAGCTGCTGAACCGCGGCTACCACGTGCGCGGCACGGTGCAGAACGGCAAGGACGACATTTCGGGCCTGCTGCAGCTGCCCAACGCCAACAAGAACTTCTCGGTCGTGGAGACGTCGCTTCTGACGCCCGAGGCATGCGACATGGCCGTCCAAGGTGCGTGCGGTGGTGGTGGTGGTGGATATGATGACTGTCTGCTGTAGTGGTGCTGACTGACTGACTGATGTGCTTTGGATACTGCTGTAGGCTGCGACTTTGTTATTCACACAGGGACGCCCTCGTCATGCTCGGTGCGGGACCCGCTGTCCGAGCAGCAGGAACCCGGGGTGCACAGTATTGGCAGTCGCATGCACTGCATCATCCCCATGATGACCAACTTCATCCAGGCTTGTGCCCGCGCGCGGATCAAGCGCGTCGTGCTGACCTCTTCCGTTGCAGCAATGGCCGACTCGGTCACTCCGGATTCGATTATTAACGACGCGTGCTGGAACGTGACGTCGTCGCTGGAGAAGAACCCGCATTTTCTGAGCTTGAAGCTGGCCGAGGAGGCGGCTTGGCAGCTCGTGGATCAGCTGCCGAGCGACCGACGAATTGATTTGGTCACGATGAACCCGGGAACTCTGTTTGGGCCGATGCTGTCCAAGTCGAAGCTTGCTCCTGGGAACCAAGTCATATACGATCTGATTACGGGTCAATACTCGGCTTTGGTGGATTTGAATTGGAGTATGATCGACGTCCGAGACTGCGCGGTGGCGCACATTGCGGCGTTGGAGAACAATGATGCTCGAGGTCGATACATCTGCGTCAACAGGAGCGTGTGGATGAAGGATATGGTCGATATACTGTCCAATAATGGCTACAGTGGCCGCGATTTGCCATGGAAGGTGGGGCTACCGAGCTGGGTGGGGCGTCTGCCAGCCTACTCGGTTCAACTTGGTCAGGTGGGGGCGTCACTGTACGCGTATGACCCCGCCTCTGTGCGATCTTCACCCTACTTAGGCGATAAACTCGTGGAGCACCTGAACGTTCGCTTCCGCTCTGTTGACTCAACTGTCGTTGAATCCGCGAACGACTTGCTGAAGTGGGGGCTGATCAAGCCATGGGCTGAGGACCATGAGGCGCTCGAGTGTGGGTGCTGCCACAACCCGTTCACGTTTTATCGGAGAAAGCACCACTGTCGGGTAAGCCTCAACGTCACAGAACTGCTTGCGTGTGATAGAAGATCTCATTTATGTGTATGTGATATGCTTTTGCAGGAATGTGGTGTGATTATTTGCAACGACTGTTCGATGTCTCGAGCGGTTGTAGAGGGAACGGAAGGGCGTGCGCGGTTGTGTGATAAGTGTGTAAAGGGCTCCATTCCAGATCTGCTCGACCTCCTAAGGGATGAAGACCCGGACAAGAAGCGAACAGCGGTGGTTGCGTTGGAGTCGTTGATGGAGAATCCTCTGAACCACGACTACGTTACTCGCTTCGGTGGAATTCTGCTTCTGATGGATGCGATCCACCATCCCGATGAATCAATATCGTCACATGCCGCGGGAGCGCTGTGCGCGTTATCGTGCAGTGTGGCGAGCACACTTCAGATGGTGCTGGAAGGAGCAGTCCTCCAAATGCTGGAAGTTGAAGAGACGCTTAGCACGTGGGCCATTTGCCTACAAGCACTTCGCAATATCTGGAAGCAGATCAACCGACAGGATTTCCGGCGGATGCTTCACGCGGTTGCACGAGTATCTGCTGACGCCAACATCGGTAAGCTGACATTTTTATTCCATTTAGGAAAAGCGTATACTGACGTATTGCCGTGTGTGTTGTGAACATGCAGGCGAGCTACGGGGTAACATTTTGCTTACGTTCGTGCACATGATGGATGCCGAAGAGGTGCCGACTCTTTTATCAGAGGGTCTGCTTTCGGTACTCTATCACATGCTGCAGTCAACATCGGAGTTCCCTCGATGTGCTGCCGCGCACGCTATAAAACATTTGGTTCCGGCGGGGTATGACCCGGATGTGACGATCGAGGTGCCGCCGTATCTAGTGGACGACCACGAAGAGCTGTTCCTGAACTCGTCGCTGTCCGACCTGCAGTTTCTTGTGAAGGGCCATATCGCCCCGATCAACGCCCACAAGGTCGTCCTCTTCTTCCGCAACTCGTACTTCAAGAACATGGTGAGAGTGAGTATCGTTTACATGTCTGCACCCTGTTGTATCCCGTTGCTGCCACGCTGCGAGCTTGTGCTTATTCTAATGGGGGTTTGTTGCCTACGTGTTGTAGTTTGGTTCAGCTACCAGCCAGACAGCAGTGATTGAAGTCGACAACTGCAGTTATGAAGTATTTTCCATCCTGCTTCGGTTCTTGGTACGTTCACAGCTGAAAAGTCTAAGCCACTAAAGACGTCGAACGCTAACAATTTGTTTTGTGCGAAAATGCAGTACACTGGCAAAGTGGACATTACCCCAGATGTGGCTGAAGAATTGCTGCGCGCGTCGTCGTTCTATTGCGTGTACGAGCTGCAGAAGCGTACGGAGGCCTTCCTGAGCGGACAGATTTGTGTCGAGAACGTCGTGGACCTGCTGACTCTATCGGAAGAGTGCAACGCTGACGACCTGAAGAAGAACTGCGTGCCATTCTTGATGCGGCACATCCACGAGGTCGTGCGTCTGCCTGCGTTCGAGGAGCACCGCGTGCGCTCGAGCGAGGAGGTGCTGAAGGCGCTGACGAACATGCTGGGTCCGGAGTGGGAAGCCAGCTACGCCAAGTTCAAGAAGTCCATCGGGATCAAGGACAAGGAGGAGGAAGAGGAGCCCGCCGAGGCCGAGAAGACGGACGAGGAGGAGGAGCAGCTGCCCATGCATCAAGTGAACGAGATCCAGGAGGCGCCGCTGTCCCCTCGCTTCCTGCTGTCGCCCGTGCCGCCTCCCAGCTACTCAAACCACTCGGCGTTCGCGACGGAGTCTCCGCGGCTGAACACCGTGGGCGAGGACAAATCGACCGAGGGGTTCCACTTCATGAAGACCTTCGGCAACGAGGACGTGCTCTTCCGGCGTTCTCGCAACTTCTCGGAGGACTTTTCGGAGGGGTTATCCGAAGGCGTGTGCTAGGTTTTTTAACGTTATATGAAGCTGCAGCAGCTATGGATATTGAATCAAAATGCAACTTGGCTGCCCCAACAACAGCAACAGCAACAGCAACAAGGCTTGCACTTCAAGCATCGATCTTATTACCGTCGCGGCCTAAAAATACGCCCAACGTACCCAAGTTAGTATATTTGGGTGCCGTTAATTGAGTAAAGTTCCCATTTTCGGGCCCTTTTCTGCTTCTCCTGAGAACACACAAGCATTCCGCAAGCGCGTGCCTTGATGGGAACGGAGCTGCTGTGGTAATTAATCCGCCCCTAATGGACGTCGCCACGAGGCCCATGGCGCAGCACGCGGACGAGGACGAGGAGCACAAGGCGCGCGGCGACGTCGTGGTGCGCGTGGGGGACGCGTCCACGGGCGCCGTCCACGCGGTGGCGCTGGTCTCGGCCAAGTAAGGGGCCGCTCTTGCCTCCTTTTTGGGTTGAAATTGGCTGATTAACTATTAAATACTCCCTGTACGCGGCAGCGTCGTGGTCGAGGAGCTGCGCGAGGAGCTGGCGCGGCTCAGCGGCGTCCCCGTGGGCGAGCAGATCCTGCTCTGCGGCCCGCCCTTCGCCCGCCTGGACCCGCGCCGCGCCGTCGAGTACTACGGGCTGCCGGCTGTACGTGCGCGCGCTGCAAAATAATTTTATTATTTAGTGGGATTTTATTGATAATTATTGCGTGGTTGTGTGTTGTTGGGCAGGAGGACAAGGAGGTGTTCTTGTACGACCGCCGACTGCTGTCCCAAGAGGCGGCTACACCTCCGCCTGCTATGGCGTTAACTCCAGTTCATGCCAAGCGTAAGGAATTTTCGGTAATTGCTTTTTAGTGTGATTTACGCTGATTCTGATTTTTGTTATGATGTTAATGTTGAAGTGCCATCGCAGCCGGTGGCGTCGTCGGAAGGTTCGAAGATGTTGAGTGAGAGTTCGCATCCGATGATGCGGGCGCTGGTGGAGTACGAAGGATACTTCCAGCTCCAGGTCAGCCAAAGCGAGGCGCTGGAGAGTGGCACATGTGCCAATATCACTGCGAGTGAGCGGGGCGCGCAGGAGCTGCAGGTGCAGGAGCGTGCAATTGCCGCCGCAGTCGCGAACTTGGACTTGTTCAAGACCTCGATGATGAAGCACTTTGCTCCGTTCTGGGCGGATTTCCAGGCTACGACCGACAAGCACGAGCGCTTACTGAGCCAATTTGACAGCTATATCGAAGCGTTGGGTACGGTGGAGCTCCACCCGGCCTTGGCTACGGAAGAGCGAAAGACGCTCTATGATTGCATCCCGGTTGAGAAGGAGCGAGAGTGGGCGGCGCAGTGTGAGCAGTCGCACACGCATGTGCGGTCGCAGGTGCTGAAGCTGCAACAGGTTCACGACGACATATGCAAGGAGGTGACCGAGATGATGAACGCGCACGCTGAGGCGTGTCGGGAGTACGAGGAGGCTAGCGCGGAATTGGAACAAATGAAGGCGCTGGGAAGCAAGCAAATGAGCATTACAAGTAACTTGCGTGACAATTTGCAGTACGTGCTCAGCAGTATCGAGGAGACGTCTACGATTGCCAGCGGAAGTAACCCCATGCAGGCATCTACCAACGCGTTGGATGTGTGCCGACGGATTGATGCGCTGTATCAAGGACAGCAAAATATGGTTCCGGATGCACAGAAGCTGGTGGAGGATATCATAGCCCATGTACACAACATTGCAGCCAAGAAAGCGACGACTTTCGCGCGCGTACACTCAACTCTGCGCCAGATTTCGATCTCACAGTCCAAGATCCGTGATTTCGAAAATTCTCTGGCCGTATTTAGGGAGGCACTTGCCGCCCAAAAGAAGCATTTCCATGAGCTGGAGCATCTGGATAAGCTACCAGGTACTGTTACTAGCATTATTACTGGTCTGATGGAATTAAGGCTAATGCTTCGTGTCAACAGAATCGTACGCTGCGTGTCTAAAGGAAATCTCGAGGCGCCTGAAGTACGGTCGCATGTTTTCAGACCGTATTCAGTCCATGGCTGAGGAACTTGCACAGTTACGCGAGGATGAGGTAAGATACTGCAACTCTCACAGAATTTGTTCTGCTACTCCTCTAACGATTATCGTACTTCGCTACCAGGTCCAACACCGTGAAGAATTTTTGCGAAGCTACGGCCAGCATTTGCCGCGCGATTTCGTAACAGGTCTTGCGGAAAAGCCATCTCACTGTGAGTTCCGTATGCGACCATTTGATCAGAGCCTGCCTTTGATCGAAGATGATGAAGATGATAAAGATTTCGATCCGTTTGAAGAGAAGGACCATCCTCCGTCGGACGAATTCGTCGATTGTGAGGACCATGGTAGTTCCTCAGGATCGATCACCAACGCGGAGCTTCTCCAAGAACGATGCAACGAACTGGAAGCACGTGTAGCAGAACTTACATCAGAGCTGGAGCAGTCAAAGAAGAACCTGTACTACAATGGGTCGGGAAGCGACTCAACTTCTCGGTCAGATATGTCGAAGAATAGTGCACGAGAGGGAGAAAGTTCATGCGAGTTCCCGTTGGTGCTGGCTTTGGCAGCGACGGCGGGCGGCATGACCAGTTCCTCGGAAGCCGATCGCTCCAACATTCTTGACCGCGAGTTGGCAACGGTGAGGCGGAACATTGGCTCTGGTGCCGATAACAAGGATGCGACTATTGCCAAGCTGGAGGTATGGTTGCAGTTGCGGTATCCACAAACGTTTTTGTTTGCTAACCTTTGTACGTAATTTATGTTATTTAGAGTGAAAACCAGCAATTCTTGCTGAATGCGGCGGCCTTCGAAGAATATCCTTTTCAACTATTTACTGCATGTTCCCTGCTGCCGTGGGATATCTTGTTGCTGCTTGACCTAGGTTTCCTTAACTGGTGCGGCGCCTTTTGTTTTGCGTGTTCGATGAATTTACGGAGATCCAGGAGCGATCAAAGCGCGAGAAGCAACTCAAGGAGAACCAGTCCAAGCTTCAGCAGACAGTCAAAGGTCTGAGTAGCAGTGTTCGATCCCAGCGAACGTCATTAGCCAAGCTGCTGAAGCTGCTTCAGCTTCCCCTTGAGCCGCAAACAGTCGAGGACGAGGATGTCGATGCCTTTGTAAATGCCAACTTCGACGCTGTGGAGACGCGTGTGAAGGAACTCCTAGCAAGCGCTGAATCGGAAGCGGTACGATGCCAGCATTCGATCATCGCTCATAATCACTGGGGAATCGTGTGCTAATTCTCAGTTTGTCATTAGATGTTGCAGTCGGAGTTGGACCAGCGGCGGTCCGAGTTCCGCTTGATGGAATCGGAGCAGGATCTGAACGACTCGTTCAAGATCTCCTTCCGGAGCTTCAGCGTCAATGACCTGGCACTGTTCTTACCGACCTCGGCCCCCGGAAGCGATGCGCAGCGTGTGTATCTGGCCTTTCATCTCGGCTGCCCGCACCGCTTCCTCTCGGAAGAATCCATCTCCTCGTTCAGCAATGACGGCCAAAGGTACGCAGCGGACTACATGTAGAGTCCCCATATTGCTTGGTCGCGTCTACTAACTATAGTGTGTGTCACCTGCTGTGTCAGATACCCGGACTACGTGGTGGGCCGCATTGTGCTAATCGACGAGCAGACGGCGACGGAGGGCAACAACCCGTACGCGCTTCACCTCGGGACCACGTTCTACGTCTTGACGGTCACAAGTCTTCACGAAAGCTAAGCTAAGCCCTCAGCCCCCATCTACCTAACCAAAGCCACACTAAACCAATCTGCCGCATAACGTGAATGAAATGTTCAGCGGTGAAGGCGAACCTCCTGTTCAGCTTGGGCGGGCCTTCCTGCAGAGCCAGCGTGTGCACTTGTACACTTGTGCTTCAACTGTCTTATCCTCGATGCTTTGTTTTTGCACCACCGAAACCTATTGTCCAGACGAGCATCATTGGTACTCTCCACATCAGCGCCATACCAAGTGAGACTTTCGCCCCCCTCAACGCCATGAGCTCCACGCAGACGCCCCCCGCTGAGCCCACGTCCGCCAAGCGCGCGGTCGAGCAGTTCGACCAGGAGTTCCAGCGCTACACGACCAAGCAGGTGCGTAACAGTCGGCTAAGATGGCTTAATCAGGACGCAACTGACCGACCGACTCATTTGATTATGTGCTCGTGCTGTTGCAGTCTGGCAAAAGCGCTCGCGCTGTGGCCATGGCTCGCGCCGAGCTGGCCAAGTACAACGCGCTGGTGTTCCAGGACAAGAAGCTGGAGGAGGCTGGCGTGAAGAAGGGCCGCATGTCTCCGGAGCTGCGCGCTGCCTACGAGAAGAAGATTAAGAACCTGGAGGAGGCGCTGGACACGTTCCACCGCTCCGTGGCAGGGTACAACCGCACCAAGGCCATGTAAGTTCTGTAATGTTGCGTGAAAGCAGTTTGTGGTGAGATGCTGATGGACTTGCGGTGGTTTGCGTGTGTTTTCTTGCAGCTTGTCCTTCGTGCTGCTGGTGGCGTTCGCGCTCATGATGTTCTTCCAGCCGTGGGCCAAGCACTTCGACAACCCCAAGGACCTGACGTACGCGGAGTACGAGGCTCTGGAGGAGGAGCCGACGCCGGCAGAGACGGTGAAGGTGACGGTGGAGGCCGACGCCGGCCTCAGCGACGAGCTCTAAGCTTCTCGCCTCTTCCACTCCTCCTATAGACGCTTGTTTGTCTGGATGCTCTCGGCTCCAGCATTTTGCTGTTGATTTCAGATTGAATTGAGATCGATTGACATTGAATCCATTGACTACGTTACAAGTACGACATGCCAGTCATCGACTAAAGTAGATTGCTACGCTCACCTGGGAACTCCTGCGGACACTCCGTCGGAATTCCCGTATACCGTAACTTACGGCATAAGTATGCAGCAAAACTACTACAGACTGGCAATCAAATCCGAAAGTCGCAAAATTCATATTGCAAATTTCTAGTTAGCAACTTCAATTACGCATTCAAAGATGGAATTACGGCAATCAAATTCGTACAGTAGGCTACTACTACTTGTCCGACGAGCCCTGTTACATGCCGTACACCATGTCCTCGTTGTTCGCCGCCTTGGTGGCGAAGTCGCGACAGTGCAGCTCCATGCTGGCCACCAGCGCTGGGGTCATCACGTTCATGTTGGCGGTCGCGCGCTCCAGGATGTGCATCTGGCGTTCCGAGATGGAGAGGATCTCACCGTTGCTGTCTGGCTCACGCGAGCGATCGTAGATTGCGTGGCGATCCAGAGCCAAGTCTCGCTTAATGCGGGATTTTAGGACGCTGCTTCTCGAGGGCGAGTAACGCGGCCTTGGAGGGACATCTGCGAAGAAAAAGGCGAATTGCGAAGTGAGCTCCCCTCGGTCGGCGTCGGCTATAGTGCGCGCCAAACCGCGCGCCCTTGCTTTTGGCGCGAGCACAGCACGCCAGCTTACGTAGCCATGGAGATCTTGGACCTCTGGTCCAACTTTGATTGCCGTAAATTCCATCTTTGAATGCATAATTGAAGTTGCTAACTAGAAATTTGCAATATGAATTTTGCGACTTTCGGATTTGATTGCACGTTGGTACGAAGTTGGCCGCACAAAGGTGTGGAGCGTGAGAACGAGACGGGTAAAAACTAATACCCGTTTTTACCGATGAGATCAGGTATTAGAGTCAATGTAAAAAACATAAAGTTGTGTCTGCCACATATGACTCCCTTTTAAATCCGGATATATCAGGCGTCTCGTTCTCACGCTCTAGTCTGTACTACTAAAACGCAATATATGCACCTAGTTACCAAGTCGCAATGGTCGATGCGATTTGGCGTCCAATAAGTGAGCCTTCCTTGCATGAGCTGGTATCGAGCCGGCGCACGCCTTGCATGAACTGGCATCGATCCCGCGGCCGCGTAGGTGACCGCCACTACGCCCACCTGCCCACCCGCCCACGGGGCCTTGGGATAAAATTTGTTGAGATCAGTGATCCTCAGATCGTCGTGGCCGTTGAAGACGCTCCAGTCGTGCACCATCGCCGTCGCGCATTTGTGCCAGCGCCACCTCCACCATGTTCTTGGAGGCATTCACGTCGCGCTCGATGGTCGCTCCACAAACACCATTCCGGTTAAGACAGCGGTAGACCTTGTGCACTCCAACAGTTCGTACAACCTTGTCGGACATTGGTGCTTAACCTGTTGGTTCTCCATTGGAGCGAGCGAGGGGCAGCCGTGGTGCATCATGCTAGTGCGATACTCGTCCCACTATCATAACGTCAACACCTGGATAATCCGTGAGCATGCGCCGGAGCTTCATGACCGGACCCGGAGTCTTCTTCGTAATGATGCCGCGCTGTTGTCAACCCCCAGTTGCCGAACGCGATCAAAGTACGCGTGCCAGGCTCTCCTGCCAGTTCCAGACAAATAGCTCGCAGGTTCTTCTTAGCCAACATTTGCCGTCGGAAGCGCATGTCGCGAAAGGTTTTTGCCATGAAGAACGAAAAGATTCTCTCCATCATGGGCACAGTGTAGTCGAGATACTTCATCAACTTCGTAAGGGAAGCTGTCTTCTTTGTCGGCATGTCCTTGAACACCTTCTTGATTTCCGCGTTGTGATCGAGTTTTCGTCGAATTTTACGATTACTACCCGCGTAACCAGAGTCGCTGTAGAATGTAGAACTTCTTGGCTAGTTAGCTAAGAAAGTCGTCGCTGAAAGTTTGTGAGCTGACTTTGTACGTACATCCAACGAACATGTCGGTCATCCCAGGATTCGCTCCCTTGATCTCGTCGTCGTTCTCAGTCTTGGGCGGGGGGGGGGGGGGGGGGGGCTTGGCTTTCGGGTCTCTCTTAGGCTTGTGGAGCAGGATACTTGCACCGATACCATCCGTGCAGATTTCGCCATGAAACACCAGTCGAGTCTCTTTTTCAAGGTCAGTTACACGAAATAGCTTGCGCCACCAAATGTCCGCTATCCCAGACGAGTTTCTATCTTTAAGGCTGTTCTGGAGCGAGATACTTCCGCCACCCTCCGTGTACACAATAGTAGCATATCCCGACTTCTCCGCAACAAGTACCGCAGCCCCGTAGAGGTCGTACTAAAATAAGAGCTCCGAAAACCCTGCTTGGTCGGAATGATGCTGTAATGCTGTACACGCGCTCCTGTCTGACCTTTGGGTTGTCCTTGTTGGTCTCATCGAACTCCTCCACTACCTTCAGGAACTTGTGAAAAAGTCGCAACACCTCAGGCGACTTCCAGTCGACCTTCTTGTGAAAAGGCTCGGTGGATTTCGCCACCGAACCCATGTCCAGCTGACCCGTATCAATCCAGGATGCTGACCCGTATCAATCAAGCCGACTTCAAGTGCGTCATGGCCGCGATGGATCGGGACCACCAACTGTCGGACACGAGCCGTGCGACGAAGGAAGCTGAGCCAGAGGTCTGGGCGGAGCTCAGCTCCTCGACCCGAGCGGGGACTCCGGTCATCACACTCGAGGCTCAGCTCAAACTCCGCGTAGCTTCTTTCTGCTTCCTGGACTCAGCTCAGACTTGGGATACATCTCGGGTCTCAGACAATCTTCGCTCAAGCCCAGAATCTGAGCGGAGCGGAGCCGGATGAAGTTTGAGCTCAACCTCCCCAGTGGTTGTGGGACCGTCGTCCAAGATGCCAAGCTGAGTCGAGGAGCAGGAGTCCGAGTGAGGTCGTGCTGAGCCCGAGCCTAGCTTCTACCGTGGTTATGGAGTCTTCACCCAAGTCGACAAGCCGGGCGAGGATTGACGGCCTGAGCGGAGTGACGAAGAGTCCTCGAATGCAATGTTTGAAGTCTTTGCTCAAGTCGAGAAGCCGAGCGGAGTGTTGCAGGCCTGAGCGGAGCGGCATGGGCCTGAGCGGAGTTGTCGGAGTCCAGTTGAAGTGCCGGGTGAAGAGTCGCTGAACATAAGTCCAGACAGTGGTACTGACGGCGAAGTTGGTGGCACCGGCGAGTACACTCATCCGGTGAATCAGCCATGAGCCAGCCTACATTGGGTGCGACCGCCCAAGATCGCGGACACTTCAAGCGGGTCTCAACGGCCTCCAGCGGCTCCAAGACGACGCCCGCCGACGTGGAGCCGCCGCATTGGCCAAGACCAAGGATATCGGGCGGATCTTCAAGGGCGCCCGGTAAGCATACAGCCGGCGCTCTTCGCGCAGCCAGTCAGAGTGTACCCAGGGGGATATTGCCCCCCCCCCCCCGCCGTAATATAGATCGGCGATCTAGAGAAGAGAAGGAAAACTAGTAGTGATCTGTGCATCGGTGCGGCAGACGTTAAATAAACAAGCATTTAAAGTTTTACTGAAGCAACGCAATATCAACTGAAGTATAAGTAGATTTAGTAGGAGATGATGCTGTGGTCCACAGCCTGTGGAGCGGCGCCCGGACTGATTGTACCAGTGCGATCTAGTACAGGCTCGCAAGTTGAGATTCGTAGTGCTGAAGTCGTTGCTGGTAAAGACCGATGCATCTAACAAGCGTAGAGTCCACATATCCACTTTGCTCCGACTTTCGCTGGGATTCCTTAACTTGATCAATCAGCTGGTGGAGTTTCGCGATGCGATCGATGAGCACGTCTTCTTCGTGGGGCGCCGGAGTGGTTGCAGCTATCGAGGGTGGAGCAACGACAGCCGGAGCTCTTACGAAGATATCCGCTATCCAATTAACCGTCTTGAGCACTTGGTCTTGCCACTTCGAAGGCTTTGTTGATGGTGGAGGTAGTGCTGCCAGCCCCAGCGAGTCAATTTCATCCTGTTCATGCATCCCGCCTCTAACGAAAGCTTCCAGTTCTGGTTTCTCGGCAACGCACACTCGAAGAAACGCAACGTCCAAATCACCAGAGCAAAAATTGTAAAACTCCTCGGAGTTTTGACCCGACACGAAAAATTTGGCGTAGGCTTTCGCGTAGTTGCCGTACACTTTCTTCCACGTATCGAAGAGCTTAGCAGTTTCATGCTCCACAACGTGCGATGGGTCGATGTCCGCAAAGCGGGGGTCGTTTGCAGCAACAGCAAAAAGATGTTTATAATCGATCGTGTTGGTACGATGCTGAACACCAACCTCTTTCCAAAGTGTTGTCCTCTAGTTCACTTCACCGGCATCAATTTGATCTCGTGTCGCCGCACCATCCGATGATATAAGCCGCTGAATAAATTGATCAGAGCACAGGATGTTTAGGGGCCGAACAACACAGTGCTTCGTCTTGCGCAGGCGAGCCTCCAAAAGGTTTTCATCGTCCACCGATGACTGGACGACTTACTGTGCTGCATCATAGGCACGTAGATGCTGAATCTGCTCCGCCTTGGTCACCTTTCGCCCAAGGCGGAATTTCCTCTGAGCACACTCCTTTCGAAGCTGTACGACACTCCACATACTGTAGTCGTTGCACGTCGGCGGCACGACCTTCCCGGGATTGCGGACAGTCCAGTTCGTCACAGATTCATGTCTTGCTGCAGCGCGTTGGTCACCAGACGAGCCTGCACTCGGCTCTTGTGCCGGAGGTCCACCATTGACAGCAGTCCCAGCATCTCGGGCAGCCCCAGCATTTCGAGCAGTCCCAGCACCTTGATCACCGACACCATGCGCTTGAGCTTCTTCGTCATCCGTCGCAGGTCCCAGCACCTCGTCGATCGCTCGAAGCATCTCCGCACTTGTTCGAGCGGGCTGGATTTCAAGGGCAGCTTCAACTTGGGCCGAAGTTGCTGTCGGGTCAGCAGCAAGCAGCGAGCGCACTGCTAATGGTGCGTTCGCGACACCATCCAACGAGGCGGCTGGTGGGTCAGGAGCTTCTTCAACAGTAGCGGGCGCGGCTGCTGACTTAGCAGGGGCGCTGCGAGCGCCTTTGCGGGCGCCGAGCGTTGCGTGCGCGGCGCGCTTGCTTGCTTGCTTGCCGTGCCACTCATCTTGATGTTTCCTTTGCAGTGAGAATTTTCTATCTGAAATATTGCCGTATGGCACGTGATGGCTACATTGGCAAACTTTCATTCTTATTGAGTCGGTGCCATGGTGCCATCCCACGGAGGCCAAATGCCATGGTATGGCATGCCATGGCAGTGGTTAAGACCGGCCCTCAGCCTTCCTTTCGCGCTCCTCGCGCAGCACCAGCAGTGTTTCGAGGATGCTGCCGCGCATGCTGCTGGCGTTGCTCTCAATACCGTCCAACTTCGACTTGAGGGCGGTGGTCGCCTTTATGGCGCGGATCCTCTTAGCCTGGCGTAGCTTGCCTCGGCCGTGTCCTTCTCGTCTTCTCTCGCGCGCTTGGCGTCAACGGTGTCGCGGAAGCTTGACAGATCAGTGCCGCCAAGTCGGTTCAACGACGTCTGAAACTTGGGGTATCTGGCCGCCTCGAGATCGTCGTGGCTGACAGCAGCAAAGCTCCGCCGCTGGTAGCATTGACGGCCGCCTTGCGTAATAGCGGTGGCCCTCCAGAGCCCGAACGACGTGCACTTGGCCCCGCTCGGCCGGGTGCAGGATGTGCTGTGTGGGCAAGGTCGTCGAGACCTTCCATGCCCAATGGCGACGTGAGCAAGTCCTGGAACTCGCCCCGGCTCGTTGAGCGGCTAGACACCGTCAACTCGTCGTCGAGAGACTCGTCGGAGCCCAGCGACTCGCCGCCGGTGGATCCGGTCACGGCGGCGTTACCACATGCTTGTATGCCGTCGCCATCGCCGTCTTCGTACAAGCTGTCGTCCGGGTCCACCTCGAAACAGAAGTCGGGCTGGTCGTCGTCAGCCTTGTCGTCCATCTCGACGACGTTGGCCTTGGCGTCGACGGCCTGCTTGACGGTCTTCGCCTACTTGATGTGAGGGGGGGCATCTCCTGCACGCCGGTCGGCTTCCTCGTGCTGTAAAGTACCTTGAACTTACGCCGAACGCTCTCGTAGTCTCTCGCGGGCGCACCGCGTTGGAGGTTTGCGTTGTACGCCATCACCAGCCGCCCCCATTCGTCCTTGCCCGGCGGCAGCATCTTCTCGACGAGCGCGAGGAGTCGATCGACGTCGGACATCGTGTAGTTAGCGATACCAGAGTGATTCGGCATCTACAAACACAGCAGACAGCTCAGAGTCAGTCACGTTACGTAGCGGGACAGTCAGCAGTGCTGGACTCGTGTACCGGGCTTGGAGGTGGGGCGTCGGGTACGCAGGTGGAGTGGGGGGCTTGCTTGGTGTTCGGCAAAACGAAAAGTGAGCGTCTTTGCGGCGCTAGCAGCTTGCTTCACTCTGTGGGCTTTTCGCGTTGCATATATCTTACGACGGATCGAAACAACGGTCATTTGCGAATTCGCCTCCGAAGGCAGCAAGTCGACAGCAGAGCGCCGCTTCGAAAGGTGTGGTTGCTTGTAGCCAAAGGACTGTTGCCGGTGATCACGAGGACTCACCGGTTGTGTGCGCTCACTGGCAGCTTCGCTGCATCTTCGACACTTCTAGCGAGGACGAAAACACGCCGCCCAACGTCCAGGCAAGCCCGCAGCACACCCAAGGCAGCAAGCGCAGTGAGCAGCCCTCCAGAGACTGCGCCAGCTCCACTGGCACCGCGACTCCTCCATGGGTGCCGCCGGAGAAGTGCCAGCGCCGCTCCAAGGCAGTGACGAATCGACCGCCAAGCCCGGAGGCAACACCCCCGCCTGCGTCGCCGCCGCCGACAACCCGTCCAAGCGCCAGCCGCACGACGTCGTCGCCAATTTTGCTGGAGACGCGACCAACGTCGCCGGTGCGCCCCAGACCACGCAAGGCGCTTCAGCCCCACCAAGAAGGACGTTGTGCGCGGCGTGAGCCTGCTGCGCCGTACAGCCGTCGCCCGTCGGTGCCTTAGCGTCCGGATCGACCCGCCGTCGACCTACGTGGATCGATGAGCGCCAGCACGGATGTGATGCGCCGCTCTCCACCGCAAGCACAGCGGCCACGTGATCAGTTCGTGCCAGCTCGGTGGCCATATCACGTGGCCCACCTCCGCGCGCTGTTCAATCCATTGGCGACGGTCTTTCCGGCGGTGCCACACTTCGGGTGGTGCGACTGCCCGTCGCCGTGCCGCGTGGACTCCTGCCACAACTCGCGCATGCACCTGCATTGAAACATTAATTGTTGCTCCTACGGAGGCCTCTGTGGGAACGCGCTGGGCGAGTTGAACAAGATCTACCTGGGGAAGAATCTGCGCACAAAGGCGCTCGGAGTGGTCGCCGCTGGGGCCATTGAAGCTGGAGAAGTCTTCGGTCAATACCTCGGCGAGATGGAGCACGTCAGCACTTCTCGCGCGAAACGACCGCGCAACAAGGCTATCGTTTGGTGATGAAGATGCAGCCAGAGAAGCCCACGCACCCCGTCCGTGTGGCGATCAATGCAGAGAACATGGGCGGCCTCATGCGGTTCGTATACCACTCTTGCGAGCCGCTGACGAAGTTCGTCGAGGTCTCCAACGGACGCCGCACCACCGTTGTCATGGCGAGCACAGAAGACATTCGTCAGGGCCAAGAGATGACGGTCGATTATGGCGACGACCTGTGGTTCATCTGCCGATGCGGATCGGACAGATGCCGCCATCGCCATCTCCAAGATGCTCAAGATCCGTAAGGGTGCGAAGGCGAAAGGAAGCCAGAAGAGCGAGCAAGGCAAAGGAGCGTGCAAGGCGATAGGTGTATTGGCATCTGTATAGGTGCGTAATGTGAACAAATAAAGATTGCACTGATGAGAAGAGTTCGAGTCTCCTTTGGCTGACGTTGGCTCAGTTGCATCTACGTTGCAGGCCGACGTGAGTGCATGTAGCTCGCGTATGTACTTTGTGCCTACAGCGCTGTGTTGAAGCTCGTTCGGCTCACGCCGATTTTCGCACCCATCGACGAGAAGGCGCATCGCAGTGAGCCCGCGCAAGAGTTCGCGCCTAATGATGAGATGATGGGCCCTTTGAAGATATCGCGCGCGCTAACTACATTTTGCGCAGCTCAGGCCTAGCACTACAACGTACAAGTCTAACATGAATTGGTGGCGAGGACGCCTTCGCGCAAGTTTACATATGTAGGAGTGATGGTCAACATAAACAATACAATTCGCAAGTCAAATCTTTATGATGGCTACACGACATATATCTCCAGGCTGGCAGGCATACTTGCTGCAACTATGACAGCCCGTTAATGCATGTATGGTGGCTCTTGCTGCTGATACCGCAATAAAACACCCCAGTGCAAATCGTGCTTTTATCATGGCCATACTTTGGCCCAGTCTGGCAGCTGGGCGGGGACGGAGGTCACCCACGCCAAATCTCCAAAGTTTCACCAGTGCTCCAGGAAACGGAAAGGCATGAAGGCTGCACGAAATATCATCAAGTGAAGTTGGGCTCGTTGGAAAGCTAATGGGCAAGGCTAGCTCTACAATGAGCCCAGGCTTGCCTATAGTTCTCAGGTTCGGTAGGGGCGAGTTTGTGAAATCCTGGAAATCGCTTTCACCTGCACCCCTCCTCCGGCTGTAACCCTAACCCGCATTGAGACACATAGATAACCATACAACTCACACAGTTCGTGATACCGCAAAACGCACTTACACTCGGCGACAGGTTATATCGGCCACCCTCGTTTGTGTCCGCAACTTTGCCAATTTTTCGAGTTGGCGCTCGCTATTTAGATATGTTTGAGCTTTGATTGGTAGAAAACCGCTACATGTGTTAACCCGCGAGAATTCCCAGCCTATCAGGTGGCTGCCATACAACTACAGTAATGTACGTCAATAGGGGACGTGTGGCAACTAATATCCTTACATACATTATATACAGCTGTCAGTCAAGAACACAGCTAACATTGATTTAAGTTAACTTTCGACAGGATCCTGGCGCTATTGGCTGGTTTCGCAACGAGCGCGACTACGTGATTGGCTAGTGAGGTCAGATCTAGCCAATCCGTGATTGAAGCTACCATTTGAATTCGGGCGCGAACATAACTCCTCCCTCCAACCCGCTCAGCGCGATCTCCAAGCACAACGGAATCTGCCACAACACCAGCGCCCTACCCATCCACCCACCTCATGAGCTCCTCCTCCAAGACTAGAACTCGCCTCACCCAGCAGTAGAAGCTGCGTCTGATCAAGAAGGCTGAGAGCTCCCCCGCTGTCAAGTATGAAGACCTGGCCCTTTGGGCCAAAGTCGAGTTCGGTCTGCAAAGGCCCCCTGGGAAAGCCACCATCGGCCGCATCATCTCGGGGGCGTATCGCGCTGTTGCGCCAGCCTCACGAAAGTGCTCAGCGCAAGAACAAGCCGTCTCCGTTCCAGCTACAGGTCGATCAAAACATCGTCGAGTTCATCATGCTTGCAGAGGCGGAGGGAATATGCCTCAGCGGTGCAATGATCGTCTTCTATGCTACGGTGCTAGCCAAGAAGTTGGGCACCCCTAGACATACAGTCGACTTACTAACTGCCATGAAGTGGTGCGAGTCTGCGTGGGATAATGTGTCAGCTTCTACAAGTGCTGGTTGCACTCCACGCTCATTACATACAAACTTCAGCTGACAACTTGTGTAAAAGCAGTGTGTCATTTATTCTTAACTAAATAAATCAATACATTGTTCTTTCTTTTTCCACTTGTTCGCCTTAATAGCCTTTACACTCCTATTCATATCAGAGGTCCCTTATTGACGCACATTACTGTATGTGATTTTGGCACTGCGCCAAGTATAATCAGCCACCCCGAGGCATACAAAATGCAAGTATAAATATACTGGAATGATTATAACAAAACACATGTTGCCCCCGATTTGCATGGCGGTGGGTGGAGATGATGAAGTGGAGAGGCCGCAGCAGGCGAACAAACTTCATTATCCAGCTAATAAACGTTGACCTAGTTCATATGAATACCAGTTAATGCGATGAAGCAATTGGGCATTGTCTGAAGTGGCTCGCTCGACGCACTTTAGCATGGTGCCGAGTTTCAGCTGCCTATGTATGTAAAACGACGGAAAATGGGGTTGGTGACTTCCGCGGACATGTGGAAACCGCCACACCGAGCATGCACGTCAACGCCAGCTACCACATAAAGCATAGACTTTAGGGAGCCTTCCTGAAGGCAAGGGAGACAACATTTCGACCCCTGTCGGCCACAAGAACGGCAACGCAGACATGCAAATCGGGGGCAACATGTGTTTTGTTAGAATCATTCCAGTATATTTATACTTGCATTTTGTATGCCTCGGGGTGGCTGATTATACTTGGCGCAGTGCCAAAATGACATAGTTGTATGGCAGCCACCTGATAGGCTGGGAATTCCCGCGGGTTAACACATGTAGCGGTTTTCTACCAATCAAAGCTCAAACATATCTAAATAGCGAGCGCCAACTCGAAAAATTGGCAAAGTTGCGGACACAAACGAGGGTGGCCGATATAACCTGTCGCCGAGTGTAAGTGCGTTTTGCGGTATCAGCAGAACTTCTCAAAATGGTCCCTCATTCTTCGGGTGTTCCCAGAATAATTAACTACTGTATCTCCTGTTATGTAGCACCAACTTATGCGCCACTTGCGCGCTGCAGGAGGAGCAGACTCACTGAGCCCGACAGCGTGCCTGTATGCCTCCCGCCATCAGCCAGTTCCACGACAAAGTTGTTGGCCTTCTGGATCCCATCGGGTGCATCATCGCTGTCGTCGTGTGAGCTCTGCGGGATGCAGATCACTCCTTGACCGAAGCATGGGCCTTGAGTGCCGGCGTGCACCTTGATCGCTACGTGCATGTTCCCCGTCGGTCGAGCATACGTGGCGTGCGTGATGCCGTCACGCACAAAGTCCGCCCACTTGACGTGAGCCACGTTGGTCTTGCACAGCAGCCGATCCGTGTTCTCCAGGTACACGCCGCCACTCATCGAGTCCGCGAGCTCCAGCAGCTTCCGCTGCGCCGAGAAAATATCTTCCGACGGCAGCGGGAAGACGATCGTCACCATCACTTGGTGTCCATGGCGATCGAAGCTCGAGAAGCGCTGGTCCATATCGATAGAGCTGCCGATCGAGGTGAGAGGGAAGTCGGCCTCGGTGTCAGGCTGCCACGAAATGTTGCTGAAGTCCAATCGTAGCTGGCACTCGAGCACGCCGCTGACGTCCTGCATGCGCTGAAGCTTCTTGGTTGCCAGTTCCGTCTCGATCGGCAGGATGTCGCGGTTCACTAGCGCCTGGAAGACAGCAAGCACCGGCTTGTGGTCTGAGCAGCTCACTTCTTCGCACGAGGCGTACGCAGCACACCGAAGGCGGTGGCGCATGTCGGGCTGGGAGAAGAACAAAATCCGATCTGTGTACGATGGTACGCGCATGCCGTGGCCCTCTACTGCGGTGGTGTAGCACCCTGCCAGCTCCTCAACCGGCCAATTCCCAGCATCCAGGTTCAAAGCTGCTCCGCGTACACGACGGAATGTCGGCGGGAACGCAATCTTCGCCTCGCGGAAGCCGTAGAAAATCTGCCCGTCTCGCATCCCAGTGCGGAGCTCATCGTGCGCTAGCACGTCATCCCACACGAACTGGTCGTCGTCCACGAGCTCGCAGTCTGCTGAGTACCGGATGCTGTTGTTGCTACCGTGCGAAGACGCAAGTGCCGACGTGTAGCTCTTCACGCTGCGCTCCAGCATGCTGACGTCCAGATCGTTGCTGTCCCTGTCACTGGCGGCACCGAGAGAGCTGCCGAGTCCGAAAGAGCTGCTGAGACCGCGAGTGCCCATGGGACTCCAGCGTTTGCCCAGCAGTCCGCGGCGCAAGCTGCGATTGCGTTTCATCGGCGCAGGCTTCGCAGTCTCGCACTGGCGCACCTTGGACACCAGCTCTAGGATGGTGTCTGCGCTAGCTTCTCGCTGCGTCAGTCTGTAGTTGAGGTCGCCTAGTACGAAGCTGTGGTGGTGGACGTGGGGGAACTCGAAGCCCACGTCTTCCAGGTTCAGATGCAGCTCCTTCAGAATATCCTGCGAGTCGCGATTTCGCCGCCGAACCTTTGACTTTCCCTTCAACATGTTAACAAGTCGATGTCAGCAAGTTGCACTAAGCAGGAATACATGGCAGGCAAAGGTCTGTACCTTGGGGTCCGACGATAAATGACACGCGACGAAAGCGAACGATGTGTCGTAATAGCGGAAGGCGAAGCCGACCGCGCCTTTGTTGGATGCGCGACCCAGTACCAGAGACTTCCCGACGTTGACCTCTTGCTGCACCACGGGAGGCATGTAGAAGGCGCCGCTATCCACATCCGACGACTTGATGAAGACTGTGATAGCGATGTGGCCATGGTAGCCCAGTGATGTGTTCTTGCTGCCAATCTCGCGGTTGAACTGATGGAACTTCGATGCTCGACGCGCGTGTCCGCTAGCTGCTGGTCGAGGACGCCCGCCTTCAAGATGCTGACGGATCAAGCTGCGGGTGTTCGCCAGATGCAGACACTCCTGGAGTCCGATGACGTAAATATCGTGTCCGAGCGGAATCCACTTGTCCAGTTGAGCGGGCGTGAGTCGTGCCTCGCCCATGTTGAACGTCGACACGAAGATGTTCGCTGGCTGGCGGTAGTGCTTCACCAGACTGTGGTCGGTGCCCGTGTCCATCGTGGGGAACGACGGCGAGTTGACAAACTTCCTCGCTGGCGAGATGGACGACTTGCACGAGACTATCCGGTACAGCTTGGTCAGCAGCCCTCCGTAGATAATAGCGGTCATCAAGCCCTGTGTGCACACGGTCACCTGCATCAATACAGCCACCGCGAACCTCGCAGAGCCTAGCTCCTGGTCAAACACTGCACAATAATAAGGTCAGAACGCCCCCACAAACTTTAGCCATGACGAACAATTAAGACAATTCTACTCACGTCGGAAGACCGTGCTGGGCGTCCAGAGCACGATGAAGGCGGCGATGTAGATCCGCAGCTTGGACGTGATGAGCGCCCACGACTCCTGCGCGTCCAGGTTGGCGTCCCGGAAGTCGCGCGAGATGCGCGTGTGCGTGACCCAGAGGATGGCGCTGATGTAGAGGATGGCGAGCACCACGAAGAGGTAGAACGTCCAGAACTGCTTGGCGCGCGACTCGACCCAGCAGTAGAACGTGGCGTCTCCGAAGAGCCTCGCGGCGTAGAGCGCCACGCTGCAGGCCACGGCGGGCACGATCACCAGCAGCACGTAGAGCTTGAACCTGCTCTTGAGCCGCGCCTCGCTGTCGCGGTGCACGATCTTGCGGTAGAAGCAGTGGGCGATGGCGGCGTTCCAGAAGACGGACATGAGCCCGAAGACGTGCAGCGCCACGGCCTGCACGTTGCAGGCGGCGCTCACGTCGTCGCTCGCGTCCCGCGAGAGCAGGTTGCCGAACATCTTGGGGAAGGACAGACCCGCGTCGAAGACCGAGAGCACGACCACCATCTTCTGCACCATGGAGACGCCGCTGTGCAGCCGCGCCGAGACGTAGTGGTGCCGCACGATGTAGAGGCAGCCGCCCAGCGACAGCGCGCAGCAGCACAGGATCACCGTGTGCAGCGCGTCCAGCTGCGCGGCCGAGAGGCCCGAGTCCGAGTCCCAGTCGGCCTCATAGCTGCTGCTGCTGCTGCTGCTCAAGGAGCGCAGCGATGAAGGCGGCGGCCAGGTCATGAGACGGTCAAATGGTTAACGGAGCCCTTCGTGGGGACGACCACCGATGTCCCCGACCTGTTTGTTGGTGCCTGCGGTTGCTGCCTGCTCTGCTCTGCTGCTGATTCTGATGTGGACTCGGACGTCACTTTGGGCCGCTGCTACCTAATGCCAATGGAGACTCGCCTTCCTTCCTCCAAGTCCAAAGCCCAAGTCCTTTGGACCAGGCAGCGCAACGCGAACTGGTCCGCGCTCTGCGCGTTGTGGCGAGTTGCACCGTCAAAGACCGGCCACAGCTCCGAGCTGCTGATGTCCTAAGGCTGCTGCGACGGAGTGTAGAGCAACAAGAACAGCAGCGCAGGAGATGTGGTCCACGGTATGCGTAGTCCCCACGGGCTCATCCACGTCTGCTAGAGTCAAGAGATACAAAGGTGGGACTGCCAGGATTCACTCGGCCGATGCGATTTCGAGCACCGCACTGCTCTCATGCATGCAGCAGGCCAGGCAGGATCCACCGTGGGCGTCATGAACGGAGCGGACAGCTTCAAAGCGGACCGCTCGCTGCCCGCCAATGGAGACCGAGATGTGTGTAATTGGCCATGCTCGAAAGGCTCATGGGACATTGGCCACCTGGAAACTCGCGCATCAAACGTGGAGGTGGTAACCGTCGGATTCACATTCGTGGGGTGGCCATTTCCTTACGACTGCATGGAGCTCGCCGCACTGTGCGGTTTTAGGGGCGCGAACGCGATGCGATGCCACGCGGTGTCGACTTGATGCGGACGACAACGGGCTCGGTGCGCGATTGCCGCTTGCGCTGGACTCAGCTCCGACTCTGACTTGACATTTCGGGGATTGAACGACACGGTAATCTATTTCCGTAATTTATTCACGATGAGGTAATGTATTTACGAAAGACGTTATTTTTCGTGCAAAGTATTTTTTACAGCTAATTCGGAGCATCAGGATTTTGTCGGGGCGATGATCCCGTTCATCTTCTGGCGCGTGGGGCTGGCGCTGCTGGCGACGCTGGCCGCGTTCCTGCTGTCCAGACCCATGATCGAGATGCTGCTCAACGCCATCCGCTCCCGGCTCGACAAGCGCGTGCGGTGCGGAGCCCTCCGTTTAATTAATTATTGAATTTTCCAGAATTTATAATTAATGTTATTATTGCCGCTGCAGGTGGATCGCGGACGTGCATCACTACATGCTGACGTACCTGTGGTGGGTGCTGTTTCTGGTGCTGGTGCGCGATGTGGTGGCCCGCTACATTCTGGACCTGGGCAGCGAGAAGGACGAGGTGATGCAGTACCTGAGCTACCTGATCGCGGTGCCGCTGGTGATGGGAACTTTTGCCCTGCGCAAAGTCGTCACCAATATATTCATCCGGTACTTCAAATGGGACCGCTACTCGTCGGACTACGACGCTCGGATCTTCGTCATCACCGAGTCCATCAAGTTCGTGTGCGTCGTGTTCATCCTGATCGAGATTTTCTACATTTTCTTCCTCTCCAACTCGTTCATGCGGTTTCTGCTCGTCGTGGGGTTTCTCAGCGTCGAGTTGGTTGCCGTTCTCTCGGGTTTTACGGTGGTAGGTTGCTACTTGTTTGCATCGTTCTCATTGTGAAGTGATATTAATTCTTTTCTGTTGGTTGCTTGAGTTTAGCTGAAGAATGTGGCGACGGGCCTCTTCCTCATCTTTGCGGAGCCCTTCCGAACGGGTAGCGAGGTCAAGGTGCGGCACTTACTGGGCTTCATTGAGCGGGTATCACTCGCCCGTACAACCATGCGCCGCACGGACGGGTCGAGGATATTTGTGCCGAACGGAATCTTTGCTGACAATTACCAGACAAGTGGCAATGCGCTTGACGCGCATACGCACTCGCTTATGCTGCGTCTGCACCCTACGACTCCCTCTCATAAGATCAAGGAGTTCATGCGGGAGCTTCAGGCAGTGTTGCCAACGTACGCTTTGACCAGTGAGGCGCTTGCTGCTATACGCAGAGATCGGCGAGAGGCATACGCGATCAGATCAAGCAGTGCCAGCAGCGACAGCACCAGCGCTGGAAGTGACGATAGCATTTTAGGAGATCGACACCAGTCAACTGCAAGCAGCAGCACTGGGACACCCCGTTCACGTGCACGGTCGAGTGCAACTTCGAGCGCGTTTGATGCGACCGGCCGACCGATTGCACCTCCTCCCCCGCCGGTGCGTGTCGAACTCCACTCGATGTTCAAGGTGAAGGTGGTCGTCCTGATGGATCGCGAGCGCTTCACCTCGCTCGAACAGGCGAAAACAGAGGTGGGTTCTTTGATACCGCTATACTGTTGATATTTCTTGTGTTTAGCTGAGCAGAATTTGAAATGTTGTCATAGGTGAATTTTGTCATTATCGACACGATTCAGCGGCTCCGTGTTAATGTGCAGCAAACGACACGTTGATATTTCGAGGAATACTGATAAATTATACAAATTCCCCACGGTTATCGTGAGGTCGACGGTGGCGCAACATATTGCCGTCGCTGAACTCGTTCAGGACTCGTCGTCCAAGTGGCTCGCTGGCAGGTGGTGCCCGCCTCCGCCGGCGATTGGTCACGACTTCAGGAAGCGGTGCCGGACTAAAGCTCGAGTGACGGTCATTTAAGTCTGGGGCTTCGCTAGCACTTGCAGATGTCGACGACATAGCGGAAGGAGACGGGCTAGCGCGGCCTCCTCCTTCTTCATCGTGTAAGCTCAGCTTAAGCTTCGTCATCAGATCCGTTATCTGGAGCACAATCTAAGTAAGACATACCGCAACCATACCATTAGTTCTCAACGCCCAAGCGAAATAAATCAGCAAGAAGTGGTGGCAAACCTCAGTCTTCTCCGTCAAGAGTCCCTTGATATGCCGCTCCTGGGAGTAGTACACTACGTGCACAAGGTACGGCGCCTCAATGCTGATCCAGAAGCGGCCTTGTGGTTGCGCTTCTTCCGTTGCCAGCTTCTTACTGCGCTCGTACACGTTCATCATGTTCCAGCCACCGCTTGGCTTTTCAAGCCCAAGAACGTCAGCCTTCGCGTTCGTGCGCTGGTTGATCATGTGCAGCATGAGGAAGTTGTCCAGCTCCTGAATAAACACGCGCAGCGCTGTCGTTGGCGTTGAGTGACTTAGATGCACGGGAATGACGCAGCGTCGGTCCAGATTCTTGCTCTGAACGGTCACAGCATTCTCCAGCATGATACTGTTCGGGATGTACGCCAGCCCCTTATCGTACTGCCGCAATGAAAACCCTTGCAGAAACAAACGCTCCACCACGCCTTCATGGCCTTGGAAAGATATGTGAATCCCGCTCTTAATCTGCTCGTCTTGCAGCGTCATCAATCCACCCATGATATTCTTCAGCTACATCACACACAATAACAACAAACGTCAGATGAAAAAGTGATAAAACTCAAAACAAAAACATGCTTCGTATAACTTACCCACGAGTGAGCCCCGAACACGAACACAAACTCCACCATGATCACCGCCACCGTGGAAACCTGCCCCGACTCGAAGTCCGTGAAGCGACCGATTTCGTCAATGATACACGTCGACACAACCGTCGCCACCAACAGCACTTTAATCACCTGCAAATGCCAAAAGAGACTGTCAACCATCTTGAAATCTTCCGCTGCAAACATTGGGGACGTACCCCAATGCCCTCCGTGATGATCATCACTCTGCTGTAGTCATCGTCGTCCTTGGACACGGCGCGACTCCAGCCCTGCACGCGCACAATCCCCCACGTCACGTAGTTGCAGAAGCAGATGACGACCCAGACCAGCGGCGGCCCCAGCAGCAGCGTGATGATACTCTGTAGCGTGCCCGCGTCCATACTGAGCACCGTCTCGACGTCGATGACGTAGGCCGAGAACCACGTCAGCAGCACGAAGACCACCCAGGACAGCGGCCGCAGCAGCATCTTCTCGAACTCGCGCAGCCACGCGAACAGCGCCGGCACGATGCGGCGCGCCACGCGCAGGGAGAAGCGCACCACCTCCACGCGTAGAACGTAGGACGCGACCAGCAGCGCCAGCCCCAGGAACACGCGCCACTGGTCGCCGGACGACGCGACCGTCGCCGCGGGCGCCACCGTGATGGTCGCGGGCTGCTCCGCGACCGAAGTGCTGCCCGCGCTGCTGCTGCTCATTAGTTGTTGCGCTCGCGGAACAACTGGTAAATTACGACCGCTAAACGGAGATCTAGAATGCGTATTTTACGGTACTAGTTGGAAATTATTTTACGGAAATGAAAACTATTTTACTAGTCAAAATTAATATTTTCATATAATAATAAAAAAGATGGGTTAAAATTTTTAAACAAATCATTTTAATATACATACGTTGTTGGGTTTACATGTTATTTGAAAAACATGTTATAGTACAAAAGTAAGGATTACTTACTAGAATATAGGTAACTAGTCTGAATTGAATATTAGTATGTCAGACTACCGCCTTACTGTATTATACAGTCTGTATAATAATTGTAAGCAAAAACAAAATGCTATTCAGATTTACTCTGGGTCAGACTAATGCAGTGCCATTTTAATGGCACTGCATTTTCTGTTTTTATTTAAACCTAGACATTGAGACTGCGCACGGGTAAACTAAAAATGGAATTGCATCCCTATTTTACATTATCGCTTGTCACTTTTGCATCGTCAGCTAGACACATGTAACTAGAAAAACACTGCAAAAGGGACTAGCTTAAGAAAGTGAAGAGTTAAAAGTGTAAATCTGACCAGTTAATAATTTCCAACCATTATACCAAGCATAAGTTGTGTAGATTTCATTTTTATATTTCTAATTGAACGACATTGGTGATGGGGTATCAGTGAGTTAATGCAGTAAACTACTGCAAATACTTTTTATTTATACGGATTTACCGAGCCCTGCCTCGCATCATTTGTTCGACTTGTGCGGATAATGCAAGTTGGCCAAGGTCAAAGTTTCGTGGCGACTTGGAATCCCCTCCCCAAGCTAGAGATAAGAACGAAAGAAATCCCACTTCTGTCCTCACATAAACAATCGGGAGGTGTCCGCGTCGGTAAAACTAAATCCCACACTAATCTTGTACAGCGGTTGACTTTTTGTATTTGCGATTAGACCGCCGCTAAATCTGCTGCCAAATTTGGCAATGGAAATACCATCCCGACTGGGGACATAATTTGTCGGGGGCGTCGACATACGTGTTGCCATTCTGCACCGAGCCATTCCGGGTAATGTACTCGCGCGCCTCCGTCGTCTTGTTGGTCTTGGCCACCTGGTCAAAGCAGTCGACGACCTTCAGACACGAGATCCTCGTTCTGCGAGGCGTCGAGTCGCTCGTCACCTTCATGAACTTGGCCACGGTGGAGCTGTCCTTGTCCTTGTCCTTCTCGTGGCTGGCCAGGGTTGAGTTGGTGATGCACTGGAGCCATACGGATGCGAGGGCTTGACGGTCTCCAGCTAGGTGTAAAAAAAACAGAGCCAAAACCAGAGCTGCAGTCTTGAGAATGAAACCGAGTATACCATCACTCCCTGGGAGATGAATCGACGAGTGGTGACGAAATATAAACTTGTACAGACAGCGTTCGGTCTTCGCCGCAGCCTGAACAGATCTTTAATCTCTTCTCCCCAGGTCGAAAGCATACCAGTAGCATGGGTACAATCCTACTAGTAGGCGTGCATAGATTAATTTTTATATGGTGTTTAGTATGATGCAACATATGTATGTGAAGAGAAGGTTCAGATAGAAGGTGATGCAAGATGCTCACTGAAGCAGGCACGGTGCGATCTTGGCCCACACACACCGTAAAACGACTTCAAATGGACATCCGAGCAGCCTACACAGTAGTAGGAGCACTTCTTGTGGCACAGGCGGCACTGCCGCTGCACACGCTTGCCTGCCTTACGCGCTTCACTGTATTGTGGGAGATCTCCAAAGGCTTTCAAGGTGTGGCTAGGCTGGCGATCACATAACGACGCACTGTCAGCATATACTGAGTAGCGAATAGAGTCCAGCGAATACGCACCTCATCCGTACTGGTCGACCCGCTGTCGGTTCGCAGAGTTCGCTTCATGGTGTGCTCGTTGAAAATGAGTTGATGAGCGAGCTGGGATACAAAATCGCTGAAATTCAGCACGGTACTTTCGACAAATTGACGCTCAGTCGATTCGTGGCGATAAGCTAGGTAGGCATCCACAACTACCATCCCCAGGATAGTTCCGAATACTCGATGCATCCAGCTCTGTGTAATCCATTCACGCTCAATAGCAAGCGATCCCTGGCGAAGATGGTCGTGGACGTCAAAAGTAGAGAACTTACTGAAAAAAAGCTCAACCATTTGAGGACGCGGGACACGCTTTTCGTATCGCTGTGTCTCAAGTTTGCCATCGCGGATCACAGTGCGATGACGAGTGCAAATACTATCGGAGTCTGCGAGGGTAGTTCCACGGTTCGATATCAGCATCTTGGGCTTTCGATCCGCCCAGCACAACGCATAAATGGGTTTTCCGTTGTCCGTAAAACTTGACATGATCTTGAACGAACCCCGGGTCGGCTGCGTGTCAATCCAAGTTTTCATGTGGCACTTTGGATATTCTACGCTTGCCGTTTTTACAATGCCCATAAAATACAGACCGAGCTTTTTTTCGAGTCGCACTAGTGTTTTCACCGAGGCAAAAGCACTATCAGCCACAACAGTTCTCCCTGTGCCTTTGTATTTTTCCGTCAATCGCAACACAACCGAGGTACCCTCCCCAAATTCACTACAGTACTCTTTGCGACGTTGGCGAGCGGTACCTTCCATTAGTTCGAGTCCCAGCAACACACCACTATCTCCATCTGCGAGCGACTTCAACTCTGTCCCCTTTCCTTCAGGTTTGCGTGCAATTTTAGTCACATGGGGAAGTCCATCGTGAGTGTACTTAGCATCCCGGCCTTTCCAGGCACTCATGCACTCGTCGACTACGATAATGTTTCCAGGAGAAACATGCTTGGTTCTCTGATCGTTGAATCCCTGAATCAATGGACGTATCGGGTACCACGGGTCACTAGTCGAGTTGTTGTCGGAAAATGAAAGTGCGTACATTATTTGCTCAAAACAGTGCCGTGTCATCTGAAATCTCTCCCCGTAGTTGCTCGGAGTATTCACGCAACCTTCTTTGTGTTGTGTTTCCCAATAGACCCGCAGGGATCCCCGTCGTGGCTCCACAGCCATCGCTAAACGAATACCTATCCAGCGAAAAAAGTCACCTGGTCCAATAGAGCGAAATGAACTTGCCACCAAATTATTGTTGATAAGTCGAATAGTTTCATTGAGAGTGCCCATGGGGTACATGATGTAGAAGTATTTAATTAAGGACTTCTCCCCAAGCTGAAGGTGCGCCGACCACAGAAATGTAGTTGCTCGCGAGGAAAATTGACACCCCGCGTCAACTGAGACAGAATCACAGGGTACCCACATACGGCCGTGAGCGACCACGGTATCGTCGTCTTCTTCTTCCGAGTGGCCTTCGAGTGTTTCATCATCGTCACTGCCGTCGTCTTCGCCGCTAGGAGAACTCTCTTCCTCCCAAACCACTTGGCAGGCACCCTCCGTGCTGCCAGGTACCAATGAGCCCCCATCGCTGATTTGGCCATCTCCAGCGTGGTTCAAAGTGACTTCAATGCTTATTGAGCGCGCGGACACAATGTCAATAGCCCTCGTACTCCATGGACCTCGTAAGTGTGCTGCCTGCCCTCCTTCAGCACGCGAAGGATGACTCCAGTCTTGCCAGCGTGTTTCTTACTTTTACCGCAAACCCGATTTCCAACCTGCAGCTTTGGCATCTTCCCGCGGTCAAATTCGACGCGGAATGAAAGTCTGAAGTCCTTGTTATCTAAGCTTGCTGGTGATCTATTTATTTGCGCGCGTCGGTTACAGGGAGAGCCAAACTTTATTTTTAAAGTTGAGGCTACCGGTAGGCGCGCCATCCTACTTATCCTACCGGGGGAGTAATGATTAAAAATAATATATCAAATTATAGGATTGTCCGAGCCTAATTTTCGGACATGAAATTGTCCGAACCTGCACGGTACGAACTGACGCAGAGAAAGGTTTTGGAAATAGATCGATTTTTTATCAGAAAGATTATGCCAACTCATTACGCTTCGTCCAGTCGCCATGGCATCAACGAGCTATTGACCCGTTCACCTGTTCAAGTACGACTCTACGCACGGCAAGTTCGACGGCTCGGTGGAAACCAACGACGACAGCCTGGTGGTGAACAGCGAGGTGATCCACGTGTTCGCGGCGCGCAGCCCGTCGCCCGTGATACAACGCCGGCGCCACGTACGTGTGCGAGTCGACGGGTGCGTTCACGACGACGGAGAAGGCCCATGCCCACTTCGAGGGCGGCTGCTAGAAGGTGGTGAACTCGGAGCCGCCCAAGGACTCCACGCCCATGTACATGATGGGCGTGAACCACAAGAAGTACGATGGATCAGCGCCCGTGGTGTGGAACGCGTCGTGTACGAGGTGATCAACGACCAGTTAGGCTCGAAGCGGGTGCTTCTCGTGGTGCTGTTGGTGCTGGTGCCACCGTTGGTGCTGGAGGCTTCGGAGGTGGCACTGGCGGTCTTGGCGGAGCGGGCGGCCTCAGTGGTGTCGACTTTCGAAGCCGGCCAGTCAAGAGTGCCAGCATCGTGAAAAACCACTGCGCCAGCCGCGCTTCTCGAAAGCGGCCCTGTGGTGCGCCTCATGAACATGACGATCAGCATGGCTGGTGGTCGCTGTTGCCAGTCGCAGATGCTGCGGCTGCGAAGCAGGCGCAGTAGATGCGTATAGTATCGATAGTTTTTCTATAATGCGTAGTCGGCGTATTGTATTCTCAGTTTATTTAATACAGAAGTGACTTAGTGCGCTGCATTGCGAAGTGCCAGTCACTACGGCAAGTACTCAACCACGTTCAACGCGGATGCGTGCAAGTATACTCCAAATTATACTTTCAAATACTTTCAGCACTTCGAGTTCGTCGTTGTGAGCGCGCCGACCTCCATTGAAGTGCATTCGCGGGCAGGCAGGACTGAAGTGCTTGAAATATGCACTACCAGCCCAAACCTCTAGTTTTCTGCTATCTCAGCCCCCGCGAAGCCCTATTTAAATGCATTAAATGCATTAAAGTGCACTAAAAAGTGTGGAAGTCGTATTTTTAAATTGATAAAAGAATCGAACTAGTATAATTATAAGTGGATTCGTTGGTATTTGCAAGTGTTTCCTCAATAGTACAATCTAAGAAAAAGCTGAACACCAGCACTCACTTCTGCGGCACAGTAGGCTGATGCTGCGAATCAGGCGCCAGGGATTCCCAAGTGAGACGCACCCAGTACGAATATAAGTAAAAGTTTCCCCCCGGGTCCCAATACATTAAATAAAAGCTGAAAAAACTCGAAACTGTATCAACAAGTCATTTTTGGTGAATCTGCGGGTACAAATACCCATAGTAAGAACCGTACCAATATGAGTAGTTTAGCAGAGGATCGTGTAAGCCTGCCGCCTTTCAGTACTAGTAGTTGTAGAAGCAGCCAAACGACGTCTCTAAACTAAACTGCGAGTATCGTCTGTCAGCAACAGGCACACGCTCCTCCCAATTTCGTGGGACAACGCATCCAAAACACCTGTAAAATACGTTTTGTGTCCAAAGCTATCTGCGGACACCCTGATTCTGCCCGCAGCACCGCAAAGAGACGATACAGTGTCCAAAAGAACACATGCACCACCTCCATTCGATCGCACATCATTCTAGAATGCTCGGTCTCTAGCCACGGTGTTTTAGCCAATCCCAGCGTCTCATATTAAGTATTTCAGCAAATAGCAAGCAACGTGTCGAGTTATCATGCATCTCGATGCACATTTACTCGACTGATGCCTTTTAAGCCTCAGGTCGGATCGGAAGAAGGCAGGCTGCATTAAGAAAAGAAGAACTATAGCATTGAGTATCATAGTTCCGCCCCTAAAAGAATATATCTTCGTGCTAGACGTCGTTATGATTGTTCGGAATTTGCGGTACGCCTAAACCAATTAAGTAGGTTATCTAATACTACCGGGTTGGACTTTACAGTACTGTAACGAATACGATCCAGCCATAAGTATTAGAATAATGATAGCTAGTACGCGTTTGCTGCAATTTCCAGCAACATTGGCAGCAAGGTTGGTCACGCTTAGGCTAAAACATACGTCTAGCCGCTGCAGGACCTGAGGCCCGTTCTCAACAGGCCGCATTGCGGCTGCATCGGTTAAGAATGCTGGTGCGACCGCATTTGCGGTACCCGCATTAACCACCGGGTGGCATCGGCCACCTTAACTCAGGCCAATACATGTACCAAAGCAGCAACGCGAAGTATGGAAAATATTGCCCTCGAAGACTCGTATTCTTCGACGCTGGCTCATACAAAAGATAGACAGTATTTGAGCGCCTGTAGTGGATCGCGGGTTAATAGACACCAGTAACACCTACAGCAATAATGCTAGACGAACTTACAAAACAGCAATGGAAACTGAAAGTAATTTTAAACCATTCTAAAGCCAATTCCGATCTGAAACTATACACGTTATGCTACAACAGGATTGCTTTACGCTAAGAACTTGTACATTATAGTGGTAGGGTTAATTAATCAAGTAACTTGTGTTGCATAGTTTGACGGGCACACCTTCGGCACATGCAGCCGAATTACATGTAGAAGCATAGGTCTTTCTCTATCGCCTTCCTTGCAGTTAAATGCATCAGGTTTCTGTTGAAGTAACATACAATATGAGGAAATACTACGAGTTTTTCAGCATACTCTTCCACATTTTATTTTATAGCTTGACCTCTATTGACTCAAATAAAAATCTCTACCGATACGTTTAGTCGTGTCATTCACCTCAGCTTGCTTCGACGATCTCGTGCTGGCCGAAAAGAACGCGCTAGCTCGTGTAAGCGCCGAAATATGAGTGTGGCTGTGAATATGTGCTTTTTGTCATTATAAACGAAGTGGCAAGGTCTTGAATGCATAACAATGGTCATCTCAGCAGCCAGTCCAGTCCAATGTTTCGCTCGCCAGTAGCTCTGTTTTGAACGTGCTACTAACCTCCATCAGTAGTTGGAGCTATTAGTACCTCACTTCTGCATCAACCAGCCAGGACGCCCTACGTCTACCAGCATCCTCCATCTCCACCTCCCCTTGTCGCCAATGCAGCCCAGCGTAGAACGGACGCTTCTTGCCGACGGCCTTTAATGTTGTCGTATAGCGTGCGATTAGGAGACGACATACATAAACCTCGAGTTAATTAATGTGCATCGGTCGAGTAAATGTGCATTGAGATGCATGATAACTCGACCGGTCGAGTTAATGCGCATTGTGAATGCATGATAACTCGACCGGTCGAGTTAATGCGCATCGGTCAACTAAATAAATGTACATCAGTGCATCGGCCAAGTTAATGGGGTTAACGATTAACCGTGTTGTTGGTTATCTAGACTTCTCAATATGCAGAATTGTACACTAGCTATCATAATACACAAATGTAAATACAGGCCAAGTTAATGTGCGTCTGAGGACCAGAGGCTCCTCAGTGATGTGGTACACTCACATCAGCGCGACTCCGTTTAGGTGCGATTGGGGGTACCGTAGCAGGGCAGACAGGGCGGCTGGGCGTACATTGTCTATACCCTCATCAAATCTGGGTGGCACATGATGTGACTGTACGGTGCTGACTGATTTTATGGACGACATTTTGCGTATTTCGTCATTTCGTGGGGTGGACCTTGCAAGGGCATCATATATAATACTTAAGTACATGTAATATATGTACAGCTCACAGAAGACAGTTCTTTCGAAGCATCTGTGCACACTGACGGACCTTTGCCGGACAGCGTCTCGGTAACGCACCTTATGTTTGCGTTCTTCCAATCCCAGCCCTGTTTCCAGCTGGCCGTCAATCGTGGATGTGCTGTTCGCACATCGATATCTGTGTACCGGTACCTGCACATACATGTAATACATACATGTATTAGCCAAGCTTGGAAGATTAAAGTTAATTGCCTGAGGACAATTAATTCAGGAACACCAACAGTTCGAGCCCGTAGCTGCTACCGGTAGTGTGCTATGCTATCGCTGGAAGGAGTGGATCAATGCACGCTTTCTGAATGGCGTAACGTTGTCCGCGTTATCCTTTCGGGTACCATGCGCATCGGAACGCACTCGACATTTTACATGTGAATACGGTGGAGGTATCGCACCAACCAAACCGAGTACAGCAAAGCGATTCAAGGAGCAGCCACGTGAATGCTCTCTCAGTTAGCTCCCCACCGAACGTCATGCACATCGAGCAAGCACGAGTGTACGCCCGAGGACAGCTCACTTGAGAAGCTTTCAACGAGCACCGAGGGCGGCAGCGGCAAAGGTGGACTTCGCGATCGCCATCCTGCTCACGAAACATCTGTACTTCGCCTTCTGCGCCGTAATCGAGACGTTCAGGAAGGAGAGTCATTAAAGCAACATTGAAAATCAGCCTCAATGTGTGGGATCAATAACATTGATGGGCTCCAATGTTGCGTGATCGCTAACATTGACGCAATGTAAATTTTCCAGACGTGAAATTTCATGTTTGGAGCGACTGGCTCACAACAGCTCTCATATCAGAATCTACAGGGTAGGAAGCCAGCGCCCGCGCGCTCGCTCAGCGTGCGACCGTCTGCAGTGGTCACCCGCTCAACCTTATTCTAATGTGTGCATGTCCTACTGCGGTGCTTATATGCGTGTGTGTACTACGTATGCGGGAGCAAACGCCTTCCCAGTGCGTTGCGTTGCGTTGCGTTAGGCGCGATGCGTGTTGCATGCGATCGAATGCGCTATCTTCCAAGCAGTCGTAAGCGCTTTTAATGCGCCTCTAGCCAACAGCGCAGTTAGGTTAAAGGGGGAGGGCGAGCGAACGCGAGCGCGAGCCTCGCTGAGCGCGTTCACCGATCGTCAACACCCGCCGATCAGGCGGGGGCGGGTCTGAGCGCTGCAACCCGATATTTTTTTCCTAGACACCGCGCCTGGTCGAGCCGAGGACTTAGCGTAAGGCACGAGGGGGTGGGGCAGGCCGCACAGCGGCGCCCCCCGAGCGAAGCGAGAGAGGGGCGGGCCCCCCGAAGTGCCGTCGCTAAGTCCGCAGGCGAAAGCCAACGCGAGAGTGTCCTGCCAACTAGGAATAGACAACCCGTGGCGCCCAGGTAGAGCTGCGCGTAGATCCCGTAGAGCCCATTCCCCTGCTGCATGTGTCGGCGCGTACACCATGACGCGCTTGCCGCGTTAGCGGCGGAAGCTGTTGGCGCACGCCCCGAGTGATACAGCGTGCTTCGCTGTCGAGCTGTCGAGCTGTCGGAGCTGTCGAGCTGTCGAGCTGTCGCGTCCACTATTGTCATATTGGTAAACCAAATATTCTGCTACGAGAGATACCGTAACATTGTGCAATGTTAGGCAGAGGCACCATTGTTGCGCTCAATGTTACGCAACGCCAATATTTCAATGTTGCTTTAATCAGTGCCTTCAGGAAGTCCAATCCCAAAGCTTATCCCAGATATCCTAAGACATATCGTCTTTCGTGAGCGTCTCCCGAGCCCAGCAGGGGAGACGCTCTCACATTTCCATTCTTGCACTGGAGCAACTCGCATGGGGTCACTCCACGTGGTGACGTCGACGCTGCTAGCGTTAGCGTGGATTTTCTTCCTGGTTGTCCCCGGGACGTTCTCAGCTGATGACTCCGTACAGTTGAGTGAGAGCTTTGGAGGACCCCATGGAACGGAGTTCTCGGACCAAGCCTCGGTCTCAGCCGGCCAGGTCATCGGCGCCATCACCATTCGAGCGGGCGAGCGTGTCGATGGAGTCTCGCTGGACGTGAAAGCTCCGACGGCCGCGACGTTCAGCCACGGAGGAACTGGCGGAAGGGCAAACACCCTCACGCTCGCTGCGGACGAGCACATCACGTCGATGGAGGCCCATTGGGGCGAGAAGAAGGGGAGAACGCGCATCTTTTACCTGAGCTTCGGAACGAGTGCCGGCAACACGGTCTCTGGAGGCTCGCAGACCGAGAGCAAGAACACGGTGACGGCGCCCGAGGGGTTTCAGCTTGGAGGCTTCTTCGGCCAAGACGGAGACGAGATCGACAAGTTGGGAGCGATCTGGACGCGTATTTCAGCCGAAGCCCCGGCGACGGAGCCACCGGCCCCCGCCGCTGCCGCTCCTGCACCAGCAGCTTCTACCGCTGGTTCTGGTGAAGGTTCAGCTGTGGATTCCACTGCGGGATCTACCGATGCGACTGCTCCTGCGTCTGCAGAAGCCTCCATCGATGCCTCGGGGTCTGCTGAAGTGGCGAAGCCCAATAAAGCAGGTAAAACTCCAGCGACGTCGACGGATGCGTCAGCCGATGAGTCTGCGGCGGGGTCGGCCGATGCCTCCGCGTCAGGATCTACCGGTGCTGTGGCTAAGCCCAAGAAGGCGGGGAAAAGGCCGACAACGTCGACGGACGCTTCAGATGACGAATCGGCAGCAGCGTCGGCCGATTCCTCCGCGTCAGAGCCTGCGGAACCGGCAAAGCCCAAGAAAACAGGAAAAAGACCAGCAGCATCGACGAGCGATTCGGCGGATGAGTCAGCAGCAACGTCGGAGGCGGCTTCAGGGGAAGGATCCGCGGACGCCTCAGCAGCGACATCGTCGACCGATGAGTCGGCTGCAGCATCCACAGAGTCATCAGCATCAGAGTCTGCAGAGCCGCTGTCATCTTCTGAAGGTTCTGCTGCAGGATCCGTTGCAGAGGCACCAGCACCGTCCGGATCAGCCACGGCTGGTCCAGCGCCGGCACCTGCCGGCACTGAAGCACCTGCAGAACCGTCAATATCCGTCAAGGACTCTGTTCAGCTCAGTGAGAGCTTTGGTGGACCTCATGGTATGGACTTCTCCGACAAAAACTTCGTGAATTCGGGTCAGACTGTCAGCTCCATCTCGATTCATGCCGGTGAGCGTCTCGATGGTATCACTATGACGATTTCGGCACCTAAGAGTCTGACGTTCACCCACGGCGGGACTGGAGGAGATCAGAAGACGCTCAAGCTGGAAAAGGGCGAGTACATTAAGTCGATGGAAGTTCATTGGGGCAAGAAGAACGGCCACACGCGCATCTTCTACGTCAACTTCGTTACGAGCGCCGGCAACTCGCTAGCCGGTGGCTCCATGACGGATGAGAAGAGCACCGTGACGGCACCCGAAGGCTTTCAGCTGGCCGGTTTTTTCGGCAAAGACGGCAAGGAAATCGACTCGCTGGGTGCAGTTTGGGCGTACATTGACTTGGTGACCCCAGCTCCGACACCGGCACCTGCCCCAGTCAAGGATGAGGACTCCCCGGGTACCGTCGCCCCTGCCGACATCGCCGGCAGTTTGTCGGAAGTGAAGACGAAGGTGAACAAAAGGGCGGTTCAACTGAGTGATTCGTTCGGAGGCCCTCACGGCGAGCAGTTCTCCGACCAGCTCGCTGTTACTTCCGGCATGACCGTCAGTTCCGTCACAATCCGTGCCGCCGAGCGTCTTGACGGCCTTACAGTGCAGATTTCGGCGCCGAAGGAGATGACGTTCACCCACGGCGGCACAGGAGGAGAAGACAACACTCTTACGCTTGAGCCAGGCGAGTATATCACTACTATGGAGGTTCATTGGGGCCAAAAGGGCGGTCATACCCGCATCTTCTACATGAATTTGGGAACTAGTAAAGGCAGATCGGTCGCGGGCGGATCGCAGACTGATGAGAAGGGATCGGCGACGGCACCCAAGGGCTACCAGCTTGCCGGCTTCTTCGGTCGCTACGGTGACGAGATGGACCTGGTCGGTGCCGTATGGTCCAGCATCGCAGCGGTCAACGAGACGGTCGCGCCTCCTGTTTCAGCTGACGAGGATATTGTGCTGAGCGAACTATTCGGCGGTCCTCACGGCAACGCATTTTCCGACATCAACGACATCAAATTCGGTCAGACGGCGTCTTCTATCACGATTCGGTCGGCAAAGCGCGTGGATGCTGTGACGCTGCAGGTCGCTGCCCCTAAAGAACTGACGTTCTCTCACGGTGGTAAGGGCGGAGAGGAGCAGACGCTCACTCTTGCCTCCGGCGAGTACATAACCTCGATGGAAGCTCACACGGAGAAGCAGGGGTCTCACACTCGTGTGTTCTACCTCAGCTTCACTACCAACAAGGGCAAGACCATCTCCGGCGGAACGAAGACGGACAAAACGGGGGTTGCCACCGCACCTGAAGGATTCATGCTGAGTGGGTTTTACGGCCGCGCTGCGGATGAAGTGGATCAACTTGGGGCCATTTGGACGAGAATGTCGGCCAAGAACATCGAGCTGACGGATCCTTCCGGTGTCGGCAACAATTCGTACGGCACGACGATCCGCAACTGGGTGGGCCCCACCATCGGCAAGCCTACCGACACAGCGTGCTATCGCAAGACGGCGGCCTTCGACAGCACCAACATTTGTCCGTTGGGCTTCGGCAAGGACGGCGACGATTGCATCACGCAATGTCCGATCTCGTATCCTGTGACGTGTGGCTTAGAGTGTCTCCCTCAAAACGACGACTGCGCTCTCGCGGTGCTCCACAAAATCGGCACCGTTATCGCAGTGGCGTTGAATGCTGCAACTGGGGGAGTATTCGGTGAGATTTTGGCTGCTTACAAAACTGTCAAGTGGGCCATCACCTGCGTTGCGAACATCGTGCAGGTGATCCGAGGTCTGATCTATTACCTGCGCTACCGGCAAACCACTGCACCCCAAGGTGACACGGCAGAGCTGCTGACCGTCGCTTATCAGGCCGACGTTGTTCTGTATGACCTTCCTGTAGCTGTTTGTACGTGTCTTGGTATCCCGGTTCCGGCTAAAGCGCAGTTCGCGGACATTGTGCTTGTCATCGTGGAAGGTATCGTGAAGCAAGCGATCACCAACGGCGAAGAGATCATCTCCAGCGGAGCAAACGTCATGAACTTGCTGACGGGGAACAACATGGTGAACAAATCTTCGACGACGGTGGACGAACTGCAAGACCTCATCGACAAGAACTCGAGCTGTGGGTGGCAGCTCAAGCGTCTCACGGATCGCGTGACTATGGCTGTGCTTAGGTACCGTAACGCAAGCTCTAACATCGACGACATTCGCGTCAAGGTATACAGGTCGTCCATCGTACTGAACGACATCCCGATCGTCACGAACAACTGTATGGGCGAGCTGCTGGCCACCAAGACCAAGACGGTAGCCTACCAGACGCGTGATCTGCTACGGAAGACGTTCGGAGTGATCGTCGACCAGCTCATCGACACTGGTAAGACGGATAAGGGGAAGGACGTGGCCGAGAAGGACTACATGCTGCAAGTGGCAAATATGGGGCTGGTCGTACTGTCCACGATAGACCCCACGGGTATCGCGTACATGGCCTCGCAGTTCGTGCAGCCTATATGCGGGCCTACAGCTTACGTCGGAGAGATCGATGACGGTACATTGTTCGACGCATTGGGGCTCTCAACAGTGGACGAAGCTTTTGCCGGCAGCTACGGGTCGTACACTCACGCGGGTGACGGCGTTGTGAGGTTAATCTTCGAGAGTGTGGATACGAAGGACGTGACGGTGGTTGTCCACAGTGGTGGTGATGGATACACCAAGGTGGACGTTGGTTCGGGGGATACCGTGACGTGGGAAGCCACGTTCCCGGAGCTGGAGGACAAGACTTTGTATCTGGATCGCTGGCGTCCCGGTTTTTTGGGTCTGCCTGGTAAGGGAGGTGGCTCGTTGCTCATGTGGATCCCGCGGTCGTCGGAAGGCGGGCATATCACGATGCACGTACGGATCAATCCGTCCTAAGTCGATAGTTGTAGCTGTATTCGTGTATGAAAAAAAGTAAAGGTGCGTTCAAATTCGCTCCCACAGCGTCCACACCATGCAGTTTGAGCCGAGTCCACAGCTGCCCCTCCACACCACCTGCACACATGTTGCCTTCAGAGCTGAAGTTACCGCAGCACCACAAGAAAAAAAACGCAAAACCTATCGAAGCCTCTATAATCTAATGACCACATACAACCGCCCATATACAGCACTGATGTCAACCACACCAGTATCATCTCTCACGATTTTTCACGTCTTTCACGTCAACTCGCATCATTCCCACACTTGCGTCAGCGATCCCAAGTCTGCCGGCAAGTCTACCGTCTACCGGCTCTGTCGGATCAATGCGTCGAGGTGTCGCTCCGCTCCGCCGCGCGGCCTCGGGGCTGAGCGCCGCGCGCGACGCCAACATGGCGGCCAAGATCGAGGAGCTGGCGCGCCTGCCGCAGACGGGCGTGTCGCTGCAGTACCTGCTCGAGTTCGGCACGGCCATCTCGCCGCAGAAGCTCATCCAGTCGGCGCGCTTCCTGCACGGCGAGCTGCCGGTGCGGTACGCGCACCGCATCAAGAACCTGGAGAACCTGCCGCACGGGCTCAGCGACATGCCGTCGGTGCAGCAGGTGCGCGCGTGGTACGTGGACTCGGCCAAGGAGCTGCTCAGCTTCCCCAAGGTCGAGAGCTTCCAGGACGAGCTGGCCTTCCGGTCGCTCATCGAGAGCATCAAGATGCGGCACAGCGGCACGCTCTACACCATGGCCAAGGGCGTGCACGAGCTCAAGATGGAGCTGTTTAAAACCTTCTCGCAGAAGGACAAGGGCGGCAAGGAGGTGGGGCAGAGATATCTCCGCTCGCAGGAGTTCGCCGACCTGTCGGACCTGCATTCCTTCCTGGACGCGTTCTACATGTCGCGCATCGGCATCCGCATGCTCATGAGTCAGCACATCGCCCTGCACGACGAGGAGGAAGGCTGGGTGGGCTGCATCTGCGAGAGCACGTCCCCCGCCGAGATCGCCCTCGCCGCCATTGATACAGCCAGACACATGTGTCTGCGGCAGTACGGAGACGCCCCCGAGGTCGAGCTGCATGGACACACGGACTTCTCCATGCCCTTCGTGCCCAGCCACCTGCACCACATGCTCTTTGAGATGATCAAGAACTCGATGCGCGCGGTGGTGGAGTTCCACGGCGTGGACAACGACATGCCCCCCATCAAGATCGTGATCGCCGACGGAGAGGACAACGAAGACGTGTCCATCAAGATTTCGGATGAGGGAGGGGGTATCCCCCGCTCGTCCGTATCGAGGATCTGGTCGTATCTGTACACGACCGCGGACTCGGAAGCGTTCGAAAGGCTGGAGGCGCCCAATGACTTCGGCGGGGATTCGCCGTTGGCGGGACTGGGCTATGGTTTGCCCATTAGTCGACTGTTTGCGCGCTACTTTGGAGGGGACTTGCAGGTCATCTCCATGGAGGGGTACGGGACCGATGCGTACTTGCACCTCAAGCGTGTGGGTGACGCATCCGAACCGCTGCCTTGAGAAGGGGAGCGAAGGTTGACGGAGGAATGGAGAAACTGATTTTTATATTGAATCGCTAGGCTCACGGATTGCTGAGCTTCGGAGACTTGCTTGTAATAGAACACGATGGAGGCGGTGGTGACAAAACAAAAGGGTTTGTACCATTGTGTACTTAGTTCGGGCGCTGCATGCTCTTTGGTCGCAGCATTTGTGCTCGAGCCTGAATTCTACTTGTTGCTGACCCTTGTCCTGAGCCCAGACTGTCTTGTGTATCCGCTCTGCCAGATTGGCGACTAGACCCGTTGAGTTTGACTCCATGCAGCGGGTCGAGCTTCGTCTGGGACCTCGGTCGGTCTTCCGGCGGTTCCAGCGTGATTGCTGCGAGCATTTTGTTCGCAGATGAGTCGCTTTCGACGGTCGGCGGGCGCTTCAAGAGGGAGGCCGACGATGGCGGGGATCCTACTGGCGATGTTACTGCTTGATATCTCTGGCCGATCGTAACCCCACTGACGCCTGTGAACGGTGGTGTGTTCTGTTTAAGGTCTCGCAGTATCTCCGCAAGTGCACTTTCAGTCACAAAGTGTCTGCTCATCGCCTCGATCTGTCCCTTTAGCTGTTGCAACTCGTCCCCCATCGTTGTCCAGGACTGGAAAGCATCCGCTTCGCTCTCGTTACTGATCATTCCGTCTCCGTCCACACTCACCAAGTTCTTCCTCTGCATCGCAGCGGCGAGTCTTGCCAGTGTCACCTCAAGCACATGCTGACTGCGAGCGAGGGAGCTCACTTCCCGGCCGATATTCTCCACGGTACGCTTTTCAGAGGCCCATTCGTTCATCGCTGCAGTTGCCACCTTGTTGTCGGTCTCGTGCCGGAAGAACATGTCGGTGAACGCTTCCGAGTACTTGCACAACGCTGCAGCCATCTCACCTGCTGCCGCTCGTGCAGTGATTGCCACAGGGAATCGACAGCTCTCCGGTTCATCGCTGCGTCCCCCAAGCAGCGCCAAGATTTGCATCGAGAAGTCCGATCCCAACACGCGACCGACTTTCTCCACATGAGCCTCAGCCGCTGCAAGATCGATCGGCTCCTGCGCCATGGAGGCGTATGCGTCGTTGATCAACTCCACCAGCTTGTCGAGATGCTTCTGCGCGACGGGATTCACGTTAGTGCCGCTGTTGGGGTTGAGTCGCTTGTGCTTCTTCCACCGGTGCTTCAGCAGATTCAAATTCCTTGACAATTCCAGCAGCGAGACGCGCAGAACGGGGATTTGCGAGCTGGTCAAGTGGTGCGCTGTCCTCTTCACGCTGGATGCGGCAGGCTTGTCCCCGACTACAAGTCCATCCGATAGGGCTCCTGTAGTCTCGCCACCAAGCTGGAGCTGGAGCTGCTTTTGTCGAGGGTGACTCTCGATCTCGCGCATACGAGTCCGAAGCTGCTTGATCTCGTTCTGTAGCGCCGTAATCTCCATCCGTTCTACCTTGGATTCGCAGTACGAGTACAGCTGCAGGTTGGACGTGCGGATCAGCTGGAACGCGCGCTTCACTTCTTGCTGGCATCGATCCAACGTCAGGTGGATTTCACTGAGTCGAGGGTTGTTGCTGTTGACTGCAGCAAGTTGCAGCCGTCGATACGCATCCGACAGCTCAGCGGCAGCTCGAGCGTCGGCCTCGCGCTTGCTCGCCTCTTGCTGCCGGATTCGCGTCTCTACCTTGGACTTCATGTCCTCGGGGATAGTGAAAGGCTGCAGATCCGTGTAACCCTGGGCACGTTTCGTGCCGTCAAGACGCTTTAGGTGTGTCTGGAGTGATAGTTTCTCGTCGTTGGTCTGGAAGGTGAACTTCTCGGGTATGTGGCTGGGAGGGGGTGTGGGCTGCAACGCTGCGAGTTGAAGCGGAAGCTCCTGGAACTTTTGTGTCAGCTCTGTGAAACGATTGTTGAAGTCATTGCGGTGATTCTCAACTTTCTGCCAAGGTAAAGCAAAAGATTTGTTGTTAGCAAAACACCCTGGTATCTCCATCACTCGAGAGATTTACGCACCGTATCGACGACTTTGATGTGCTCCTTTTCCTTCTTGACCTTGGACGTCAGCACCGAGATGCTGTTCTTGTGCGAGCGAATGTCGTTCTGGAAGACCTCCATCACGTTCTGGTACTCTTTTAGCTTGGTAGTTATGGTGTTGACCCTGTCGTGCACCCCCGAAACTTCGCCTCGAACAGTTTCCGATCCTTGGTTAGTCTCGTATCGTAGCTGGTAGATGTCCCCACGCGCTTCATCCATGCTCGCTTCCAGCCGTGTGAGGCGTTGGCAGATGTGCAGCAAAATTGCACGCGATGCACTGTTGTGCACGTTTAGTCCATCTTGCACGTGACTCAGCGATTCAGCTATTGACAGAGGCTGCTGCTCGCTAGTGCTGTCTGTCGAGGTTGCTGTAGTTCCTTCCACCGCGTCACCCATGCTGAAGTTAATGTGAAAAGGCCTACGAAATTGAACGCCGATGCAATCGGTAGCCCCCAAAACAGACACAGTGAAACTGCGGTTCTTGGCTATTTTTGAGCCCGTGATTGCAAACAAACAAGCACCAGGATTCGTGAAAGCAGGTAGCGAAGTCACGTACGATTGTCAAATTACCTGATAGGTTTCAGTCAGTTCACGCAAACACTGACTGGGTTAGAAAACCTCCAGTTGCCGTCGCGACGATGCTGGTTTACGAGTCGCGGATAATAACGTTGTTCTTGAGCAGACTCATGCGCAGCAGCAGGTTGCGCGACTCGGCCGCGTACTTGCGGCCCACTTCGAATGCGCGCTCGTACGTGGCCGCGCGCTGGTTCGGGTGATAAGCATACAGCACCTGAAAATTGACAATACCCCGTAGCTATTAGAATGGGCAGTAACTTTTGACAACGCGGAGGAACCACCAACCTTCTGATACGAATCCATTCGCGCGTGCAAGCGCTCGGCCGCAATGAGCTCGCAGATTTCCTTCTCAAGGTCTGGTGTCGGCGTGTTAAACGTGCGCGCCATTTGGTGCAGATCCACCGACAGGTACGGGTAGAAGTACTGGATGATCCCACGACTGCGGATCTCCTTGCACAGCTTCTCCATGTGCTCACACAGGTACAAGTCCAGCTTGAGCTCAGGCTGTCAACAAAACCATTTTTTTTACAAATAATGTCAATGCCATACCGACCGTAACAGTAACATCGTACACCGGCAGCATACCTTCATCTTCTCCAGCGTCTGCAGGCACGACGCGTAGTTGCTGGAGTAAAAGTCGGTGATGAGCTCACGCAGCCACGGCAGCAACTCCAAAAACGCCTTGAACGACGAATTGTTGATCACCTAAAAGCAGCAAAAACAAATCAGCTTCAACACGCACACGATTGGCCCAAGAGATTAGTTTTCCACCTTTTCCTTGAGCTCTTCACGCTTGAAAGACGCCAGCGCGCAAATTCCGCCGTATAGAGCGATGTCCTCTGCGTGCAGAACCTCATTGTAACTCGAACCGATCTCGGCGCTGCACTCGATGAACTTGGAGGCGGCCGCGTGGTAACTTTTCTCGTTCAGCGCCACAAGTCCAAAAGCCGATGCGATCTTTGACTTCAAGCTGCAAAATATAAAAGTAAAAAATAGTGTTAACCTATTCCACTGCAACACCCAGTTGCAATTGCAATTGCAGGATCACTTTTTGCACTTACATTGGGTCGCTCTGAGGCGCGTTGACTTGCTCCAGCTTGGTCAGGTAGTTGGTCACGTGGCCGAAGTTGCGCATGTGCAGCGCCACTTTGCTCACGTTTAGGCACATTTCAATAATGTGCTTGTCCGTGGTGCAGTAGTCGCGGGCCTGGGCGAAACTCTTGAGAGCAGCTGGCAAATCACCCATTTCGTAGTAAAAATCCCCCAGGTCGTTGTGGCCCATCTAAGCAAATAAAACGAAAGTTAGTAACCTATCTATAAGTGCAGGTTAACACTAGCCTAAACAGGTTAGCACTAGCCTAAACAGGTTAGCACTAGCCTAAGCTCTTTTTTTTCACTTTACCCGGATGCTCTCCTTGATCATCGTGGACTTGTACGAGTTCAACTCCTGCTCCAGACGCTCGTGTTGCTGCGCCGCGTTGTGTTTCACGTTGTCGATGAAACTCGCCTCCTCCTGGACCTTTTCACCTAAAATCTCGGCGTACAGTCCCATGTTCAGGCTGCCCTTGAGCTCGCGCAGCAACGCGCGCTTCGCCTCGGCCTGCAGCTCGGGGCACGTCTTGGTGAGGAACAGCAGCCGCTCGGTGCGGTTGCGGCCGCTGTACTTGGCGGCGTACGCCTCCACGTCGAAGCCCTCCAGCGCCTGCGCCATGGTTAACACCACCTAAAGCTTTCTCAAAAAAAGTGGAAGTGACTTTGATGGGGTGTATCTTGCGGCTAAAATATGTATCTGACCAATGGGACGAGCGCATTTCGGTTATATTTTGTACTAACGGATTTGATTGGTGGATGGAATTTATATGTGAGGTTTGTTTTGCCATTTTGCCATCCTGGTGTTGCCATGGCGTCCCCGGTGGTGATCGCGCTCTATCGGTGCGTGTTGCCACGGCACCAGCGTGGGTTAAGGGAATCTCTGAATTAATATTGTGGATCTGCTGCCCCAGGACACTGCTGCGCTCCACGCAGACGCTGCAGCGCGACGTGGAGGCCGGCCGCACCCTGTACAATGCCGTCCGCTCGGGCGCCGTCGCCTCATACGCCGGGGTCAAGAGCGACTGGCAGCGCGAGCGCATGTTCATGCGGCGCTTCGAGGATATGGAGGTGTTAAAGCGACGGGGCGCAGGCAACAAAACTTTTGCCGCCATTGTGCGCTCAGGGTTCGCCCAGCCCGTGGATACAAAGGATAAGGCGGCGCTGGACGCCCGGATTGACGCCGCATTTGACGCGATGAAGAGCGTGGACGACCACAACGCCCTCATCCGGGAGTTTAGAGACCAAGGGATTTTTGGACCCAAGGTGGGTGGGTGATATAAAGTTAGAGAGAATTTGCAGAAGCATGCACCTAACCTTTGGCTTGGATTTTTGTGTGTAGGAACGCAGCAACGCCATCGAGTTCTTGGTGGGAGACGTGGTGGAAGTGAAGGGTGAAAAGCGTGGTGTGATTTTCGCCTGGTATGTAACCACAGACGGGGTTGAAGCGGCAGCGGGGCCGCGAGTTGTGTATGATATTTTGCCACACAGTCCTGGCTTCAGGTGGGTGGGCTTTTATTTTATAATACCTCTAGTTGGGGTTGTCCAGGTGCTGATTTGGTTACCAATTTACAGTTTTGCGAGTAAATTGTACAACGTGCCCCAAGAAGAAATCCGTCTGGATGAATCTCCCAAGGTAGTGAAAATATTGTTTTCATCACTTCATCAAACCTTCTGCAACACTCCTCTAACACTTGTTTTGTTGCTGTTGCAGGCGGTTGTGCACCCTGCGCTCTTGTTGTACTTTGACGGCTTTGATGGCACTCACCACGTCGCGTCTGAAGCGCTGGCAGCTCGGTACCCGACTGACGTCTCTGGAAAACCTGAAGACGCCGACGTTGTTGTGTCCACGCCGTCCATCATGCAACTTCAATCGGCGGACGAGGACAAGCTGCTGACGTACTTGCGCTGTGACGACAGCACCATCGTCCAGTTTGTGATGGCTAGTCTGGAGGGCATGTGGCTCGGAGAGTGCGGACAGAGTGTCCAGGATGAAGTGCAGCGAGCTGTGGAGCTGGCCGGACAGAAGAAGTGGGACGAAGCGCGAGAGATGCTGGAGCAAGTGGTGCACGACTTCCCCGAGTATGCCTACGCCTGGAACAAGCTCGCCATGGTCGAGTACCAAAGCGGTATGTTTTTATTATATTATGACAGGATAAATGCTCGTGCTGAGTCGTCAAATCTGTATTCTGTCCGTGTGTAGGCAACTTCGGGAAAGCTCTGGGTCACTACGAGACTGCCATCAAGTTGAAGCCGCAGCTTATCGAAGCTCTCGTCGGACTAGGAACGTGCGCCACGAGGCTCCAGCGATGGAGCTTGGCGCACCGCGCCGCTGTGCAGCTACTGGAAGTGCAGCCGAGCAACGACACAGCTCGAATGCTGATCGAGCAAGCCGTGTACGCCACATTGTAGGCAGAATTCAGGCGGTAAGCCTAGATAATAACATCCGCGTGAGTATCACTCGTATGATACTTCGTAGCGATTTGAAGTTCCGAGTGACGTAGGAAGCTCACGCAGATAGTTGCCGCGCAGTTACGGGAACGTGGAGGCGCGATGGTCACCAAAAGGCAACATCAACGTGGCCGGGCGCTTGACAATTGCTTCATGGATCGCTTGCTTCAAAGATCGCTTGGCTACTTCGTTGCATGACGCACGCTGCTCGCGCAATAACTTCGTGCCAGCAAAACCGCTAGCTTGTCGCTAGTGATCCCTGCAACCAGTGACAAGCAAGGCGGTTTTGCCACCAAAGACACGACTGCAGCTACCACGAGATATACAATGACACAAGTGCATCAATTAAGGTTGCTATCTGCCACGAACGCAGGAACTTCCGACGGCCCCGTGCTACACATGTACGCTACAGGTTAGGCTACCAAGACGTACGCTACACCTGGCAAACTCACACACCTTAGTTTACAATATATAAAGCTGCCATACAGCGGCCAGCGCGTGCGCTACGCGAATAATATAAGTCGACGCGAGTCTTGGACTGGGGCGTCGAGGGGAGGCGCAGGCTTCATGCCGCGAGCAACTCCACGAAAGTCAATCAACACTTGGACCTTAGAACATGTACCTGGACACAGACCACAGCATGTCGGCGTCCTTGGAGCGGAATTCCTCCTCCTCCGAGTCGAACGCAGGCTCCTCGCTCACCGCAGTGACGCTGATGCGCCGCTTGGCTGCACCGCCGTCCTCCTCCTGCGGGATCATGACGGCCTCGCTCAACGGGGTCGCCCACACGATACGCTCGCCTTTGTCAGAGGTCTCCTCCGACGCCGACTGCGTCTGTCGTCTCAAAGTGGGCAAGCGAGAGGGGGTGACCATGCCTCGAGGCGACGACGGCGGGGAGATGGCGGCACTGCAGGTGAAGAAGCGAATGATGCGCTCCACCAAGCCGCCACCATAGGTCGTCTGCCGCCGCAACTCTGCGACCTCGAACCTTCTGGCCTGCAAAGCCAGCTCCAGTTCCTCCACACGTTGTTGCTGCTGTTTGGCTTCGATCTTCACTTCGTCGAACGATACCTGGAGCTTCTTGAGCTGCAGCTTCGCCATCTTGGCCTCCTCTTGAGCCTCGCTTAGCTTGTCGGTCACAGCTGCCATGCTGTTCATCAAAGTTGCATTGTCCTTCTCGAGACGGTCAACGTGGATCAGCCGCAGCTGGCGGTTGAACAGGCCGAACACCTTCACCTTCAGGTAGGCAGCTCGCCAACGGTGACGAGCCAGGGCCTTCTTCTTGAGATTGAGGAATCGGGTTCTCGCGATCATCGCGCGAACATGCGCCTGAACACGCAGCGCACTTCGCTTCCGCCGCACGGTCTCGAAAAGCCACAAGAATCCACGCTTGGCCATATACTGCGCCGTGATCTTCTTCCAGCGCTTCTGCAAGTAGATAACGCGCTGCAAGGGTCCCAGCCACTTGAGCAGCCAGCGCTGCTGCACCGGGAGGTAGTTCTTGGCAAGCAACTTGTCGAGAAGCACCATCTTGTCCTCGGGTCGGTCCTGGTACGCGTGCATGATCTGCGCCTGGTGCGACATCCGAGTCCAGAGCTTGTGCATACGGAGCTGCACGCGAATCTTCCGCACACGCTTCCGGGCCAGGTGCTGACGCACCATGCACTGAATCATCGTAGCACGTCGGTTGTACCGAACATCCTGGAAAATGCGCTTGAACGCGTTGAAGGTAATCACAGCCGTAGTGACGCTAATCCAGTGCTTCTTGCGCAGGTAGAGCAGCAGCTGCTTACCCAGGTTTTCGGTCGATGCCGGAGCCGGTGTGAGCAGCTTGTCGAGTAGATCAATCTTGCCCGTGCGGAAGAACAGACGAGTGTCACCCAGGCGGTAGGCGCCCGTAGGGAAGTCGTAAGCCCAAAGAATAGCTTGCGTGAAGAGCTTGTCGTTCGAGTCAAAGCGACGGAACACTTCGTACGGCAGCAGATTGCGGTAGACGTCAACCACTTCCGCGTACAGAATTCGAGTCGGAAGGCCGACACGGAGCACCTCGCAGGCCTGCACAGTACCCGAGCATCGGAGCTGCTCGACGACGAAAGGGCGATCGAAATGGCCGACCTTCATCTGAGTGTTGGGCTTGATGCAGCGCACGAAGTTGCAGCTTGTACCCTCCAGCTCCGTCGTGAGTCCCTTCATCTGCGTGGAGAAGAGGTTGGACGTACTACCTCCCTTGAGGCGCTTCGAAGACGCCGAGCCGCCACCCAGCGGTGAGAGTCCAGCCGACTTGGTCGATACGTTCGAGGCTGAGCGTGCACGGTTGCCATTACGGCTGTTGCCGGTCAAATCTTGCAGCACACGCGACGACGAGTTCTTGAGTAACTCCTCGAACTGGTCCGAGATAATGTTGTTGTTCTTGTCGACGAACGAGTCAATCGTGTACGATACAGTGCCGGCGTAGTGACGGATGAGGAAAGTGTCGCGAATATCCTTCGGGTGGGGCGTCGGGAAGCACGGGTGGCGCTTGAACAGAGTGTGCAGGCGCTCGTTCAGCTTACGGTCCGACGGCATCGGAAGCCGCGACACGTTGTCGATGGTAGCGAACAGGCCACCGTGGCGACTAGCAATGAGGTTCAAACACTCGCGGTTGTCTGAGTAGGCCACGAGGTCACCACTGGGAGCCACCTGCTCTGCCAAAAAGTCGATCTCGTTGTCCGGGTCCTTCAGCTTCAAGGGCTGGCCGGCCAGGGGGAACGGGAACGAAAGCGAGTGGTTAGTGGGGTGGTAGATGTGCTCGCTCTTGTACAGCTCCTGCTCCGCCTCGAAGATGCAGGCGTTAAAGAGACTCTGCAGCGTCTCGTTGGCGTAGTTGATGAGCAGCTGCTCGAACGAGTTGCGGTTCTTGGGCTCAAAATCCTCGAAACCGAAGATATCCAGGACACCGATGTAAGGCACCACGTCACTGCGGAACGAGTCGTAGTCCAAAGCCGCAGCGCACTCCCACATAAGCCACGTGAAGGTGTTCTCGTAGATCGTCTTGGCAATTGTGTCACGCGAGTACACAGCGTTACGAACGTCCCGCTTGATAAAGTAGATGGAGTTGCGTCGGGAGCCACGCGTCATGATCCGCTTCAGCAGAATACTTTCCGTGAGCTGCTCCTTCGAGACTCCAAGCAGCTCCGATGCGTGACGCACAGCCTCCTGCGATGCCTCATCGTCCTCACGGATGCAGGCTGTTTCTCCCTCCTCCGTGTCCTCTTGGCTGATGTGGATGTTGCCCATGTGCAGCAGTCCTGCCACAAGGCGGAAAATCTCGTGCTGAGCGCTCTCTCGGATGCCAATGAACTGTAGCGCGCTCTTCAAGTTTCGGAAGTTCTCAGCGTCATCAATGAGGTCGGAGCGCATGCAGCCCGACTGGTTCAGGTACGAGTAGTCCTCGGGCTTCTTGGGCTTCAAGTGGAGGGCGTTCTCCAGATACTCGGTGTCGTCCGAGTGCAGCAGCTCGTAGAATACGTGGAAGTTGCGCTCGCCCTGGGGCTGGAACACCAGTCGGCTCTTCTCCAGGAGATATGTGTCGATACTCGCACCCGAGAGCTCGTGCGTCTCGTTGGCGAACTGCAGCCTCATGTACTTGCCGAAGCGACTCGAGTTGTGGTTGCGGTGGGTCTTGGCATTGCCGAAGGACTCGAGGATCGGGATCGTCTCCATGAGTCGCTCGCCCACAGCCACAGGCGAGAGCTTCCTCTTGCCGCTGGACTGCGGGTACGACATGGCGAGCGTCGAGGAGCCCGGAGGGCCCATGCAGCCCAGCACGGGGCGATTGTGGGCCGTGAGCTCCGGTTCCATCTCGTCGTCGGATGTGCACGAGGCCGAGGCCGACGACAGCGCCGGGTTGTGCACCGCGCGCATGGTGAGGAAGTCGAGGATGATCTTGGACGTCTCCGTCTTGCCGGAGCCGCTCTCTCCGCTGATGATGATGCTCTGGTTCTGCATGACGGCGCGCACGGCGCAGAGCTGGCGGTAGGCGCTCTCAGCCACGTTGTACGGGTGCGGCGGGCAGCGGTCCAGCGGCTGCCCCACGAACAGCATCTTGTCGGGCTCGGGAAGCTGCCGCAGCGGGTTCACGGCGATCAGCACGTTGGCCATGAACGTGTACGGCCGCTGGTTCTGCAGCGCCGCGCGGTCCTCCAAGTTCTTGGCCAGCGCCGCCTCGTGCAGGTGGCGCAGCGACGTCATATCCGACGCCGTGCTAGATAGTTACCATAGCAATTTAAGGCAATGAACGACAAGGTTAGGCTAGTGTTAACCGAGGCAACACGGTTAGAGAAGTAGCGCACCTGAACAAGGGGTTGGCGGCGAAGAGCGGCGTCTGCTGCAGGTCGATCTGCTGCTCGAGCTCCAGGTCGGCGCGCTCACCGCCAGTATCGTCGTCGCTGCGGCGCAGCTGCTCGCCGGTGGCCTCGTCGATGAGGCAGAAGGTGGCGCGCTGCTGCTTGCGGTCGAAGGCCGAGACCTGGCCGAGCGTCCAGCCGAACGCGCCGTCCTGCTTCCAGTAGAGGTCGCCCACGCGCAGCTGCACGGCCGAGACGGCCTCGGCCTTGATGTCGGAGGCCGCGGCGCCCGACGCCAGCAGCGCCTTGGGCTGGCGCGCGGCTGCTCCGGCGACGCCCGAGAACGTCATGAGAGAGTGAATGTGCTGCCTCTTGCGCGGAACAACGCGAAGTGATAGGCGTCGGGGCAAGAGGCGAGTGTCGTGTTGTGGCTGGCCGCGGGTCGTCACCGAGGACTTTCGGCCAATGGGGAGGTGAGTAGGAGGCAAGGGAGGAGGTTTCGAACGTGAATCAGTACGTTGGGGTTGAAGACGAGCTTCGCGTTTAACGTGGTGGATTTTGACTGGAGTGGGTTGCGAGTGGTGATGTCAGCCAGCTACTGTACTCCTCAAGGAGGCACGTATCGATCGAAAGTGATCAGGCTGCTATTGCTGCCCTGGGCTAGGTGGGTGGGTTGTTGCCGCGAAGCGAGGCGGGATGCGATTGTTGTGCATGTCCTCGAAACAGCGATGTGTGCCAGCTACTATATGCCGACAGTGCTTAAGTCGATCATTATGCCCATCCTTAGCTACTTCACGGGAGGATATTGCCACTGATAGGGCAACGAATACGTGCATGCTTGTGAAAACTGCAGCGCCATTACATCTGCAACCCTCCTCCCCTTCGAAATGATCCATTGCTGAAACACTTGGCTGCGCCAGCAGCACTATACATTCTAAAGCGTGGGAAACTGCAGGCAGCACAAAAAGGCAAGTGATGGAGTCGGTAAACCTAGGTCAGTGTGGCAACTCTGCGAGTGGATTCAACGTTCAGGACCACTGCTTTTTCGAGATCACCCAGTACTGTAGTACTGAAATACGGTAGCGTAGCTCCCCAGGCAATGGCCGAAATTCGATGCAGGGGCTAGGGGCAGCTGTTTTTCGAACCATCAGAACGGTTGCACCTCTAAAAGAAACGCCGAACCGTTGCGTCGTGTAAAGCGATAGGGGGGACCACACGACGCGGCGAAGCAACTCGCTCATGCGTCAAAGCCCGCTCGCCGTGAAGATATGTTCGCCCTCGCCGCGTTGTTTGCACAGCTCACTGGCTGCAGAAAAGCAGCGCGCACTCGCATGGGCATCGCCTGCCCATCCAGCTGGCAACCCGCCAGCATTTCGCGAGCCCCAAGCACCACAAGATGGCCAGCATTACCTACGCTGCCATCGTGGAGCTTCAAGGCGCGCGCTGACTCTCGTCCGGATACTTTCGAGCCAAGTTGAAGTCGATCTCTGACTCCTCTTGGTCCGGAGTCAAGCGCAGCGCTGCCTCGAGCTGCGCACGAGCCTGTCGGCCTTGCTTGGTGACGCGCGCTCCGCTCGCCATCCAGCCATGTGCGACGCTGGCGTGCGCGTGGTGTGTGTCCGCGACGGTTTCGGGGCAGCACCTTTGCTTTGCTGCTCCTGCACGAGCTGGTCTACTGCACTGCCGTCTGCAGCGAGCGAGCAGGCTGCCAGGATGGCGTTCATCCTCGAGGATCGAGGCCGACGCCGCTGCAGCAGCCAGCCGTGCGCGTGGAACTGGCCGGCGTGGCACCTCAACGTCCGATTGCAAGTGGGCAGCGTCACGGGCGACTTCAACGCGGATCTGTATCAATGCTGGTCCAGGTCCGACGTGGCTGTCAAGGGCGGACTCGGAATCCAGCGCTGCCTCGTCGACTTCTGTTTCGGTGGCGCAGTGAGTAGCGCGGCGAGATCCAAGGTGGGGCCGCACGTGGGCTGCACGAACTGCGAAGCCATGTAGGCGATGCCCGTCGGGTCAAGGCCGCCTAGTACCACGAGCCCCATGTTGGCCACCTCGAGCATGTAGTCGCTCTCTTTGACGGACGCCCCCAAGTCGGTGATCGTGGTCTCGATGAGCTGGTCGATGATGACGCCGAAGGTTTTGCGCAGCAAGTCGCGCGTCTTGAACGCCGCCTCGGACGTTTTGGTGGCCAGAAGCTCGCCCATGCAGTTGTTGGTGGCTGTGGGGATGTCGTTGAACACGATCGGCGAGCTGCCGATGGCGACGCGAATGTCATTGGCAGCGGCGTTGGGCGTCGCGCTTCGGATGTCGTTCACCGACGAGATCACGTGGTCCGTGAGGTTCTTGAGCTGGTACCCGCAGGTCGAGTTGGAGTCGATGAGGTCCTGCAGCTCGTCCACGCTCGTGTCTGCAGTGGAATTCGTCGCGCTTGTCTTGGTGAGGAGAGCTAATACATTGGCCGCGGACGAGAGGATCTGGTCGCCGTTGGTGATGGCCTGCTTCACAATAGTCTCCACGATCACCAGATCACCAGTACAGCGTCTGCGAACTTTACGCCTGCTGGAACTGGAATACCGAGGCAATTGCACACTGCAACGGGCAAGTCGAAGAGCACCACGTCCGACTGGTAGGCCACGGCAAGCAGCTCCTCCACGTCCCCCTCTGGTGCCGTGGTTTGAGTGTATCGCAGGTAGAAGATGAGCGACTTGAGGACGCCGACGATGTTCGAGGCGCAGACGAAGGCCTTCTTGGCGCTCTTGTTTTGGGCGAAGAGAGCGTCGAAGACGCCGGACGTCGCCGTGTTGAACGCTGCAGCCGCCACGGACGCAGCCTTGGTGAAGATTTCCAGAGAGCAGTCGTCGTTCTGAGGAATGCACTCGAGATAGCACACCACCGGATACGACATGGGGCACTGCGTGATGCTGTCCTTCACGTAGCCCAGCGGACACACTTTCTTGCTGTCGACAGACTCGGTCTTCCGGTAACAAGCAGAGTCACTAGCCACGCCTATGGTAGGGCCCACCCAATTCCGGATCCTGTCTCCGTACCAGTCGGATCGGTGAGCACTGCTGTCTTGGCATCGATCCGCGTCCAGATGACACCAAGTTGATCCACGGCACCTTCAGTACGGCCGAAGAACCCGCTCAGCTGGAAACCTTCGGGGGCGGAAACACTCGAGTTGTTTTCGGTCGGGGTCCCTCCCGAAACGGAATTGCCGTCGCTGGTGCCGAAGCTGAGGTAAAAGACCCTGGAGCTCGTAAGCTTCTTGGCCCAGTGGATCTCCATTGACGTGATGTACTCGCCGTCCTCGAGCACGAGCGTATTATCCTTTCCACCCGATCCGCCGTGTGACAGCGTCAACGCAGCAGGGGTTGCAACCTGCAAAGTCACCGCATCGACGCGGTCACCAGAGCGAATCGTGATGGAGCTGGCTGTCTGGCCAAACACGACGGAGTTGATGTCCGAGAACGCGAGGTCATCGATCTTGTCACCAATCGCGGGTCTACGACCAGAAAAAATCGCAAGATAGGCCACGGGATCTGTAAGGCGATCCCCGACACGTCAAACGACTCGTTTGAAACGAGCGAGACATCGCACTTCGTGTGAAACTTCGAGGTTCAAGGTCTTGTTCAAGGAACTGCTGCAATACCCTCGAGTATACTGACTATATGTACATGTACTGCAGGAGAGGTTTTATCTATCGTGACTTCACTTGGTGGAGTTGCGTGGGTTTCTCAACCAAGCTGATGTTGTTGGTGCTGTACAGAAGGGATGAGTCGTTCGGTTAGTTTTCACGATCTAGAATTGTTCTATTGCCACACTTTTTAAAAACGACGAGAGCTCTAACTTACATTAATCATCACGTGCATCGTCAAGTGGCCGCCCTTGGAGGATCTGGGCACCCACAACTTGAGCGAACCACCACCCGAGCCTTTCAACCCGATAATATTCGGCCTCCACCGATCCAGATACAGCACGTTGTCCTGCAGTTTGGCGACGGTGGAGTTCCATGCCACCGTCTTGCCTGCATTCACGTCAACCTCGGCGATCTTGTCGCCGCCCGAGTGAATGAGAACTGTCACGTCCTTCGTGTCGATACTCTTGAAAATGATGTTAACCATCCCGTCCCCTTTCTTCTTCCACGCGCCGTAGCTGCCTACGAACGCCTCGTCCACAGTTTTGAGACCCAACGCGTCGTACAACGACCCATCGTCGATCTCCCCGATAAAAGAAGTGGGGCCGCAAGTCGGCTGGATGAATTGCGAGGCCAACCAAATGATCCGAGTCGGATCCAGACCGGCTAGCATGGTTAATCCCAGGTTCGACACCTCAATAAAGTACTGCTCCATCGCGACAAACTTGCCCATGTTGGTTGTTGCCGTGGTGATGAGCTGCTCGATGATGACTCCAAACGTCTTCCGAAGCAAATCTCTCGTCTCGAACGCGGCCTGCTTGGTCTTATAGGAAAGCAGCTCGTTCATACAATTGTTGGTAGCTGCGGGGATATCCTTCTGAACGAGGCGCGAGTTGCTGATCTGCACTCGGATGTCGTCGATCTTGGCTCGTGGGGTCGTGTTGCGGATATTGTTGACGGAGAGGATGACATGGTCCGTAAGGCGCTTGAGTTGGTAGCCACACGTCGACTTGGTGTCCATGAGATCCTGCAACTCGTCCACACTTGTATGGGAAGAATTGACCGCGCTCACGTTGCTCAGGAGTTTGTACACGTTCTGACCTGACGAGAGGATTTCGTCGCCGTTGATGATCACTTGCTTCACGATATTCTCCACGATCATCATCACGATACCGGTGAACTGCAGAGTGGGCGGAACATGAATTCCAAGACAGTGGCAGATTGCAACGGGCAAGTCCACAGCGACGACATCCGACTGATACGCCACAGCCAGAATCTCTTCCACTGCTCCTTGCGGTGCCGTGGTTTGCTGGAATCTGATGTAGTAAACGAGAGACCTGATCACTCCGACGACGTTCGCGCCACAGAAGAAGTACCGCCTGGCATGCTTGTACGTGGAGAAGATGGCGCCGAAGATCCCTGCCGTCGCCACGTTAAACACTGCGGCCACCACCGCCACGCTCTTTTGTATGATCTCCAGAGCGCAGTCGTCATTCTGTGGAATGCACTCGAGGTAGCACTTGACGGGGTACGCCAACGGACATTGAGCGATGCAGCTATCGCCAAGAGGGGTGTAGCCTGCGGGGCACAGTTTGCTGCTGTTATAAGGCTCCGTTTGTCGGTAGCAGGCCGTGTCGCTGTTCGAGCCGATGGTGGGGCCCACCCAGTTTCGGATCCTCTTGCCGTACCAGCCAGTCCCCATCCGATCCGTGAGCAGAGCGGGTTTCGCTCCCCTTCTCGTCCAGATCGCACCGAGTTGATCCACTGCAGACGCTGCACGTCCGTAGAATCCCCCCAATTGAAACCCTTTAGGGGCCTTCACCGTTGCGCTGTTAGCTGTCTTGGTTCCTGCCGACACGGAGTTGCCCTTGTTCGAGACGAACTTGAGGTAAAACACGCGCGTGTGCGTCCCCTTCTTGGCCCAATGGATCTCCATCGAGTTGATGTACTCGCCGCTGCCGAGCGTGAGGACGTACTCCTTCCCGCCCGAACCTCCGTGGTCCCAATTGGAGCCAGAAGGCTTCGCCGCCTGCGCCGAAATGGCATCGATTCGAGCCGCACCACGCACGGTGACGGAGCTGAGCGTCTGTCCGAGCGTGATTGAAGACATGTCCGAGAACGCGTAGCCATGGGGACCGCCGTAGACCTCGCTGAGCACAATGTCTTCGTCTGTCGTCGCGACATCTGTCTTCTTCTTAGCAGCGCCCTCGGCTCCGTACCAAGCCACGACGAGAAGGATCACCAGCGCCTGCAGCACCGCAAGGCGCGGCATCGCCGGGTTCTACGTGGTTGCCGCCCAGAGTCTGCGGGGGCAGACACAAGAGCCCCGTAGAGTGCAAAACGCCGAATGGGGTCGTCAGCCCGGCCTCGCCTTCCAGTCTTCCGGATGGACATGAAAATGCGGTAGTCGCACCTGATCTGCTCCTCATGATAGCAAATGGGATTGGCACACGCGCCTCGGACCGACTCGGAGCCGAGGGCCTCGGTGACCGAGGCCGTCGGCTCCTCACTGAGGAGTCCTCAGGTGAGAGTATAAAATGTGTTTCGAGCTCCAAGACCGCGTCGAGCTGTCCGATTCAGTGAGGTCCCGTGCGGCGACGTGATAGCAGTCGTCACCGAGACAGATTCTCGAGAAAAATCGGACTGGAATGACCCATATGAAGGATGCCTACAGCACCAGCGCGTGGTGCAGCACCACGCGCTCGTGTGTTTTGTGCGAAGTCTGCGCGCCGAAGACTGGCTGTACGATGTCATCATGCGATACGAATCGCTTGGCAAGCTTCATCAAAACAAGAGTGTGGTTTCACTAACATTGGAAATTCTGAAATCGTATCATGACAGAAAGCTTATCGATCCAGATTCACGGATCGGTAACAAACATGCATAGTGAGTGAGTTAACTTTACAGCAACTTGTACGCTGGACACATACACGTGAGCCTACGTGAGCCAGCGTAAAAGGTTTTCATAGCCTAATCTAGGGTAACGCGAGTAAATCAGCTCGCGTTGATTCGGACGTTGAGGGTTAAATGGCCACCGGTTGATGATCTGGGGACCCAAAGCACCAGCGATCCGCCGCCCGAGCCGGGGATTCCGATAAAGTTTGGCCGCCATCGATCCAAGTACAGGGTTTTGTCTTGCAGCTCAGCCACGGTGGCGTTCCATGCCACCGTCTCGCACGAAGGCACCTTCACCTTGGCGTAGTCACTGCCGCCCGAATGGATAACAACCGTCACGTCTTTCGTGTCTGTGCTGGTGAAGATGATGTTGACCATCCCGTCGCCCTCTTTCGTCCAAGCACCGTAGCTCCCTTCGAACGCCTCGTCCACTGTTGTAAGCCCCAGAGCGTCGAACAGCGTGCCGTCGTCGATCTCTCCGATGAACGATGTTGGCCCACACGTGGGCTGGACAAACTGGGAGATCATCCAAAGAATGCCCGTGGGGTCCAGACCCGCCAGTACAACGAGTCCGAGGTTGGCTGACTCGAGCGTAGTTTCGTCCTTGGCGACGTTGGCGCCCATATCCGTCGAGTTGGTCTCAATTAACTGATCGATGATCACGCCCATGGTCTTCCGAAGCAAGTCGCGGGTCTGGAACGCGGCCTCGGTGGTCTTGTTGCCCAGAACTTCGCCCATGCAGTTGTTCGTGACGACGGGGACGTCGTTTAGCACCAGCGACGACCTGCTAATTGTCACCCGGATGTCTGCGTTGCTGGCTCCCAGGGTCGCATTGCGGATACTTTCAACTGCGGTGCTCACGCGGTCCGTGAGCCGCTTGAGCTGGTACCCGCAGGTCGTATTGGACTCCATGAACTCTTGTAGATCCACAATCGTCGAGTCATCCGGCGAGTTGAGCGCGCTCACATTGTGGAGGAAAGTCATGACGTCGTTCGCCGACGACAAGATCTGGTCGCCGTTGATGATCGCCTGCTTGACGATATTCTCCACGACTGCAATGACAATCCCCGTGGCTCTGGCTGCCGTTGATACAGGCAACCCGAGGCAGGTGCACACTGCGATGGGCAAGTCCACGAGCACGACGTCGCTCTGGTAGGCGACGGACAGCAGCTCCTCGACGGATCCTTGGGGCGCGGTGGTCTGCTGGAAGCGGAGGAAGTACAGGAGCGACCTGATCACGCTGACGATGTTGGCCGCGCACATGTACGTCAGCTTTGCGGCCTTGTACGCCGTCGAAATGTGCTCAAGCAGGCCAGCCGTGGCCGTATTGAAGATGACCGCCACGACGGACGCCGTCTTCTGCAGCACCTCCAGCATGCAGTCGTCGTTCTGCGGGATGCACTCGAGGAAGCACTTGACGGGGTACGACAGCGGACACTGCGCGATGCAGTTGCTGTCCGTCTTGTTGTAGCCCAGCGGGCAGAGGCCATTGCTGCTCAGAGCGTGCGTCTTCCTGTAGCAGGCCGAGTCCGTCGCATCTCCAATTGTCGGCCCCACCCAGTTCCTAATCTTCTTGCCGTACCATTCCGATCCCATGTCGTCCGTGAGCAGCAGGTGCGTCGCGTTGATCCGCGTCCAAATAGCACCTAACTCGTAAACTTCGGTCCCCGCTCGACCGAAGAAGCCGCTGAGGTGGAACCCCTCGGGGGCCGCCACCGTCCTGCCCTCGCCCGTCTTGGACCCGGCACCGACCGAGTTGCCTGCACTGGTGCAAAGTCTCAGGTAGACGACCCGCTTGTGTCCGCTCTTCTCGGCCACATGAGCCTCTATGGACGTGATGTACTCGTGCGGGGCGAGGATGAGGATGTTGTCCGCCCCGCCCGAGCCTCCGTGCGTCCACGTCTCCTCATCGGGCGACGCCACCCTCAGAGTCACTTGGTCGACGCGTTCAGCGCCTCGAACGGTGATGGAGCTGAAGGTTTGACCCAGCTTGACCCCCGTGATGTCCGAGAACGCGATGCCCTTGGTGCCCTCCCCGAACGTCTCGCTGAGCTGGATGTCCTTGTGCGAGAAGGCGGCTCCATGGGCGACGCAGAGCAGCAGAAGTGTCAACGTCCGCAGCAGCAGCGAGGGCGACATGGCCACCGCTGCACTTGAATTATGAGACCGCGGTTGCATTGCAGTGTATTGAGGCCGACGGACCAGGCCCCGCGAACGACACTACTAGGATGTCCAACCGCGGCGTGCCCCTGCATGTGCCCCCTCCACGGCCAGGACCAGACGAAGTGGCAACCTGGAAAGGCCATGGGGGACCAGCAAATCGTGGCGCATTGCGTCTGTTTAAATTGTTTTGTGGTCCTTATGAGGGTTATAGCATTGGGGTGTGTTTTATGGTTGAGATACTTCTTTATCTTGATATCTGCTGTTTGCGAAAATTTTAGTATCAGGGTCTTCTAAGCAGATGTGAACCCCGTGCTCCTCCAGAAACGTGAAAGGTGACACGAAGCGAACAAGTGCAATCGAGGATACTGTGGCCGTGCCATGCAGTAAGCATTTGGTCTCCGAGCTTGATGCTCGCTTTGGACCTGCAGTCTGCAGGTCCGAGGTTTCGTAGAGGGTGTTGCGTATCCAATACTGGTATTATGCGATGCTACAGTAATATCACAGCCTGCGCGTACATTACCTTGACCAGGTAACCTTACATTGCCGATGCATCCTGGCGTCGCAGACTCTCATTCGACTCGACTGCTCCGACAATCTCTCAGTCTTCAAAGCGATGCTGACCGGGTCACCGCTTTGACCGCGGGCCTTGTTACCTGCGGCTCGCGCAACTGCAACCGTCCTGGTTGCAGACTGCAACTTGCAGTTTTACTAAAAACAGCCCCTTGGTCCAAGTTTCGGATGAAAACTTTCACGGAATGCGTGGTACGGCTGTACTGTACACATGTACATACACTACCGGCGGAAGGAACTTCAAGGACAGCCACGTAGGATTCCGTTTGCGTTAATCGCGCGATGTTTGTCAGCGGGGGGTCCTTGAACTCCCGGGCAATCAGGGCTGAAGCACCACTTCAAGCAGCAGGTCGTTTTGTTCCGCTGCGAGTCAGTTCGGCATTTCGAAGTTGTCTCGAGACCCGAGACTATCGCCGGTTTCCCTAGAATGAGAGCTATCTATTAATGAGAAAGTGGCCAAAGGCATGAAAGGTCGAGAGCTATTTCTTGACAACTACATACTGGCAACACATTTCTCTCTGATCGCTTCGTGCAAGTCGCTCAAATCAACGCCGCACAGCTTGCCACACGTCGGCGCCTAGTTCCTCGCCGCCTTCATCTCCCGGGTGGGGGAGATTCTCCCCCACCCCATCTTGGTATCATGGGCGACACGTGATCGAGAATGACCGAGCTGTCTCGGTGTGCCACCGTCCAGGAGCAGAGCAGATCCTGGTTCTTATCATACAGATTCACAGCTCACCCAACCGAGGAACCGACTGTCGCGATGGCGACCGCGCTGGATGAAAGTCATTTGCAGACCTGAGGGGTCGGTCGGTCGTACATTTTCCGAGTAACACTGTAAAGCATGGCCCCACCCTTAGCTGTGCTGCAGGTGCTGCTGCTCCTATTGGTGTCTATCGTCCATGGGGGTTATTCTCCCTCAGACGAAGACATCCAGCTTTCCGACACGTTCGGAGGCTCCGGCGGCGTCTCGTTCTCGGACATCGAGTTGGTTGAGTTTGGCCAAACCGCCAGTTCGATCACCATCAGCGCCAAGAAGCGGGTCACGTCGATCGTCCTGCGAGTGGCGACGCCAGCCGAGCTGACGCTTTCCCATGGCGGATCAAGCGGGACAGACCACACACTAACTCTGGCGGAGGGCGAGTACGTCAAGTCCATGGAGGTTCATTGGGCCCGGAAGGGGCTGAGCTCGCGCATCTTCTACCTCAAGTTCGGCACCAACAAGGGCCACTCGGTGTCTGCAGGTACGCCGACCGAGAACAACTCGACGGTGACTGCCCCCGACGGCTTCCAGCTCAGTGGGTTCTTCGGTCGAGCCGAGGGGGAACTCAACCAGGTGGGCGCTATCTGGACGCGGATCAACGCCAAGACCAAGCGTCTGACCGATAGAATGGGCTCCGCTTGGTACGGCGATCGCATTCGGAACTGGGTGGGGCCTACGATCGGACACGCCAGTGACTCGGCGTGTTACAGGAAGACGGAGCCTTTCGGCAGCACCAAAGCGTGTCCTCGAGGCTACAACAACAGCGGGATCAGCTGCATGGCCCAGTGTCCGCTTGCGTATCCCGTCGACTGCTACCAGGAGTGCATCCCGCAGAATGACGACTGCAACGGGGAGATCATGAGCAAGGCGGCGTCTGTGGTGGCTGCAGTGTTCAACACGGTGACGGCTGGAATCTTTGGCGCCATCTTTTCGTCGTACAAGAAATCCAAGCAGAGTTTCCTCTGCGCTGCGAACATCATCGGCGTGATCAAGTCTCTGATCTACTACCTTCGATTCCAGCAGACGACGGCGCCGCAAGGAACAGTGCAAGAAATGCTCGCCGTTGCCTACCAGTCTGACGTTGTGATCTTCTCCATGCCCATTGCCGTGGCAAACTGTCTCGGGATCAAAGTGTCGGGCAAAGTCAAGTTCGCCGACATCGTGTACGTCATCGTGGAGAACATCGTCAAGCAGGTTATCATCAACGGCGATCAGATCCTCTCCTCCGCCACGAATGTCCTCGCTCTTCTCACAAACACCAGCACATTGAATAACTCGACGGACGAATCCACCGTCGAAGAGCTGCAAGACCTCCTCGACTCCAACTCCACCTGCGGGTACCAGGTCAAGAACCTCACAGACCACGTCATCACCTCGGTTAGAGAGATCCGCAACGCAACACCAGACGCCAGTGTCAACGATATCCGCGTGAAGATCAGTAAGTCACCGCTCGTGCTGAGAGATATCCCCACGGCTACCAACAATTGCATGCGCGAGCTGCTGGGCAACAAGACCAGAGAGGCGGCGTTCGAAACGCGCGACTTGATCCGAAAGACGCTCGGGGTGATCGTCGACCAGCTCGTGGAAACGAACAAGACCGACTTGGGGCAGTCCACTGCGGAACAGGACTACACAATGGAGGCAGCTAACATGGCGCTGGTTGTGCTCGGAGGCATGGATCCGACGGGAATTGCTTGGATGGTCTCCCAGTTCGTGCAGCCGACTTGTGGCCCGACGGAATTCATCGGCGAGGTTGACGACGGTACTCTGTACGACGCACTAGGGCTCAAGACTGTGGACGAGGCGTTCAAAGGCAGCTACGGCACGTGGACGAAGGAGGGGGATGACATGATGAACCTCTTCTTCGAAAGCACCGACACGAAGGACGTGACGGTCGTTCTCCACTCCGGCGGCCAAGAGTATGCAAAGGTTGAGGTGCCTGCCGGGACGACTGTGAACTGGAGCGACAAGATCGTGAATTTGCACGATAAGGTGCTGTATCTGGATCGCTGGCGCAGGACTGTGGTGGGCGTTCCGTCATCAGCCGGCGGTTCTCTGGTACTCTGGGTCCCAAGATCGTCCCAGGGTGGCCATCTAACCATGCATGTTCGTGTCAACGTAAGCTAAAATACTACAAATAATTGATGGAATACAGTCGTCAATTATCTCGTCGAGAAGCGAGCCATTGACACGAGTTACAGATCAAGCTATCAAACGTGTATTCTGTCCCTCAGCAGGTGAAGCCTACTCTTCGTCGTCGCTTGAGTCCGAACCTTCCTCCAGCGACATCAGCTCCAGCAGAATGCGGCGACAAACTTGGCGTTCGTGCTGGCTGAGCTGCTGAATAGCAATCATTTCGGAGTTGTCGGAAGACGTCGACAGCACGTCGCTGTAGCGTTTATCCTTGTCTTGCAGAACCACGGCCAGCACGTCGTAGAGCTGTTCAGCAGGCAACTGGGACGCCATCACGAAACTCAGCAGCGCATCGCCAAGACCGAACTCTCGCTCGGCGTCGCCGTGCAGCAAGAAGAATAGCGAGTTGTCCTCGTCCTGAGGGTGGGCCAACTTCCTGCGCTTGGCAGGGTTTGCCTTAGCTCTAGCTTTGCCCTTGCCTTTGCCCTTGCCAACGTGAGGAATATCGTCCGCGTCGTCATCGTTTTCGTCTTCATCTTCCTCATCTTCGCTGTTCAGCGAGCACGCCTTGAACGCGTTAGTCAGCTCGGAGCTGGTGATGTGGATGGAATCCGAGGGCACAGAAGTCGGCAGCACGAATCCGTAGCGGCACAAGAGCTAGCATAACACCATAGCAGTTAGCGGATCAAAGAAAAATACGGACATCTTCACAGAACTACCAACTCACCTGCGCGTTCGACAGATCTCCGTACGAAATCGTAACAGACTCATCCTTCTCAACCTTGCGCAACGTAGTCAACTACCCGACAACCACAGAAAAGTCAGAATCCATGCAGATGTCTACGCGATCATTCACCCACACACCTGGAAGCTTCCCGTCTCGGTTTTCACGATGTGCGCTGCTGGGTTTTCGGCCGCGTGGTTGGCCATGTCGATCACCGGCAGCAGCGTCGGCTCCTGGCCGTCCGTAACCTTGAAAGCCCTTGAAAAACAAAACAACAACCCCAGCATTAGCGAATACTCAAGTAATCACCAACAGTAAGAAGACACCATATCTTACCGCGACGACACCATCGAGTACGCCCATTGAAACTTCTCCAGCGTCGACACCTCAGCGGGCCAAATCGTCGAGAACTCCTTCATCAATGGTTCGGCATAGTCTGCGTACATCTTGAGCACCAGTTTATCGTCCAGAATCAGGTGCGCCGTGGTGTGTCGGAGCATTTCTCGGCTTTCAGCACCCCAGCTGAACGGCAGCGAAATGGAAGTCGGAAGTTGCTGGATGTAGCCGTGAAATCCACTTTCTTCGCCCCGCGCGAGCTCCGCCAGCAGGACCAAAGTGGTCTTCACAGTGTCGCTCGGCTGCAACGAGTCGATCTGCTCCTGCAGCTTGGGTTTGTCCTCGGCGTCGTAGTGCTCGAGCCAGCAACTGCCATTTAGAAACGCTCCTCTTTGCAGCGTCACCAATTCAACGCCAGGCTGCAGTTCGCATTGCGCCACGATAGATCGGTCGTCCTCGCCGAATGCAGCGACGGAGGACACTGGATCGATCAGGTCCTTGGCCACCGCCACGTTGGCCTCGTGCGACGCCAGCAGCGGAGACTTGGTCGCCATGATTGGCTAGTGATGCGTTTCTATTAGAAACGTTTATATCTTGATGTCACTATTTTGAAACTCCTGATTGGGGGGGGAATATATGCTCAGACATAGGAAGAAAGGCCAGATTAATTTAGTTCATTACAGATCTGCATCCACTTTTCAGATTTGGACACGTAGCAGATCTTAGAATTCAAGAGACCAAAAGGTGAAGGCGCAATACCACGGTACATACCATGCTCACAAGTATTTTTATTCTTTTTACGACAGACATTTAACTAATATTAATTCTGACGTGCATCAGCAGATTGCCCCCTTCAGAGGCTCGAGGGATCCAAATCAGCAGCGAACCTCCACCCGATCCGGGCATTCCGAGTAAACCAGGACGCCAGCGATCCAGATACAAAGTTTTGTCCTGCAACTCCGACACAGTCGACTCCCAAGTGACGGTGTCGCCTGCAGCTACGTCAACTTCAGCGTAGTTGTCACCACCCGAGTGGACCACCACCGTCACGTCCTCCTTGTCTGTGCTCTCGAAGATGAGACGCACGACTCCGTCTCCAGTCTTCGACCACCACCCGTAGCTGCCCACGAAAGCTTGGTCCACGGTCGTCAGCCCCAAAGTATCATACAAGTTGCCGTCGTCGATCTCGCCGATGAAAGAGGTGGGTCCGCATGTGGGTTGCACGAACTGAGAGACCATGTGCACGACACCGGTCGGGTCCATGCCACCAAGCACAGTAAGCCCCAAGTTGGCCACCTCCATGAAGTAATCGTCCTCTTTCACGGATTCGCCCATATCCGTCTTGCCAGTCTCAATGAGCTGGTCGATGATCACCCCCACGGTCTTCCGGAGCAAGTCGCGCGTCTCAAACGCAGCCTGTTTCGTCTTCGTGCCCAGCATTTCTTTCATGCAATTGTTGGTGACGGTAGGGATGTCCTTCAGAACCACCGGCGACTTGCTGATCGTCACGCGGATGTCATCGATTGCTGCGTTTGGCGTCTTGTTCCGGACGTCGCTGACGGCAAAGATGACTCGGTCCGTGAGCTGCTTCAATTCAAAGCCACACGAGGTGTTCTTGTCCATGAAGTCCTGGAGTTCACTCACGCTCGAGTCGGGGGATTTGATGGCGCTAGTGTTGGTCAGCATGTTGACCACATTCTCGGCCGACGAAACGATCACGTCGCCGTTGATGATGGCCTGCTTGACGATATTCTCCACGATCATGAGCACAATTCCCGTCCACTGCAACTTTGGGGGCACTTTCAGTCCGAGGCACGAGTACACAGCCACCGGTAAATCCACGAGGACGACGTCGGACTGGTACGCGACGGCGAGCAGTTTCTCGGTGTCCCCTTGGGGTGCAGTCGTTTGTGTGAACCGAAGGTAGAAAATGAGCGACTTGATGATGGAGATGACGGCTGCAGCGCAGAGGTACAGCTTCTTCGCAGTAGTGTATGCGGCCTTAACCTGGCCGAATAATCCGGCCGTGGCAGCGTTGAACGCGACAGCCGCTACAGACGCAACCTTCTGAGCGATGTTCAATGCGCAGTCGTCGTTCTGAGGGATGCACTCAAGAAAGCACGAGACTGGGTACGCCATCGGACATTGTGTGATACAGTCGTCATCATTCTTGCCGTAGCCCACAGGACAAATGTTCTTGCTGTCGAAAGGCACCGTCTTCCGGTAGCATGCCGTATCCTTCGCGTTGCCAATGGTGGGCCCCACCCAGTTACGAATCGTGTGGCCATACCAAGCGGAGTCCATGCTGTCGGTAAGCAAAGCTGGCTTAGCCGAACTTTTAATCCAAATGGCGCCAAGTTGATCCACTTCGCCTTCCGCACGGCCATACAGGCCGCCAAGTTGGAAACCCTTGGGTGCGGTTTCCGTCACAAATTCTTCGGTCTTTGTCCCGGCAGCCACAGACTTGCCCTCACTCGTTGTAAAATTAACGTAGAACACCTTGGTGCGCCCGCTCTTCTTGCCCCAGTGAATCTCCATGGAGTTGATGTACTCGCCCGGTGCGAGGGTAAGCGTGGTTTCAGTGCCGCCCTTGCCGCCGTGACTCCAGGTTAACTCTGCAGGTTTTGCCACCTGCAGCGTAACAGCATCAACGCGTGCTTCGCCGCGAAGGGTGATGGAGCTTAGCGTTTGTCCGAGCACGATGTCCGCGATGTCCGAGAAGGCGACACCGTGAGGACCTCCGTACATTGGACTGAGTTGGATATCTTCATCTGACACTGAGCCACCTCCTCCCTTTGGAGCTTCTGCGACCGGTTCAATGCTCGTCCACACCACTCCTAGCAAGTCGATGTTGTCTCCGTCACGACCGAAGAATCCTCCGAGCTGGTAGCCTTCAGGCGCAGTTACGCTGCCCTTTTCTTCCGTTTGCGTTCCTCCAGCGACTGTATTGCCCTCACTCGTCCTGAAGCTGAGGTAGAAGATGCGCGTCCTGCCGCTCTTTTGGCCCCAGTGAACCTCCATTGACGTGATGTATTCGCCCTTTTTCAGAGCGAGCTTGGTCTCCTTGCCTCCAGGTCCTCCGTGCGTGAATGTCTGGGCGGTGGGTCCGGATACTTCGAGGGTGAGGCCATCGACACGCGCCGCAGCTCGGATAGTGAGGGAGGCCACAGTTTGTGCCGAGGTGGCGAGAGGCTGATCGGAGAATTGGTTGCCGTGAGGTCCACCAAACGACTCGCTCAGGATGGTAGCGCGCGTATTCTTCACTCCAGATTTCGCTGGGCCTGCAGGTTTAACTGTTCCTGGTTTATCGTCAGTAGCTGGACCAGGAGCTGGCTCCGGGGCTGGGGCGGGAGCAGGAGCCTCTGTCGGAGCTGCTGTAACGAGCTCGGTGCTCGTCCAAACTGCACCAATCGAATCGATCTCATCGCCATCACGACCAAAGAACCCGCCGAGCTGGAACCCCTCGGGTGCAGTCACTGAGTTCTTGTCTTCCGTTTTTGTTCCTCCAGCAACTGAATTCCCTGCGCTCGTACCGAAGCTCAGATAAAATACGCGCGTTCTTCCAGACTTCTTGCCCCAATGCACTTCCATTGATGTGATACGCTCGTCTTTAGCCAGTGTAAGAGTGTTTTTCGTTCCACCAGTGCCGCCATGGTGGAACGTTGCAGCTTTCGGCGCTGAAATATCAAGGGAAACACCGTCGACGCGTTCACCAGCGAGGATTGTAATAGCCGCTACGGTTTGTCCTGAAGTAGCCGAAGCCTCGTCGGAGAACTCGGTACCGTGAGGACCGCCGAAGCTGTCACTTAGTTGTACCGAGTCCTCCACAGAGATGGTCGGTGCAGGTTTTGCTGGGACCTCTTTAGGCTTTCCAGGCTCGGCTGCTGGCGCTTCCGTCGCTGCTGCTTCTGCTGAGGCCTCTGTAGATGCTACCGCTGAGCCTTCAGCGGGTTCTGCAGCTGAAGCTTCAGTCGATGCAGCGGTAGACGCCGCGACGGATGAATCGGGAGGAGGTTCTACGCTACCTGAGCCAGCGGGTTTCTCCGGAGCGGGAGCTTTCGTTGGCGGAGGAGGGGGTTCGGTCGCCGGAGCTGCTGTCTCGGCTGTAATGCGCGCCCAAATAGCACCAAGCGAGTCGATCTCCTCGCCATCCCGACCAAAAAAACCTCCGAGCTGAAAACCCTCGGGTGCTTTGACCGTGTTCTTGTCTTCCGTCATGGATCCTCCCGAGACTGAGTTGCCAGCGCTCGTGCCGAAGCTGAGGTAGAAGATGCGCGTGCGGCCATCTTTCTTGCCCCAATGCGCTTCCATCGACGTGATATGTTCGCCCGCTGCAAGCTTGAGGGTATTCCCGTCTCCACCAGCTCCGCCGTGGTTGAATGTTGCCGCCTTCGGACCTGTGACTTCCAGAGAGACGCCGTCAACGCGCTCGCCTGCCCGAATGGTAATGGAGTCCACAGTTTGGCCAACGCTGACGGAGGCTTCATCGGAGAATTCTGTGCCATGAGGGCCGCCGGAACTTTCACTTAGCTGAATGGAGTTGTCTGAAAGGGCCCCGGAAACAGCCACAAGGAGAACGAGCAGCAGCGCCCGCAGTATCATGCCGAGCGCCAGTGTTCGAGAACTCTTCGGGGGTTAGTAAAACAATTAATGGAGCTTGCCGGCAATGCCCGTCATACCGCATGAACGAAACATACGGGATTGCCACTTGGGATTCGCGCTAGCATAGAATCCACAACAGGTGAGATCCCAGGATAGCGACTAAACCATTTTACAGACCGCGACAGCATCGAGAGGTGTTTTTGCTATAACTTTTCCGGATTACATGCAATTTGACCCAAATTTTCAGAGCTGTTTTGGATTGTGCTGTGTATAATATGCTGGAACAGCAAGGGCACATTTATCGTCACCTACTCACACCTGTATATTATCCAATGATATCCGGCTATTTTGACTGGATAAACTTGTACCCCGCCAAATTAGATATTGGCTACAGTATCAGTTTGTCAGATAAATCGGCGTTACCGTAACCTAAATATGGGTTGTGTAGTTCGATGACAACTGAGCCACTTTACCGCTCCAAAGCAAGCACGCTGGTATCGAGATGCCTCCTTCCAAAAGAGCGCGAACTGAGACTCCTGACGCCGAGGCGGAAATCATCGCAGAAGCTCAAACTTACACAACAGATAACCGCGGCAGAGCTCTCACGCTCCTGGAACGTATTGACGTCCTCATCGTCACAGCCAACATGAAGTCTGGCGCTGTCAAATTACGTCAGAAAGAGCCACTCGCAGTCAAAGTTGGCCGTCTGTTGTCGCGCTCAGCCAACACAGTCCGTCAGATTTGGAATGACTTTGCCAAGTATCGGTCTCTACCCGTGGCATCGGCGCCATCTAACCGTGAGCAGAAGCCGTCCCGTATATTGGCGACTGTTGATATGGAGAGGTTGTGCGCGAGTTTATTCGTGAGCGCAGCGCGATTCGTGAGCGCACGGTAGCCAAGGACGTCATGCACCATCTCATACAGCAAGAGTTGTTGTCGTCGACGTCACCGACAGTGCCGCTACGGCCTCAGCGCTCCGCACCGTCCAACGCTTCGTAAAACGATGTGGTTTCAAGCGGGGAGAGCGGAAAGGGTCGACATATCGGTTGTCAGCTGAAAACGAAACTAAGCGCGATAGCTACGTGCAGATGATGGCATGTGAAAGTGCCGATCGCGTTCGAACGGTTTATCTCGACGAAAGTTATATACATCACAACTACTCCAGTCATAATGACTCCATTTATGACCCGACGGACCCCAACGTGATAAAGGATAAACAAAAGGGTCGCCGATTTTGCTTCATCGCTGCCATTATCGACAAAGACCGTAACCTCCCGGATGCCGATCATACTGAGGCTGACAAAGCACAGTTTTTGCCGGAGACGCTTGGCATTGTTGAGGGAGGCAAGCAAACTAAGGATTATCACGGGATGTTCAATCATGACTACTTCAAAAATTGGATTGAAACGCTGCTCATTTGTCTGGAAGACCGCCAACTGCACCACTGCCGCATCGTGATGGATAACGCAAAATATCACAAGAAGTTGCCGCCCAACACCCCCCGAAAAGGGATTCGGAGATCCGACATGCAGGCTGCTTGTAAGTTGTATGGCTTGCCTTACGCTGAATCGGATACAAGGGCGATCATGTGGGAAAAGTTGTCACGGCACATTGCTGAGCACGTAGAGCCAGAGATTGTGACTATGGCGAAGAAGAAGGGCCACGAAGTAGTGTTCACGCCTCCACACTACTCTGATTTACAGCCGATTGAGTATGTGTGGGCAAATGTAAAGGGAGAAGTTGGGCGCCAGTACACCAAGGATACTACATTCCAACAGGTCAGAAGTCGGCTTGATACAGCTTTCAAAACTTTGCCGTCGAAAACTGTTCAAGGCTGCATTGACAAAGCAAGAGCCCACTTGGTGGATCTGAATGCTCAGATCAAAAGTTATGATAGCCGCAGTGAAAACGAGGATTCGGACAGCTCCGAGAGCGACGAAAGCAGTACTAGTGATGACTACACTAGCTAAAATTTTAGATAGCCATAAGTAAGTCTAGACACTGATTCTAAGAAATATGATCCGATACATTTGTAGCCCTGTACGTCATCTTTCGATCTATCGGTGGAAGAATGAGGATAACGAGCATCCGTCCAGAGTATCATTTCTCTACGATCATGACTCTGCGACTAATCCGCTGCCTTATCATTGGCCGAGAAAAATCATAGGGGTGGTAATGATTGGCCCAAATGCAAGGCATATTTATAATCAGCGCACATATTAAGGGGTGGTTATTATATAAATCAGGAAAATTTGGACTGCTGTTTCTGTGGAAACGACGCCGTGCTAAACAGTGAGACGCACATTTTCGCAATCAGGGAAGCAAGGCGGTTTTTGTGATACCAAAACATGTAGGGGTTAGAAAAAACCTCTCGATCGTGTCGTGGACTGTTAATCTCGTTGAGACTCTCAACTTGAGAGACCAAGCTGACACAGGTTGGTTTGTATTTGTAAGGAAACGGACGAACTCACACAGCAAATGGCTTATTTAGACGAAGTGACAAGTACAGCATGTTTTCCGAGCTAGAAAAACAAGTTGAATCATACCTTACCTTTACTTCGTTGTGTGTAAGTCGTCCTATTGTCTGGGTAGTCTACCGCTTGATATTGCTGCGGAGACGGAACATGTAATTATTGAAGTATCTTCAAATGAGAGCGCTATTGCAACAGACCTAAAACTATATCGTCTTGAAGCGTCAATGCGCGTGTCGATTTGAGCTCATGTCAGACCCTGTGGGCTGCAATAACACAGCAAGTGCAGTGACTCACAGGCCGTGTGCTCGTCCGTCCTTGGTATTCATCTAACAGAGGGCATGGATTTCCAGGCAACCAGAACAAGAAGAGGGAGCCTTGCCTAACTTGGAAAGCTACATGCAGTTGTGTTCCAAATCTGAAACATTGCACTCAAAAACCTGACCAAATTGTAAATCCCCATTTACTGTTATTAATAAAACCTTTTGTACTTATTTTAATGGTTTTATACAACAGTTCTATTTGTAGATATTTTAAAAATACAACTTTTACAGCAAATATGATAGTCTATTGTTATTATATTCATAATTACAACTCTTTTAAGTAACAAACATTTATCAATATAACATATTTTGCATCGTATCAGTACTTGCTTAAATGTGCTGGTAGTGAGAAGTGTCACGCAAAAAATGTTAAAATATTTTATAATACCAGTTAAGAAGTGTCACACACAAATATATTATATAGATTAATGTTTGGAATTCAATACAATGTAATACTGTAGTGTACTATATATAAAATAATAATTACAAATAATATAATGGAGTAATACATTCTAAGTTAATAATGGTGCTGTGCCTGCGACCTTCTAGTAAGTTCCTTCCACTACTCGTGATATGATCGAGTGTTTTTTGCACCAAAAGTTTTTTTAAGAAATACTAGCCATAAAATGCCGTTTTGCCTGTTTTTACTTGGTGTGCCCGTAAACCCGTCACTGACGATACTGTCCGTGATTCACGATCTCATCGTCTGCAGCAGTTATTGAACACTCGCCACATACATGTACTGTACCCTGTATTCAATCACTTCATGTAGATTACAGAGAGCACCGGCTAGAGTGGAGATGTTTGGTCACGCACGCTATATACCCTGTATACGATCACTGGATTACAGAGAACTCCGGCTATTAAAAAAGCGGAGGTGTTTGGTCACGCATCTGGCCCGATGAATAAAGTGTGGTCACGCTCTCTTATCCTACATTTGCGCTCCACGCAGCACTTGCTGTCAGCAAGTTTGGTCGTGATGACTCTGTATTGTCACCGTGACAGAAAACACAGACTATATGATAAATTAGAGGTAGCCCTCTCGGCAAGGCCGGTCGGCGATCGTACAACTTCATCTTAATCATTACTCCCCATCGGTAGGATAAGTAGGATGGCGCGCCTACCGGTAGCCTCAACTTTAAAAATAAAATTTGGCTCTCCCTGCAACCGACGCGCGCAAATAAATAGATCACCAGCAAGCTTAGATAACAAGGACTTCAGACTTTCATTCCGCGTCGAATTTGACCGCGGGAAGATGCCAAAGCTGCAGGTTGGAAATCGGGTTTGCGGTAAAAGTAAGAAACACGCTGGCAAGACTGGAGTCATCCTTCGCGTGCTGAAGGAGGGCAGGCAGCACACTTACGAGGTCCATGGAGTACGAGGGCTATTGACATTGTGTCCGCGCGCTCAATAAGCATTGAAGTCACTTTGAACCACGCTGGAGATGGCCAAATCAGCGATGGGGGCTCATTGGTACCTGGCAGCACGGAGGGTGCCTGCCAAGTGGTTTGGGAGGAAGAGAGTTCTCCTAGCGGCGAAGACGACGGCAGTGACGATGATGAAACACTCGAAGGCCACTCGGAAGAAGAAGACGACGATACCGTGGTCGCTCACGGCCGTATGTGGGTACCCTGTGATTCTGTCTCAGTTGACGCGGGGTGTCAATTTTCCTCGCGAGCAACTACATTTCTGTGGTCGGCGCACCTTCAGCTTGGGGAGAAGTCCTTAATTAAATACTTCTACATCATGTACCCCATGGGCACTCTCAATGAAACTATTCGACTTATCAACAATAATTTGGCGGCAAGTTCATTTCGCTCTATTGGACCAGGTGACTTTTTTCGCTGGATAGGTATTCGTTTAGCGATGGCTGTGGAGCCACGACGGGGATCCCTGCGGGTCTATTGGGAAACACAACACAAAGAAGGTTGCGTGAATACTCCGAGCAACTACGGGGAGAGATTTCAGATGACACGGCACTGTTTTGAGCAAATAATGTACGCACTTTCATTTTCCGACAACAACTCGACTAGTGACCCGTGGTACCCGATACGTCCATTGATTCAGGGATTCAACGATCAGAGAACCAAGCATGTTTCTCCTGGAAACATTATCGTAGTCGACGAGTGCATGAGTGCCTGGAAAGGCCGGGATGCTAAGTACACTCACGATGGACTTCCCCATGTGACTAAAATTGCACGCAAACCTGAAGGAAAGGGGACAGAGTTGAAGTCGCTCGCAGATGGAGATAGTGGTGTGTTGCTGGGACTCGAACTAATGGAAGGTACCGCTCGCCAACGTCGCAAAGAGTACTGTAGTGAATTTGGGGAGGGTACCTCGGTTGTGTTGCGATTGACGGAAAAATACAAAGGCACAGGGAGAACTGTTGTGGCTGATAGTGCTTTTGCCTCGGTGAAAACACTAGTGCAACTTGAAAAAAAGCTCGGTCTGTATTTTATGGGTATTGTAAAAACGGCAAGCGTAGAATATCCAAAGTGCCACATGAAAACTTGGATTGACACGCAGCCGACCCGGGGTTCGTTCAAGATCATGTCAAGTTTTACGGACAACGGAAAACCCATTTATGCGTTGTGCTGGGCGGATCAAAGCCCAAGATGCTGATATCGAACCGTGGAACTACCCTCGCAGACTCCGATAGTATTTGCACTCGTCATCGCACTGTGATCCGCGATGGCAAACTTGAGACACAGCGATACGAAAAGCGTGTCCCGCGTCCTCAAATGGTTGAGCTTTTTTTCAGTAAGTTCTCTACTATTGACGTCCACGACCATCTTCGCCAGGGATCGCTTGCTATTGAGCGTGAATGGATTACACAGAGCTGGATGCATCGAGTATTCGGAACTATCCTGGGGATGGTAGTTGTGGATGCCTACCTAACTTATCGCCACGAATCGACTGAGCGTCAATTTGTCGAAAGTACCGTGCTGAATTTCAGCGATTTTGTATCCCAGCTCGCTCATCAACTCATTTTCAACGAGCACACCATGAAGCGAACTCTGCGAACCGACAGCGGGTCGACCAGTACGGATGAGGTGCGTATTTGCTAGACTCTATTCGCTACTCAGTATATGCTGACAGTGCGTCGTTATGTGATCGCCAGCCTAGCCACACCTTGAAAGCCTTTGGAGATCTCCCACAATACAGTGAAGCGCGTAAGGCAGGCAAGCGTGTGCAGCGGCAGTGCCGCCTGTGCCACAAGAAGTGCTCCTACTACTGTGTAGGCTGCTCGGATGTCCATTTGAAGTCGTTTTACGGTGTGTGTGGGCCAAGATCGCACCGTGCCTGCTTCAGTGAGCATCTTGCATCACCTTCTATCTGAGCCTTCTCTTCACATACATATGTTGCATCATACTAAACGCCATATAAAAATTACGCCTACTAGTAGGATTGTACCCATGCTACTGGTATGCTTTCGACCTGGGGAGAAGAGATTAACACTGATAATGTGGCGCACACTGAAAAATAACACAAAGCAAAAAGGCTCGGGACTTGTCGGTGATGTTGGGGCCGCCAGGCCGACATCTCCGACATTTGCACCCGAACTCCGACAATCTCCGCCGCCGGCGGAAGCACGTGGAAGGCTATCAGGACACTATCAGACTGTAATTTGACGTAGTTAGGAGTATCTGCACAAATGTATTACTTGCTAGGTCGTGAACGCAAAGTAGGCTTGGATGTTCAGGTTCATTGGTATCTCCGACGACCTGAACGATAGGAGCGAGAGGCATATACGTCCAGGCCCTTTGCCTAGTAGTATTCACCTGTTGGAGGAATGAAGTCCGCGCTATCAGATGCTCTAGATACAAACAAGGAGACATATATGTGAACGCAAAGCGACTGCTGCGTGATAGCGCTAGTTGCACGTCCTCTAGGCCCGCTACGCAATGCATACTTCAGTAGTACATCGTAGCAATAGAGGAAAGAGCACGAATGCATCCTCCTGACACTAAATTGAAGCCGTAGGCCCCCGCAACAGAGCCCTTAACGCAGTTATTCACTGTATTGAAGATGCACTATGTAAGGGTGACTCCCACACTAAAATAGGGTTTCTAAACAACATACCATGCTCCGTGTAGATCGAGCGCGCCCTACGAAGGTTGTCAAGAGGCAAAGTGTGTTACAGCAGCGTCACGGTGTTGAAGGGGAACCGGGACACTGCAGCGGGACACATTCGGTGGCAAACGGTCACATTAGGTCCGATCCGGTGCAAATCGGTGGTGGGACACCTAGCATTTTCGGGGAGATGCTCGGCCTCGGGGCCAGCGGCTGCAGCAGCAGCAGCAGTGGGACGGACACAGCGGTGGCATGGACTACGGTTTGGCCGGGCAAAGTGTCTGCTGTGAACTACCAGCGGTACCAGCGCCACCAAGCAGTGCTCCGCAGCGCGGAAAGACGGCACGCGATCGCAGGCGCCAGCACAGAAACCGCTGCGGCTGTGAGAGGTCGCTACCTCTCGTTGCCCCGCGCGGCAGCGGTTAGCAACCGACAGTCGCAGCACAGTAGCAGCTTCAGCAGCAGCAACAGCACCTGCCAGCATAGCAAAGCATAGGTCGGTTAGGAAACCCCTTCAACACGAGCAAGGGTCTCAAGGCGGCGGCGCCGAGCTGCTGCGCAGCTCGGCACTCACTTCCGCATTCTCCAGCAGGAGCGCAACCAGCTCCGCCGCCTTGGTTGTTCCCGCCACGGCATTCTGCCAAGGCAACCTCAGTCTCCTACCTTCCGTTCGTCTTCTGCCCGCACCTTCGTGCTGAGATCAACTCTGCTACGCCTACAGCTCTGCAGACAGCAAGTACACGACTTTCAGCACCTCTCCGATTATGCGCCCAACTGCGTTAGGAAGCGGAGACAGAGGACTTACTGGTGGGTACGATCAGCGGCCCGGTGGAGTCCAGCAGCAAGCAGTAGACGCAGCGCCCTTGAGGCCAAATGACAGCACGAGTCGGCTGGTGACCAACACTCACGGGCACCTGTGATACGAAAGGTCCCAGTGCCCTCATTGGCTGAATCCAAAGATCCCCACCGCTCATTGGCCAATCTTGCGGGAACGGCCGCCTGGCAGCTGCTGACTCTCCCCTCAAGCGCTCAGAGGCGAGTGTTTCGGCAGCAGCGTAGGCAGCTCAGCAGCGGGTGTCGACCTCTCAGACGAGCACCAAGACAAGATGAACCGTGTCGCAGCTGTGGTGACCCTGCAGGTCGACCGCAAGCTCTCCAAGCCGGAGGACTACCCAGCGTGGCGGCTGCGTGTACTCACGGGGATTAACGTGTCCAACATGGCTCAGCTTGTCATCGGCCAGGAGCCGTTTGACGACAACAGGTCGTACAACATGAAGCAGTGCTGGCTGAGTCGTAGCCGCAAGGCGAATGGCCTGTTGGTGTCGGCAATCTCCGATGAAGTCCTGCTCCGATACCAGGACGTGGTGAACCTTGCTGATCCTATCGCACTGTGGCGCGTTCTGAAGGAGGACTTCGGGCAGGGCCGAGGAGTCAACACAGTATTGATTTGGGAGCGGCTCTACGGGCGGATGCTGCGCCCCGACGAGCCGGTGCGTGAGTACATCGCTGACCTGTTGAAGATGCAGCGCGAGCTTGCCGAAAACAAAGGCCCCATCTCGGACTCTCGGCTGGCTAAGATCATGCTGACCAAAGCGCATGCTGCCTACCCGGTCATTGCTGATGAAGTCACCGAGAAACTACGGCGGGACCCGGGCTACAAATACACCGTTCGCGATGCTCGCGGGCGATTGGAGAATGCTGAGCTTCAGCGTGCGCAGCGCGATCCTGGCAGTAGTGGAGCAACCAGCAGTCGTGGGCTCTCGACTCAGGCTCAGACAAATTCAGTGCAGCAGCACCGCAACAATGGAAAAGGCCCCGTCGTTCTTCGTCGCGCCAGCGAGGCGGCAAGTATGGCGGAAACAAAAGCAGTGGAAGCTCCACTTCAAGCTCGTCGTGGAGCGCTGAGCGAATGACCAAAAAGAAGAAGAACCCGAGGTGCAATGCCTGTGACGAGAAAGGTCACTGGCGTGGTGATCCGGAGTGCAAGCAGGGAAAGCGACAAACCTTGCGCGGCACCGGTGACCAAGCGGTGCAGTCATTTGGTGGTGCGGTGCTGAGACAGCAGGCCTCGCGTCGTTCGCAAGATCGAGTCGTGGAGTGCATGACCTCGCGTGCAGATGATGAGGTTGGCAGTAGCAGTCAATCCCTCACGATGGCAGATGTACTCGCGGTGCTAGGACCCCAAGCGGCCAAGCAGATGCAGGAAAAGCTGCAGGCACGAAGTTCTGCCAGAGGTATGCCCGCCCGTGCTTTATCCCCCCAGTACTCTCCGACCAACCCGCCATCCAGTCCTGTTGCCACAAGCACTCAGTATTCGCCCACGACACCAGCGTCACTTGACTTTGAGGTCAATGCAGCAGTTGTGCAGCGTGACCAGCGTGCCCCGGCCTTGCAGGCCGATGAGATGGAATGGCTTCTAGACAGCGGATCGCAAGTGAACCTGTGCGGAGACCTGACCTGTTTTCATACATTGAGCATGGATCTTCGAGCAACCTCCGTCTGGCCTGCGGCCAGACGGAGGCGATGCAAGCGAGTGGAAGTGTCGTGTTTCGAGTGATGAATGGAGTCTCGGGTCAGTGGGAGCCGCGTCGTCTGGATGAAGTGCACTACTCGTCTAACGCCCACGTGAATCTGATAAGTCTTAGCTACATGCGTGCCTGCGGCTTCAAGCTCAACGATGATCAGAGTACAGCGTGGCTGTGCAAGGACGGATTGAAGATGCGCTTTGACTGTCATGGCATGCTGTACCGTATGCGAGTGAAGCGATCGGTGCGTGTCGTTGGAGCTGTGGAGCAGCGCAAGAACGCCATGGGGCTCCTGCACAACCGCCTTGGCCACGTCAACATGAAGCCGATCAGAGAGTTGGCGAGTGGAAAAGTCGACTTTGGCATTAACGTTAACATGAAGTCGCTGAAGGATTACGAGTGTGTTCCGGGTTTGTCAGCTAAGTTCAAACGCACAACCTACAAGCGAGGACCCAATCGGCGAAAGCATCCATTGGAGAAGCTCTCTATAGACCTGTGCTGCATCAACCAGGAGATTGCAACTGGCGAAACGATCTTCTTGCTTGTAGAGGCTACGCGTTACAAGTGGTGCTATCTGCTCAAGTATAAAGACGAGGCTGATGCTCTGGCTGAGACACTGGTGTTGAAGCTCAACAATCAGTTCAAGCGTGCAGGGCACTCCGTTAAGCTACTACATTCGGATCAGGGAGGTGAATTCGTGAACGACTATCTACGGGCATTCTGCTCAAAGGAAGGGATCGAGTTCAAGACTACCAACGGCTACTCACCTGAAGAGAACGACATTGTGGAGCGAGAAAATGGCACCGTTCTTCCTAGGCTACGGGCTGTTCTGCATGCAACCAACACGACTAACCTGTTATGGGGAGAAGCGGTCCTGCACACTGTCGACACGATGAACCTACTACCAACGGAGCCACTACACGGGAAATCGCCTCATGAAGCATTGTTCGGAAAGGCGCCAGCGCTGCGTCACCTCCGGACGTGGGGATGTCTCATGCATGCTTTTGTGCCTCCTGAGACTCGTACAACTCGCGCGAAGCTAGACCCGCGGTCTATGCTGTCGCTATTCCTCGGGTATACCACGGAAACTACTGGCTACAAACTACTGGATCTACGAACCGGAGCTGTGACCACGAGGCGCAGTGGAAATGTTCATTTTCACGAGAAGTTTACGGCTGCGAAGGGCTATGTACGACGACTCCTACTGAACCTGTATCGGCATGGCGATCATGAACTACCCGAAGAGATACCTGTGGTGCCAATCGCATCAACCCTGGAAGCGAGACTATTTTCTGAAGCTGGGAATGCACCCGTCGTACCAGCGGTACAAGGGTCGTTGAATCTTCCTGCGGAAACTGAGATTGCTGAGAGTTCAGAGCCAGTGGGAGTTCGTAACCCTCCTGCACGTGTGGAGTTACAGCCAGCCGTAGCCAAGCAAAAACGGAAGAAGCGCAAGCGCCAGTGGCGCTCAAGCTCAAGTGACAGCTCCAGCGATGAGTTTGAACCATCTAGCAAACTTCCCACACCCACTCCAGCACGTCTGGCCAGTCCACGAAGGAAACGGAAGCTGCCTGCTCACCTGCGAGACGATGTGGTCGGGTCGATCCTGAATACCATCGCCGAGATTCCGATCCCTACCACCTATGAACAAGCGAAGGCATGCACTAACTGGCTGGAGTGGAAAGCAGCGATGGAGGAGGAACTCGCGTCATTACGAGAACATGGCACGTGGAAACTGGTTGCCAGGGCGAAGGCCAAACGCCAAGCGGTGATCACAAATCGGTGGGTCTTTGCTGTGAAGCGGGATGCACAAGGTCGTATCTTGCGGTTCAAGGCTCGCCTTGTAATCCATGGCTTTAAGCAGCAGTTTGGTGTGGACTTATGTTGAAACTTTCGGCCCTGTAATTCGATTTGATACTGTTCGAGCAGTTATCCTGTACGCGATGAAGCGTGGCTGGCACGTGTTACAGTTTGACGTCAAGACAGCGTTCTTGTACGGGCTCCTAGAAGAATGCATCTTCATGGAGCAGCCCGTGGGGTTTGAGGAGAACGGAGGCCAGTACGTCTACCAACTACTCAAGTCGCTGTACGGCTTGAAGCAAGCACCAGCAGTGTGGAACAAGACTCTTCACAAGCTGCTGACTGAGATTGGCTTCACCCGCCTGGACAGTGACTACGGACTCTACGCGATGTATAACCCTGATAGTGACGTGCAGATACTTCTCACTGTCTACGTGGATGATCTACTCCTGATGGGACCGCTGGAGCTATGCAACAAGGTCGCAACTCAGCTGAAGAGTGCCTTTACTCTGACGAGCATGGGCGAGGTCAAGTACCTACTCGGTATTGAGATCAACATCGACAGAACCCACAACAAGATCGTGTATTGCCAGCGTGCATACATTCACAAGATCCTGAAAACATTCAACATGCAGGATGCGTACGGGTGCTGGACACCGCAATCGACCAGCGAGTCGAAGGCCAATCGGAAACCACTTGCACCTGATACCAAGCTGCCGTATCGTGAAATTGTGGGCTCTCTTCAGTACCTAGTGTCTGGCTCGCGGCCAGATATCGCGCATGCAGTGCGTCACCTCGGCAAGTACTTGTCCTGTAATGGGCCTACTTTGGCTCGCGCGCACGTGTGTGAGGAAGCGTAGCGTAGTTTAAACTAGAGTCAATTATACTCGGGCCTCCAAGTATAGATTAATCTAAATAAACGATCCAAATAATGTTTTGGGTTTAAAATGAGAACTGCTATTTCTGTTTTATGTTTCTGACTTCCTCTAAATGTAATATTCTAAGATAGGAATCTGCCAACGGCTGGTTGGCAGAATTCCAATGCTATGCATGTCGCTCATTGGCTAGGAGATGCTGCTCTCAGCCAGTAGGAATCCTAAGTCTCTATGGACCACCCGTCGTGGTGGTCGTAAATGTATGTAGCCTTTGGTGTGTCTACGCCAAGGTCGAGAAAGTCTTTCGAACCTCTAACAGACGTCGTGTCTGTTAGAGTTACAAGTGACTGTAGCCACTTGTGCGTGTAACCCTGTTAACCCCCCCCCCCTCAAGGTTAGACGCGCCGAGTCACGGCACGTCAATCAGGAAATTGACCATTCGTCAATTCTTCACGTTGGGAGAAAGAAAACTCGAGCTCATTCCGCAATGAGCTCGCCGCAGAAGAAGACCGCCGCCGCAACAGAGGGTAACCTCTCTGTTGCTCAGTACCATGAGCGCCAGCAGGCAAAGCGCGACGCGCTCGCTGCAAAGGCCGCGTCGGGGACAACCCAGTCGGAGATTGTCCTCGAAGGTTCCTCTGTAGTCAACGACGCCGTTGACTACGGGGATGACGACGTGGAGATGGAAGAGGGCGAGGCCTCTTCCAACAAGCGCAAGGAGTCTATCGACCGTGATAGCCTCGACCCGCATGCCGGGTCGAGACGCCCTCGTGAAGGAGACGATTCGGACGCTTCAAGCTCGAAGCGTTCGCGCGGCGAGAGCGACACTCCGCTCTCCGCTGCTGGGGCTTTAAGCTCCCCGCGTGAGGTGGCGTCTTCAAGTTCTCCGCGCGCTGCTCAGGCAGCGCGCGATCCGTGGATGCCGTCTGCGTCAGAGATCGCAGACCGTGTGGGCAACACCGTGCCTCCAAATGAAATTCCGCTGTATGTATGCAGCGGGATCCACGATGATGTTGTGGCGGAGGAGCAGCACTTTGATCCGTTAACGAATCAAAGGCGCGATTACTATATCGGACTCTTTCACGAGCTCCGATACTTCTCCAGCAAGAAGACCTCTTCTCGCAGCAAAGTGCCTGAGTGGCAGGCACTTTGTCAAAGTTGGAATGCTTTTGTTGAGAACTTCAACAAGAAGCCGGCTGCTTACCGTGAGGGGGTTAAGCACACCCGTGAACGCTTCGAGACATTCTCGACGCGCGGGAGGTTGGAGCAGCTCCACAGATCTTCTGTGGACGCTGGTATTCCATGCGCTGTGCCCGAAGGCCAACAGTGCACGTTGTGTCTTCCGGGTGCGGCGCGCTTGAGCGACCGCGACCTCAACGGGTACACGACGATTCGTGTACCTGCGAGTCTCAAGGATCTCCGTGTCAAGTTCTTGGCACGTGAGGAACGCGACGATCGTGGGACCTCGGGCGCTGTAGGTGACCACAGCGCTCGCACTACCTTCGCGTCGGCAGTGCGTGGTGAGCTTCGTACTCCCTCACCATTTCCGGAACGTCCTGCAGCAGGACGTCCCGTGGCTCCCATGTATCTTGGTGGGGCGGAAACCCTCTCCAACGAATACGATAACGAACCAGCTGCCGGTTCGTTTTCGGGATACTATGGTTCACAATACGCTCAACAATCCAGCGTGTTGAGCCGCGGGCGTCGCGGATCGGAGGCGGCAGTGGTGGGAACACGCCCCGGGTATGGTCAACCTGGGGTTGACCTTGGCCCGACGCTCGAGGAGCGGGTCGCTGTTGTGGAACAGCATCAGAGCCGTGAGTTCGCCGCTCTGAAGCAGGAGGTGGCGATCCTGAGGGCTCAAGTCGCTCAGGCCTCGCAGACCGCGTCGGACATCTCTGTCGTCGTGGGAGGTCGCGTCGCGCGCTCGGCCCAGCCCGTTCACGCGCTGGAGTAGAGGTTCGCCCCCGCTGGGGCTTCCGCTTCGGGCCAGCCGAGCTAGGTGGCTCGTGCTGCCGGTATGGCTTCAGCCGCCCGACGTAAAAGGTCGGATGGAGGCGCATGCTAGATGGAATGTCTAGCGTGTAGGCGTTGCCATGTCGTGCCAACACCGTGAACGGCCCGATGAAGCGCGGAGCGAGCTTGCTCGCACCGAAGTCGGAAACTACATGTTCAGGCAGGTTTTGAGTTGCTAACAAAACCAATGAACCCTTCTTGAATTCATTAGTGTTGCCCCTACCAACATTGTCTGCATTCAGCTTCTGTCGGTCGACAGAAGCTGCACTAGCGTCTTGGGCAAACCGCATGACGGCTTGTCTGCGCTGCACGAAGTTGATTGCGTCCGAGTTGAACTCGTTCAGCTCGTTTCTAGCAGTAGGCCCAGCCTCTGCGTTTGTCGTCGTGGTGTCTGTGCCCTGCACAGACACGTGCTTCTTCTTCTTCTTGCGCGTAGTCGCGGCTGCTGCGTTGCAGTCGTAGATCCTCCCCCACTTAAGGAAGGAGCCACCATCCCGAGTAGACTCGGGTAGCGTGGGTGCCTGATGACATTCACGTAGAACGGTGTATGCAGGGATGGGTAGCAAAAAACCAATCCGATTCGATTGATTGGATCGAGACGGATCGTGATCGCATTTAATCGGATTGGCTGATTTGTAGATCAATGCCGACTCGATCGGATTGGATCGGATCGAGTCGACAAAGCATCGACATAGCTGACGAAACACGGACTCATTGGTTGAAATTGGGGTGGTATTGCCCCTCGCAGATGTGATGCTATCAATAGTCGATATCACAAAACAAAAACGAAGAGGCCTCCCGCTTCTCGCCACACTTGCGACTGGCCTCGCAAGTTGCGAGGCCGGCAACACCCAGAAGGGCGTTGAGGTGTTCAAGTGCCCCAAGGCGACCAACATCTGCAAAGAGCCCCGAGCCGATGCTGGACGGCATGTCGCTGTACGACGCGGCCTACAGCTTCACCAACCGGAACGGCACGCCGCAGCCCATTCCGACCAACGCCAATGCCATCACCTCTCACGGTCTCATCTACACAGGTTCGTGCGAGTTCTGACTCGGCGACAAGAAGTTGCTGTACGCGGACGATTGCTACAGCGAGTACAGCCACTTGAACGTCAACGTCAAGACCGAGTCCTCCATCGACTACTTGTCGTGCGAGAACGGCGGTTGCAAGATGATGCGCGCTTCTACTCGATCGGCTGCCAGGCGCTTGACGACACGAAGACCGTGTGGCAGACTTACAGTACGTTGGATGCCACTTTGTGTATGTGGTGGTGGTGTGTGTGAATAGCTGAGCTAACGGGCTTTTGTGTTGCTGAATGCGCTCTACTGGCGAGCCAGCCTTGCGCTGCGGATTGCGTCATTGCTGGTCAAGTGAAAGCGTCACGCTTTAACGTGCCGCCTTCGAGCAGTTCTGGACAAGCTTAACTACAACATGCAGCGTGAGAACCAGCGTCGCAGCTCGTGCAACAGTCGATTCTCGGTGGACGTAGCAATGCGCTACCCGCCACAGCTCCGACGGCCAAGACGACCCTGTACAAGGTCCGTGCCAGGGGCACCGACGTCTCCGTCCGCGTGCCAATCACACGTCACGGCTCCACGAACCAGGCGCTTGCGCTCAAGTGCATGCCCAAGGCTCTGGTCGTTGAGAACTACCTGCAGAAGAACGTCATCTACGAGAAGGGCATCATCGCCGAGTGCGACCGCCCGATTACCTTCAAGCTGCGCGAGATGTACCAGGAAGCCAACCAAGCAAGTGGAAAAGACACCTCAGCCATTGGCATTGTCCGCAGAGGAGACAGGTGGGTAGTGTAGGAGGATCTCGAGGAGCTGTATGAATGTTTTGCTTCCAAAGTGCAGTTTTGTCAATCAATGGATTTCATTACGTTCTCGTTTCAGAAAAAAAAAGCTTGTAAAGTGGTTGCAAGTCTGCACAGAAGCTATTTGGCCTGTTGTTCGGGATTCTTGTGTTAAGTCTTTCGTAGGCGTCCTGGGCACGAATGACGCAGGCGTATGGAAGTTGACAGAAATGTCATCAGTTTTGGTATGTTGCAGAGGAAAATAGATGATGGCTTTTACATTGCGGAGAGTGCGCTGATTGTGCGGAAGCCGGTAAAATTGGAAATGGAGGGATCAAGAATAATTGAAGACACTGGGC